CAAGCTGCTGCTCGAGACGGGCCAAGTCGACATTGACTCGGAGAACCGCTCTGGCCAGACGTCACTGTCATGGGCCGCTGAGAATGGGCACGAGGCCATCGTCAAACTGCTGCTCGAGACGGGTCAAGTCGACGTTGACTCGAGGGACAGCTCCGGCCAGACGCCGCTGTGGTGGGCCGCTAAGAACGGGCACGAGGCCATCATCAAGCTGCTGCTTGAGACGGGTCAAGTCGACGTCGACTCGAAGGACTGGTCCGGCTGGACACCGCTATCGTGGGCCGCTGAGAACGGGCACGAGGCCATCGTCAAACTGCTGCTCGAGACGGGCCAAGCTGACGTCAACTCGAAGGACAGCTCCGGCCGGACGCCGCTGTTAAGGGCCACCCAGAATGGGCATGAGGCGGTGGTGAAGCTGCTGCAATCTTCTTTATCTTCGCACCGTTCATGGGAATGCATAACGTTGGGAGAGAACCTCGTTGACAGAGGATGAGCCTTGTCACGTGGGCCTGGAAGGAGTGAGGATATGAAGGGTAAAAACCTGACGGCGGGATACCGTTGCGAGTTTGTGGACAGGTCCATGCCCACGCAATGGTTATTGAAAATAGAGTTGGAATCGGGGTGGCATTTGGTCCATGTAATTAGGTGTGAATGTTGATGGCTCACCCCATCACCCTCAGAGTGGCTGGGTGCCAAAAGTAGAAAGTGCATGGGCAGAGCCTTTGCTGGGACACGCTGGGGATATCTCATCCGATGGATATACTCACGCTAGCCATCTTGAGACTAGTATATTTTCCTACCTCTGACCTCCAACTTCGAACATCCATCTCACTTAAGATCTCACTTAAGAGATGATAGTATCATTAAGCTTTCATACTCTATCCACAATGATACCACAATATCCTCATGTGATGTATGTGCAAGGTTCAAATAATCACATGAAATAATCACACATGCATTCATTCATTTTGGCCTGGCTACCTAATGTGGCAAGGGCGACTTAGGTTCATTTCAGGTTCCTGCGATGCTTCAATGCCTCCACTGCTACAACAACTATTATTACAATAATTATATTCACCTACCTACCGTCTAGCTTATCGTAACACTAGATACTTACTGACAATTGGTTTCCGTTCACTTCACTTCCGGATAATCCGTTCAAGCGCCTGCCTACATCTTCCTTTTATTACACCTCTAAGCTTTTACCATTGTTGTCGGCGCAATGCGCCCGAGCCCTTCCTGTTGCTCGCATTTCTTCTGAATTTCGCTTTCTCCTAGTCAGCCCTCAATTGCGAGCAAATAATGGCCGGCCCACCTTCTTCCAATGCCCCGGTCACTGCCCCGAGCTCCTCGAAGGTAAGCTATAGCTTTCTACATTGGTCTCCAAGGGTGGAGAAAATGGTCGTTGTATGCCTTTGTTATGGTGAACTAACACGATTGAAAGGTGCCTGAACAGCACACTATGTCTGCAAATAACAAAGACGAGGCTCTGAAACACCTCATCGCGGCGATCCAGGTCATCATGAAAGACATGGATCTTGCATCAGACCCCGGCGACAAGGCTCAGCTGAAGGTCAAGTGCAAAAGCATGCTGCGACAAGCCGAAGAGCTCAAGAAAATTCCAAGTGGATCAGTGTCTGGTGTCGCTGATGGTGATGCTGACCAGAAGGCCCAAGCGAAGAAGCCGAAGAAGCTCGTAGAGCCGGTATCAACGAGAGAGCGATCGAAAGCGGAGCAGATGCTGGTCTTAAAGGCTGGGGCACTCAATGGGGTTAAGTTTCATCTATGGATGAAGCCACCGTCTGCAAGCGAGTTTGTCCTGGAGGGAGGGAAGACGCAGTTTACGTATGTCCTATGTTTGACTTTGTCATGTATTGCTAACTTACATTACTAGCGATGTCCCCGACCTGAAATTGTCGCCCCATCAGACCGAATTCTTCGTCGGTTTCCGCCGAGCCAATGATGCCTTACCTCCTCCCTATATGTTCAAAGATCGACTCCACTTAGGGCCCACGATGCAGAATGCACGGCCCATCGATCTGGTCCAGGACGCCGCGTCAGACTGTTCAGTCGTGGCCAGTTTATGCGCCTTAACCTCCCGGGCAGAACGCGGACATGCAAAGGTAATACCTTTCTCAACTCTAAATGTTCTTCACCAAGCTGACTTGCCAGATTCTTAAGAATTTCTTCTATCCATGGGACGAGAAGAACGATCGTCCTGCGCTTTCAGGATCCGGGAAATATGTCATCCGTCTCAACTTCAACGGTGGCTACCGACGTTGTGAAGTGGATGACCGGCTACCTGTCTCAGATTCAAGCCGCACACTGCATGTCATTGATCGCAAGAACCCTAGCCTTCTATGGCCCGCGATTATGGAGAAGGCATACCTCAAATTGAGGGGCGGATACAACTTTCCGGGCAGCAATTCCGGAACCGATCTGTGGATAATGACTGGTTGGATTCCGGAGCAGGTTTGGCTTCAGGATGACGACACCATTCCGGCCACCCTGTGGAAACGAATGTTCAATGCTTTTCAGTATGGTGATATCCTGGTTACCATGGGGACAGGGAAGATGGACCACAGAGTTGAGCGGGAACTCGGCCTTGCCGGCCAGCATGATTACGCTGTCCTCGACATGAAAGAAAAGGACAGTGAGAAATTCATCTTACTTAAGAACCCCTGGGTCGACGGCGTAGCGTGGAAAGGTTCGCGAATCAAGCAGCCATCAGCGGAAGCGTCTTCATCTGGAGATGCGTCTCCCATGGCCGGCTCTTCCACGTTAGCCAGCTACAAAGACACGCCTGGCCTATTTTGGATGACCTTGAATGAGGTTATTCAGCACTTTGAATCCATCTACCTCAACTGGAACCCCGGGCTGTTCCAGCATCGCCAGGATATTCACTTCTCATGGAACCTCGATAATCGCCCATGCCGCTTTTCGGTAAGTTTCATCGAAAATCCGCAATTCTCGCTTACCTGCGAGGGGGGAACGGTGTGGCTTCTGTTGTGCCGATACTTCCAGAACTTGCTCACATCATCCGACGACGATCTTCTACTCGATGAGTCCACCACCGAGCACGAGCTGTCCGGCCACATCAACATCTACGTCTACGACAAGGATGGAACTCCCGTCTATATCAGTGGGGAACCCTCGCCATTTGCTCGAGGAAAATATGTGGATTCTCCACAGTGCCTCCTTAAGCTTGACTTGCCTGCTTCCCACTCGAAATCCGCGTACACTGTGGTGGTTTCTGAACAAAATCTCGCGGCGAGGCAGCATTCCTTCTCTATGTCCGCGTTTAGCCACAGCCCACTCACTCTTAGACACGCCGTAAGCAAATACGCACACACCAGCAATGTTTCTTCTGAGTGGTCGAAGCCTTGTGCTGGTGGAAACGCGAATCTTCAGTCGTTTACCACCAACCCCCAATATCGTCTGAGTTTCCCTGAAAACCCCTCCCCAGCCTCCGCTTCTCTTGTTCTGTATCTCGAGACTCCTCCCGCTAACGCCCATATCAACGTCAAACTGCTCCATAGCGCTGGAAAGAGACTCACGTCGGTTAGTCGGCGAGATATCGTCGCAGACTCTGGCGAATATGCCAAAGGATGCTGCGTGGCTGAGTTCCAGGACCTCGAATGCAAAGACTACACGATTATTGTCAGCACATTCGACCAAGGTGTTTTGGCACCCTTCACTCTCCGTGTCGATAGTACACACAAAACATCTCTACAGCTCCTACCACAAGAAAATGCTGGTCGTCTTCCTATTCGCCTCTATCCGGCGAGTTTCAATAATGTCGGAGCTTCGCGTACCGTCAATAAAGTCGCATGTCCGATCCTCCCCCGCCGCTACATGAGACTCAGCATTGGAGCCAAGTTCCTGCGTTTATCGGGTTCAAGTGGTCCAAGTACACCCCCGCTGTCTCAACGACCCGGATCCCTTTCAGAGGCCGACCCATTCGATTCGATTGCCTCTGAAAGCATTGATGGCCCCCCATCCCCAATGAAGAGCATACCCGCCCTCGAGCCAACACGACTCTACGAACTGCGCCCAACGCCAAGCCCCCTAATCCGCCTCTCCATCACCCTTGGCCGCGAGCCCGATTCCCGCGTGCTCGCCTGCACGAACAACGGCGAGTTCGGCGATTCGGAGCGGGGAGTCCGCAGCGAAGATTTTGATCTATGGCCGGATTTGTATCGGCAGGGGGTGGTGTGGATGGTGGTGGAGCGGTTGGGGGGTGATGGAGAGAGGGAGACACGCGGGGGGCCGGAGGAGCGGGTGGGGATTACGATGTTTGTGGAGGGTATTACGGATCGGGGGGATGTGCAGGTCGGGAAATGGAGGCCGTGGAATCATTGAAGGAGGTGCTGTGACTGACATGGCTGTTGAAGACGTTTGTATGATATCCTCTAGCTGGGACCTGGGAGATTTCGGAAGGACACTTCTCTTGTTCTTGTGCTTAGAATACGAACCAATTATGATCTCAACGGTAGCCAATGACTCCCCGTGTCACGATCCCTTTATTCCAGTCATATCTAACGTCTGTAGGAGGCGTCATGGGTCAAACGGAGAACAATAAGCTCCCGGCACAAACATACTTTCTCGCGGCATGAACCGTCTAACGTCTTATATTTATAGAGCGTCCCACGCCCCTCAAGAGGATCTTTCAACCAAAGTTTCCCGTCACTCATGCTTTTGACTAGGTATGGCTATACCACACTCGATCGTTATCCGTATATTTAGAGTCTGATCGTACCTGGTTTTCTATGCATCGTCGAACTGTCCTGCAGATCGACCTCGAAGGTCCCGTCGATGACCTTACGTCAATGAATGGAATTTGTTAAGAACCACTAAAAAGATATATGATAAGAGCTGCCATGGGCGCACAGAAACAATCTCCCTCCGGACGTCGTTGACCAGTTGCCTTCACCGGTGCCTGCTCCAACGTCGCTTTCAGCGGTGCAAGCGGATAACATCTCGGCACTGAACACGGCCCAGAACATGGACAGGATCGCCCGTGCTGGGTCAGGACCCTTGGCAAATCGCTGGCATGGATTCGGCCTGTGTTCCTCACGATGGAACTCGGCCAGTATTCCGCTGCGTTTGCCATTCCGTCTTTTGCAGCGTCTTGGGTCTCAGCCGTCAAGAACTACGATGTAGAATGCGCAGCCGACTGTTTTCCAAGTTTTCTAAATTCAGTGGCACTCAGCCATTCATCGACCGAACATCATTATGGACCTTGGACACCAGTTTAATTCGGTGTTGCTTGAAGTCCGTTACTCGAGTGCTCCCAGCCTCCCTGATAGAGAAGGCCTGGAAGGATTTCATTTCGTTCCAGTTACCCCATTCAACACGTCTTGACCGCGTTTAGCTGGTATATCAGACACTGTGGAAGAAGTCTCTGATGTGCTTTGGTGAAACAAAATACTTACAGAAGCTGGGTAGCGGATCAGCACCATAACCAGCGAGGCGATTCAGCGATGCTGTTTTTGGCGAATACCATGAAGATAGGGTGATTCTGTGCTGCTCAGGAACGGCTGATTGCAAGTTCTCCAAATGTACGGGGACCTTTTAACCAGTCGATTAAGTCATTAGAGTCCAAAATTCGCCACCATATCAAGCAACCCGCTGGATCTATAAGGACAAGACCATGCTCGGACAATAGACATTGATAGTCAAAGTAAGAAAGGCACGGACATTGGTCAATGAGGAAAGGAAGCATCTAGACCTTAATCCCTCGCTCGTCCTGTAATAATGAACAAACACTTCAGACGCATCACTCGTATTCAACGCCGAACCAGTCACTAGTGTGTTTAATCCTTTGTTCGGAACCAATAATAGACAGACATGCAGCGAATATAATAAGACGGACAAACAAAGAGTTGCCTAAAATTGAACAATTAGCTAAATGAGACCCAAAGTGAATTTAAAATATCTCGTGGAAGGATAGAAATTGCGGACAAAACCACTTGGAAATATAAATCTTAGATGGACTCCCTTTCGCAATCGAACCCATCCAAACCTTTTCACCACAAGCTGCGCGGAAACATCAAACTTGATCGCCGTGCAATCAAAAGTATGAGCAATAAAATCCCTCACATCCCGTCAATGTCCGCCGGACGGACTAACCCCGAATTCCAGCGCAAGCTGGCCAAACTCCGCCTCAAAATCCATCCCATCCTTTCCCTTCACACGGGTCGAAGCGCGCCGGAGTTCCCCGCCACCCTCCTCCACTTCAACCTCCTCACTGAAGCGCAATTAGATGAGCTAGCACACTATTACAGCCAATGCTGTCAAGACGAGACGACGGCGTCGTACGGCAAGAGCATGGATTGGGATGCGTCATATTACGACGAGTACTTCGGCGAGGGAAAATGTTTCCGTGAGAGCCGACGAGTCTGGGTGAAGCGACGGAGGTTCGGAAGGTTCATAGGGATGAGAGGATGCGACACCCCTGTCGACGAAGTTCAGAAGCGGTTATCATGGATGGTGGAGAGGTTAGAGGAGCAATTGGAAGACGTGAAGAGGGAAGATCGCAAGAGCAGAGAGGCTTGGAGAAAGGTTGGAGAGAGATGGTGGGGAACATGATAGACGGTTCAGAGAACTGAAGCTGGAGTAGAAGAAAGATCGACTGAATAGATGAACTTTTCCGGCGCTGTGGCGGATACTATTCACTGCGCCAGACGCCAAAATTAGGGTATAATGCCATATAACCCAATAGAGAAACAAAGAGACAATTAATCCCCCCTATCATCTGGCAAGTCGTCCATCACATGCTCCACCAAAGTGATCAGCTCATCAATGTCTGGCCGCTCGCTTGGTTCGACCTTCAAACACCGTCGGACAACCTCTTTAACCGGTTCACTGATCGTCAACTCTTCTGCGGCCGCCTTCTGCTTGCCTTTTTGAAGGCCTTCGTCCGGAAATCTCCAGTCGCCTCCCAAGACACACAGGCTGAGGCTGCCCCCTGTCTCCTCCGATCGTGCCTCAAATGGTGATTTGCCGACAAGGCAGGCGTATAACGTACACCCGAGTGACCAAATGTCGACTTTGGCATCAATGGTGCTGCCGGTCTTGACGTCGAACAGCTCAGGAGCGCGGTAAGGCATCGTGCTGTGTTCGGCGGCGGTGTCTTGGACGGCGATGGCAAGGGAGCGGGAGGTAATGGAGGTTGGGGTAGGAGAGAGTGAGCCTAGGTCCATCAGGATAGGCGTTTTGCCATCATCGTCGATCATAACGTTGCCTGTCGCGGAATTAGTTGCTTTGTCCACCCCAACCAGCATTGAACTCGTACCTGGCTTGATGTCCCTATGTGCATACGCCCTCTGTTCTCCGGGTGCGACCCCCTCTTGGCTCCGCGTGACTTCGTCCTCCATCAATGGCTGCTGCTCCACGTCATCGTCGTCCCCATCCCGGTCCACGGCCCTGCCCTTCCCCCTGGCATCTGCCGCCGCACTTGCGTCAGCCCGCGCTGCCTCCTCCCTTACCCGTCTTGCCTTGCCCTGGCTCTTCTGGCCGCCGGGGCCACCTTGCACTCGATATTGATGCATTGTTTTGAGCGCATAGCAGACGCCAAGGAAGAGCTCCATGAGCTGCTTCTCAGGAAACCGGGTATGGTTGACGAGGTTCGCGTTGATTAGGTCCTGAAGATTCCCCCTTCGATAATACGGAAGTAATATATACACGGTCTTTGCGCCGGGGTCGGACCTGTCTGCAATGACGGTGTGGTCGATGGAGTAGATGATGTTCGGGTGGGGAGTAAAGAGCGCATACGCCTCGACTTCTTTCAGTGCTCGGCTGACGGACTCTTCGCCGAAGGGGCATCGGATTTTCTTGAGCGCGAACAGTTTCTGGTTGCCGGTATCTTGTACGAGGTATACGTAGGAGAATCCGCCCTAATCACGTCCGACAACGTCAGCAATCTTGAAACGCAGGCAGGTCGGATACGGGCTGCTTACCTCGCCTAGTAATCGGAGGATCTTAAAGCTTCTGTTGTTGATCTTCAACTGCGGCGAGCCCGGGAAACACACCATACAACTGCTCAACGAATATAACATATCCATAACGTAAGACGCCATTGTGAATAAAAGGTTCCGCAACGGACTACCCAGGGAGTCGCAGTATGATCACAGCACGTTGTCGCGTTTCGTAATGATCAGAACACGGTCATGAGGCTCATGGATTTTGGACGCTCCGAGGCTACAGATGAAGAAATTGAAAGCAATCAAAGTATCAACTAGAAGTTCAACGAATTCGTGGTCGAAGCTGACGTTGCGCGTTGGATGATTGATGTCTAACATTTGCGGCCGTGTCGATACGGAATACATCAAATGTGGATGCCTTAGAGATAAGGCCAACTGGCTTCACATGTAAGGCATCAATATCGACCGGGTGCCAGGCAAATGGACGTCATGCTTGAGAAAGCCAGGAGCTTACTGTAACCCTTAAGATAGCAATTGACCCATTTAAGCTGAAGAACAGGTTTATAGCTTTCTGCGGTTGCAATAGAATGGCTTGATGTGATAATTTGGGTCGGAATTGTGTTGATGGTTGACACAACGCTCCAAACTTCAAGCGAGTCAAAACTCGGTCAGTGGTGAATTGTAAATTGTTAGACATTCCACGCTTCTCAATTTAAGCTCTACCATAAGACAATCCTATTATAAGAACGCTAGAAACCTTGCCGTCCTCGCGATCATTAAAGTTGGGAAGCTGCGCCAAGGATATCAGTCACGGATCGGCGGACGTATGGTCTGGAAATTTTTCCCCCGGATAGGCCCGAACATCATCCCACTACCCGATCCGATATTTATATCTGTAGCTCCAGATTCTATGTATAAGTCTCAACATATAAAAGGCCGATTATCTTTGCTGGGGTAGGAAACGTTCACGAGACTATTTCTCATTTCTGACCTTGAGATCTTGAGTCTGGTATTCCACTTTTCTTCGTAGAATTCCGCTTAAGGTGTGTATCCCTGCTGCACCGATTTCGCTCTTCAGAACAGTGGCTTATTATATTCTCAGTCAATCAATTTAAGATGGCAGACAACCAAAAAGAGCTCGAGCTCCAAATCCAAGAGCTGCAGCAGCAGCTGGAGCAAATGAAGGCCAACCGGGGCCCTTCGGTATATGACTCCTACCAGACCACCCTGACGTCTCGGTACTGCAGCCCCGAGATGTCCAAGCTGTTCAGCCAACGGTCTCGTCACTCCACGTGGCGGAAGCTGTGGCTGATTCTGGCTGAGTCCGAGAAAGAGTTGGGCATCGACACCATCACGTCGGAGGCGTTGGAGCAGATGCGGAGCCACCTAGAGGTGACGGACGAGGACTTCGAGGTCGCCCGCGTCGAGGAGAAGCGGAGACGACATGATGTGATGGCTCACGTCCATGCCTTTGGCGAAGTGGCGCCGGCGGCGGCGGGCATCATTCATTATGGGGCGACGAGCTGCTACGTTACGGACAACACGGAGCTGATCCTCATGAAAGATGCGATGGATTTGCTACTCCGGAAACTCGCTAAGGTCATCTGGAACATCTCGAAGTTCGCGACGCAGTGGAAGGATCTGCCCACGCTGGCATATACGCATCTGCAGCCCGCGCAGTTGATCACGGTCGGCAAGCGCGCCGCGGAGTGGGCGCACAACCTGCAGATGGACCTCGAGCGCATCGAGTATGAGCGGAATGCCCTCAAATTCCGAGGTGCGCAAGGGACCACTGGAACGCACGCCTCATTTTTAGAAATTTTCGGAGGCGACGGCGCGAAATGCGATGAGCTCAACAAACTGCTTTGCAAGAAGACCGGGTTCCCCAGCTGCTACGACATTTCGACGCAAACCTACACCCGCAAAGTCGACCTGGTGATCTCCAACGCCGTCTCGGGAATCGCCTCCTCGGCGCAGAAGATCGCGCAGGACATCCGCCACCTCGCGAATTGGAAAGAGATCGAAGAGCCGTTCGAGAAAGACCAGATCGGCTCCTCGGCCATGGCGTACAAGCGCAACCCGATGCGCTCGGAGCGGATCTGCAGCCTGAGTCGCGAGCTGATGTCGAAGCCGGTCAACTTCGCCAACACGTTCGCGGACCAGTGGATGGAGCGCACGCTGGACGACAGCGCGATCCGCCGCATGGACATTCCCGAGATGTTCCTTCTCGCGGACGCGATCCTCATGGGCCTAGATAACGTGAGCAGCGGGTTGGTGGTCTATCCGAAGCGGATCGACGCGCGGGTGCAGGAAGAGCTGCCGTTCATGATCACCGAGAGCATCATTATGAAGCTGGTGGCGAAGGGCGTGTCGCGGCAGGAGGCGCATGAGGAGATCCGCGTGCTATCGCACCAGGCGGGCAGCGCGGTGAAGGATGAGGGAAAGCCGAATGACCTAGTGGCGAGGATTAAGGCGACAGAGTTCTTCAAGCCGATCTGGGAGGAGCTGGATACCATGTTGGAATCGGGGTTGTATACCGGGCGGAGCGTCGAGATTGTCGAGCGGTTCTGTGGTGAAGGAGGGGTGTTGGACCAGCGGTTGAAGGACTACAAGGGATTCCTCGAGAAGGCCACCACGGCTGAGCTGAATGTCTGATCTCGTCTATTACCTTTAGAAAAGTTTGGCGGATGTATCTCTCTCTGGCATGCCATGATATGCATACCTACTCTAGGAGCACAACGTTTTTGCGCGATGCCTACCGATATCTCTCCTGGGTCTGCAGAATGCCCCTTTCCCGAGCAACACTAGGAGTCTAGGACACTTCAAAGTGCAAAATACAAATATATGAGACCCGCAGCTATGCAACTAGTCGCTCTAGCTCGTGTTCTCCTTATCCAAAAATCCTGCATCTGTCGATTGCAGTCGTCCTTGAAGAGTGAGTGAAGAGTCAAGAGTGAAGGTGACTCCATACGGAAGGCGATCCTCCTGGGGTATGAAATATCGTGTCCTATTACCATCCAATACCGTTATCACATTGACTTAACAGGTCATTGATGGCTTGCCAATACTCAATAGTTTCGGCTGCTCCCTTCTAGTTTTTGGAGATGCGCAGATCAGCATTTCATCTGCATACCCACCGCCAGTAAGTCGGGGATGTTCACAATGATAGGTAATAATCGCCGAATGACCGTGGTCAGTTTATTTTACACGCGCGATGAGTTTAATATCTCGAGGTTGTAAACATGACGTTCATGATTTAGAAATATGATGGCGGATTAGCGTTATCGCGTCAAATAATGCACTTTAGCAATCAGATTCTTGCATGAGGTCTGCTTATCTCATTGACGGATGCTGGACATTGTGGGGAGCCGGCCGGAGATCGTGCTGATGCAGAAGTGAGTTCTGGAACCGTGCGACCGACCAGCGAATCGGTGATGGTGTCTGAAACCCTGCAACCGACCGACGGTGGATCGAGGAACTTGGGCGTTGCAAATTGTCGATCAGCACGCTCTTAATCTCACCGAGACAACAGCGCTCGCTCGACTTCGGTTGAGTACATGTGGCAGTATGGCAGTCCAGACGCGAAGTTGGGAACAAGAAGTAAATAATTCCAATTGACCCATTCTTCTTACCCCACGATATGGATGACAAGTTTGCCATCAGGGTCAATTTATGCGTGCCCAAAGGTGGTACGTATCTGATGGTGAGCCAATGGATGAAGCGTGATTCAAGTGCACCAGAGCGACTTCATGGGACTGAGCCAAATTCTCGGCTCTCCAATCTCCATGCTTGATGCGTCCACGAATGATCCAAACACGCATTTGCGCTATTAGGGAATTTCCCAGACCGTTTTAGCCGTACCAAAGATGGCCAGAAGTCAGAAACAAGCGTGCGTTGCGAGGAGGACAACATGGCATGAACTGGCATGGTCCACTTGGCCGCCACGGACTGGACGGACTACGGGAGAGGCGAAATGACCACGCAATAATCTGGGGTTGGACGCTCACCTTATCTGGCAGAGCCCAGAGGCCTTGGGATAATTTGGAGTCAGCCACGATACAATGCATCACGATTTCGCGCAGATGCTGTGACCTGTCTGCTCAACCACGTCATTCGACATTCACCTAATTCCCGGGTTCTGGACAGCGCTACAGGATGCAAAGACAATGGATATCGGGGGTCACGGGAATGAGAACAATATGATCCCGTCTGTCCAACAATTTGTGAGAGCCAAATCCGGTTCTGGTTCTAAGAAAAAGCGGTGGTCGCTGCGGTGGGAGGCAGATGAAACGCCCTGGGAACGGTAGGACCATTGGAATGATTGGATGGTTGGCTGCCCGTGGAGAAGCTAACGAGGAGGGGGCGGCTCCCAGGAAATTGGCCAAGCTCGAGGCTAGTGCTGATCGGGCCAAGCGTCAGGTACCCGGAACCAGAGACGCTTCTGATTTGCCTGAAGACCCTGCAGGGTGGATTGTTCCTGCCAAAGTGGATCCGCCGGATTGACGGATTCGTGGGCCCCAGCAGGAATGCGCAGGAATGCTGTGCTTCTCGGGCAATTGTGCCTGTCGCTTTTCCTGTTGTTGGCTTGCTCCTCCTGTTCCTGGCGTCCTAGTTATTCTGGGGGGTTTGTTCAGAGCACTCCAGGCTGGTTCGTGCCTGCCGTTCCCCATTGCCACTCCTTTCCCTCCCGCTTTGCCTTCTCTCTTCCTCTTTCTTCTATTATCATCCCATCATCTCCCTCGCCTTCATCTCCTTCCCAGCGAATGTGAAAAAACTTCGAGTCTTTCGCCCAGTCCCATTGCGAGCTTTTACAGCCCAGTCACTCATTTATTCCATTCGCTATATATTGCTTGCTACCCTCGCTGATCGAGTTCACCGCTGCACAGTCGCTTCAATCCTTCGCCACTTTGCCCATTGTACAACCCATATTGTCACTTGAGCACCACTCCAATCCACCGAATCTCCCTTACATCCAACCCACGAACGTATTTCGACCTACTGTTCAGGACTGAAGTCTAACTGCAGCCGAATCGACTTCGAGCACCGAGTACGAATCCCTCGAGTCTTGCTCGTGCCCCTTTTCGCCGCGTCGACCGTTGGCTCACATTACGCTCACCAGCATTCGACATCAAACCTAGCGAAGCTATAACAGTTTCGAACCTCTCACACGATGCGTTCACACTTCGCTGCCGCCCTCGTGGCGACGGTCGCGACCGTTAGCACCGTCTCCGCCGACTTCTGCGACAAAGGATCGGAGAACATCCTTGGAAACTTCTACTGCCAGGCTGTCAAGAGCATCAAGTACTCCGGCGTTGGCACCAGCGGCTCCTACCCGGATGTCGTCGGCATGGATAGTTCCGGCAACTGCGAGAAGAACGACAAGGCTTTCTCCGGACCTCTGGCCCCCTTCGACGAGGAGCTGGCTGCCGTCTTCCGTGGACCCTTGACGCTTAAGAACTTCGCCGTCTACCTACCCGGTGGCGCCAAGACCAAGCGTGATGCGGTTGATACTGCCGCTGCCCACCACCGTGGACACCAGCGCTTCCATAAGCGCAACGCCGCCCGCGCCGCGGCGGAGGAGGCGGCGGAGAAGCGCGCCGTTGGTGATGTGGTTGTTGCAACCATCGACGGTCAAGCCGTCTCTTGGATCAACGAGTACGACGGTGGAGCGGCTGCGGCCCCGACCCCCGCTCCAGCCGCCCCAGCCGCCGATGCGAACGTCGCTCCGGCTGGCACCAAGGTCCCTACCCTCTCCAAGGTCCCGCAGGTCAAGAAGCCTTACACTCCCTCCAGCGGGGGTGATTTCGAGCGTGTTGCGTACTTCAACATGGATGATGGCCAATCTGAGGGAATTACCTTCCTCAACAACATGGGAGGCCAAGGATCCGGCGTCTTCGACACCGTCTTCGGAAACTCTCTATCCTATGCCAACTCCGATGCCACTGGCGGCTCGTCCGATTCCCAGACCTTGACCAAGGCCCTCAAGTCCAACCAGGAGGTCGTCCTCATGTCAGACAAGGAATGCAATGGCGACTGCGGGTTCGTGCGAGAAGGCACCGTTGCTTACCACGGCTGGGGTGGAGCCAGCAAGATTTTCGTCGCGGAATTCGACATGCCCGATGACGGCTCCTCCGGCTTCAACATGAACATGCCCGCTTACTGGCACTTGAACGCCAAGATCTCCCGTACCGCGCAATACAACGGCTGCTCATGCTGGCCCAAATGCGGTGAGTTCGACGTTGCGGAGGTCCTTGACTCGGGCAACAACCGCTGCAAGAGCACCCTCCATGGGTTCAAGAGCGGTGGCAACTCAGACTACTTTGAGCGCCCGACCTCTGGCGCCGTGACCTATGTTGTCGTCTACGACGATGACAACATCACCATCAAGGAGGTCAGCGACTTCTCCTACCCCGGGTCGTTGAGCAGCTCCGAAGTCGGCAAGTACTGCGAAGAGTCTGACGAGACGTCCGTCTTCAACCTGTTCACCTGAGCAGGATGAACGGTGAAGGTGTTTTCCAATCGATTGTTCTTCAGCGTAGTGTGTTGTCCCCTCCCCCTCCCCTTCTTGGCCTCTGTGAATATCCGGCCTTGAGGACGAAAGGGGAGGGATACGAAACGGTTGCACTTCCATTCTGATCTTGATACCATCTATTTGATCTATGAAGATGGGGACAGGAAGCCGTTTGGGTGGAGCTCTCGATCTTCTTTTGACATCTAGGTCGATCTGGTTTGGCAGGAGGATGTTCCCGAGACTGGATTGGATGGATCGATGATGTTCCTGTACATATCCTAATGTTTTGCAGTGGTGCAGGATGTGGTGGTTAGTTGAAATGAGTTCTTTTTGGCTTGCATTATTGTGCTGTGATGTGAACGTGACATTTCTAACCTGCTTCACCTTCTTTTTATTAACCATGTGATGCTTATCGTATTGAAAGTGCTTGTGGTGTTCGCCATATCTGATGTCATTTGCCTCTCCCACCAAGCAAGCACGAGCAAATGTTGGTTGTGACACATGTTAATGCCTCAGGCACTACCCCCCAAATCCATTGGTGCCTTATTTTCCAATTCACTGACTGTTCCTTTGTATCGTGAATTGATCTCTTTCCTCTCCATTCAATTTGCGACCGACGTATAGAAATCCCCCCCCAATGACATTCTCTATCTCCAACCCATGGAACAATGAATTAGCAATCAAACTTCATCTACGCCCTCCTCCCCTACCTCTCCGCCCCTTCGCCGAAGACCACATCTCCCCATCCCAACCCACTTCCACTCTCATGCCGAGGTAAGCCGGGGTTGAACCGCCTTCACACGCCCGCACCAGTCCCCAGAGCGATCCCGACCAGCCGCTCCATCGGCCGAACCGCGCTCAACTGCCTGCTCAAGCGTCCCAGATGCCAATGTGACACCCAAAGATTTCTGCCTCCACGACTCATCAACGCTCGGCCCGTCGCCCTCCTTCACATCCGAAAGAATTCATCCACCGTTCGATTCTTCTGTTTCTCTCCTTTACCACTCACTTCCCTCAACTTTCTCAAACTGCGCTGTTCGTGAGGTGGCTGAACCGACCGACTGACACCAGTGAACCGCACGCACTTCGCCACTCGACGGCCTCAGATCCCTCGTACCGACCGGCCCACGGGATTCCTGCAGCACGATCACGAGCGTCGGATTTCCCCGCCTTCGAGCACTTGGTGGTCTACGTCCAGAGTCCAGACTTTTACATCGCGTTCCTGCCCGCAAGATCTCGACTGCATTCCTAATCCGACGACGGTCGTTGATACACTTTTGACGGTTCGCGTTTTTCGGCCAAGGGTTGGACAGTGACGAAACTTGGTTCGAGGACGGGATCGAGAAGATGGCGTCGCCACCAAAACCGTGGGAACGCGCGGGCGCAGGAGGAGTTTCGACGGGTAGGTAGTTTATTTCTTTATTTGATGGGTGATGCGGAGACGATGTGCCTTACAGTCATCGTTTTCCATTGAAACGATGGGTCATCAACAATGAAAACAATACTAACGCACATACAGCAATGCCCACAACAACTGCAACACCCTCAACAACAACAGCCGCGACGCCCACCTCCGCATCCACTCCCGCTCTTCCCGCCCGCCCCTCCACCCTCTCCTCCGTCGTCAACCAAACCGCTTCCAACTACTCCGGCATCAACCGCTCCCCCTATAACTCCTCCCCCTACGGCGCCGGCGGCTACGGCGGCATGAGCTCCTACTCCTCCCCCTACAACCGCCTCGGCACGAGCATGTACGGCGGTGGTATGGGCGGATACGGCGGCGGCTACGGCGGTGGCTACGGCGGCATGGGGGGCGGCATGTACGGCGGGATGGGCGGCATGGGGGGCATGGGGGGGATGGGGGGCATGTACGGCATGAACGGGATGAACGGGCAGATGGATCCGAATAATCCGTCGCTGACGCAGAGCTTCTCGCAGAGCACGCAGGCGACGTTTCAGTTGATTGAGAGTATTGTGGGGGCGTTCGGGGGTTTCGCGCAGATGTTGGAGAGCACGTACATGGCGACGCATTCGAGTTTCTTTGGTAAGTATTCTGTCCTCTTCACCTCTTCGCAATCTTCTAATACCTGCTAGCTATGGTCTCCGTCGCCGAACAGTTCGGCAACCTCCGCCAAACCCTTGGCTCCGTCCTCGGAATCTTCACCGTCATGCGCTGGATCCGCACCCTCTTCGCCCGCCTCACCGGCCGCCCTCCCCCCGCCTCCCCCTCCGACCTCACCCCCGCCTCCTTTGCCGCCTTCTCCGGCGCCGCAACCCTCCCCGATGGCTCCCCCGCCCCTTCCAAACCCTCCAAAAAACCCCTCATCTTCTTCGCCCTCGCCGCCTTCGGCCTCCCCTACCTCATCGGCAAGCTCATCCGCGCCCTCGCGCGCGGCCACGAGGAAGCCGAGCGCCGCCGCCTCGAGGCCGCCGGCGGCGTCGACGGCGCCATGGTCGTGAACGAGCAGGGCGTCCCCGTGCTCGACCCCAGCAAGCTCGAGTTCTGCCGCGTGCTGTACGACTTCACACCCGAGGCGAACGCGCAGAGCGTCGCGGGGGTGGACCTCGCAGTCCGGAAGAACGACCTCGTCGCCGTGCTGAGCAAGACGGATCCGCTGGGCCAGGCGAGCGAGTGGTGGCGGTGCCGGGCGCGGGACGGCCGCATGGGGTATCTGCCGGCGCCGTACCTGGAGGCGATTCAGCGGCGAGAGAAGCCGAGGGAGTTGACAATGGGGCCGGGGAGTCCCGCGGGGAGTCGGCTGCAGACGATGACGGGGAGCGAAGGGGAGATGGCGGCGATGATGACGGGGAAGGGGGCGGAGGAGACGGCGGCGGGGCCGGTGCCGGCGGGGAAGATGGGGGATATTGGGGTGGAGAGCTTTCAGAAGGGGCAGTTTTATTCATGAGCGAGGGAGCGAGACGCGAAAGGGATGGGGCGGGAGGGATGAGGAATGAGGCACACGGCACATATTAATTCCCTGGTTTCGTGCGTTGGTGGTGGACGTGCTACGATATTGTTCACTCGGGATTGGATCGAGCATGCGTTTACGGCGTTTTTTATGGGCGGTTTTTTGTGAACCCCGATCGGCTGGGTTGCGTCGAGGTCTCGATGACGGCGGATCGTGGTGATGTCTGGTCTGGGTCCTTTGGGTTTCAGGTTGGCTGGAAAATGGAGAGAAGGCGACTTGATATGATAGGAGGAGGAGCAGATGGTGGTGGTATCTAGACAGCGGTACTCCGTACCCACAATGGTTATTTTCTACGGCAGAATCATTGTCGGTTTCTCGTTTCTCCATGTCGTTCAACCTCAAAACCTCCCAATACTATTCCGTACTCCGTTATGGTTTATTATTCAGATCTGTGGAGGGTCAAGGAATCAACTATCAAAGGTCCTCTTCGGGGAGAACGAAATTGAATACCCTTCCTTCCCACTCATTAGATTAAGAGGCGGAAGCGGTAGATATTCCATATTCAATATCGTCCCGGCTCTGTTTTGACTTTTGAGTTCGAGTCGGTCTCGCGTGCCCCCGGTTGTAAGTTTGCAATGGATCCGTGATGTTGTCCAAAAATCCGTCGCTGCTAAGTGCCAACACTAGCCCATCCTGAGAATCCGGAATTAGTTTTAACTCCGGTCGAAAGAATCTAGCCCTGGCGGTCGGACCATTAGCAGTTTAAGGAGTGGCATAGCACAGACTGCCATTGGCTGTTGTTACTTTACTATGTAGGCCTTTTGCGGTTAATTAGAGCTCATACTTGTTAAAACCGCCCCCTTTCCTCAACCAAACCCTATATTCTGGGCTTCCGCCTCCATACTTTTCTGTCATGATAACGCTAAGCACGAAACAGGCCATGACGAGATGGAAGACGGCCTTTAAATTAAAGAGCATGGGAGCCGCTGTACACAAAAGTCAAGTCAATCCTGAATAAATTCCCCCACTCGCGTCCAAGTCAGGTCCAACTTCACCAACGCCTGTATATCTACCACAAGCACCTCAACCAACAATGGCCCGTATCTTCCACATCCTCCTCTTCGGCGCCTCCGCCCTCGCCCAATCCTCCTCCATTGTCTCCCTCTTCCTCGTCAACGCCGACTCTCAACCCCTCGCCGCCTCCGTCGTCGCCGCCGACTCCACCGCCACCACCTACGCCATCGCGTGCGACGCCGAGGTCAACGACGACGACTGCGGCATCCCCGGCACCGCCACCTTCACCCACATCGGCTCCACCTACGCTATGAGCGTGTCATACGCGGAGGATTCAATGACCGGCTCGTGGCAATGCGTCGCGGACACTGTGACCGGCGCGACGTGCACCGGCACCGTGGGCATCGCCAGCGAACTTGGCGCCGAGACTTCCCTTCTCAGCGACTATTCGGAGTCGGACGCCGGGTCGATGGAGACCTTGATGAAGCCGTCGGAGGTTACCTTCCTGCCGGTCACCATCACGGAGGGGTTGGAGAAGCTGGCGAGCGCGACGGGGGCGACGGAAAGTGGTCCGGCGGCGAGCACGTCGGGAGCCGCCACGGGGAGCTCTCCGAAGCCGACGGCACCTTCGCAGACTGGGTTGGGAAGCGCAGCATCGCCGCAGCAGACGGGTGGAGCAAGCAGAGCGGGCGTGTTGTCGGGCTTGTTGGTGTTGGCGGGATTGTTGCCCGCTGCTATATTATAACTGCGGACTGATGGGCATGGATTATAGACTGATACTCTTAAGCATTATAAAAGCTCCTTGTGGTTGATTTGTCGCTGTGAGAAACTCGAGCTATATACACAAGCGATATAACGTTGCTAATCCACCCAACTTCAGTGACCATTGATGCCTTTGGGGTCGAAGGTGCTTAATGCGAGAGCCGCCAGCTAGGATGGTCGTCTCCAAGGTTGTCTGCGTCCTCTTTCTGCAACCGATAGTCTCTCTCCCCCCGATCCCGCTTCCTGTTCTCCCACCGGACGCCAATGAACATGGCCGTGCAGAACACCAGACACAGACATATGAGAGTCGTATTAACCCTATATCCCGTCCGATATGCCGGCGCTTCTTTTTCAAAGAACACATTGCTCGCAATGAGACCACCACAGTTGCCGAAGCCCACCACCGCCGCGCTTGTGACTGCCCTCTTATAATGCCCCGACGCACAATTGGAAAGCCATGCGACAATGATAGGCTGAGCGGTCATGCAGCCGGTAATGACGAAGAACAGCGCCGTGTATTTAACACCGACAGAAGTGGAGCCGTAAGGGACAAGCAGGATGCCGTAGCCGATAATGCAAAGCATGAGGCCAAAGATCGTGAATGAATATCGATGGCGGAGTCGGTCAGTGACCAGCGCGGTGCCCAACGACACGACGAACGCCACGATCCACGGAGGGATGGATCGAATTTGAGCCGCCGAGGACGTGTATCCCATGTCCTTGATGATGGACGGTGTGAAGAAGGCGGTGGAGTAGCTCGTGTTGACGACGGTGATGTACATGAGGATCCCGCAATAGATCTTCCAGTCGGTGAAGATGCGCTTGGCGGAACGACGGTCGAGGCGGTCCATTCTGGCGTCGCCAGTGTCGGCTTGGATTCGCGCGAGCAGGATCCGGCGCTCCTCCTCGGTGAGGAACGTCGCCTTCTCGGGCCAGTCAACGATGAGCCATTTGGAAGCGACGCCAATGATAATCGTGATCAGGCCTTCTATAATGAATATCTATAAGGGATGTTAGCGTCCACGTTGGTTGCGATGGTTCGGGAGTGGTACCCATCGCCAGCCACTGTAGCCACCCAATCCCTCCATTTTGGCAATAGCGTATGCGAATAACTAATCGGTAGTTAGTTAGTTAACAATGAGTTCTGAATTCACTGAAACGGCAGGCCTTACACCACCAAACGCGGGCGCAATTATACCAGCACTGAAGAAGACTGAAAAGCGCCACTGGGTCTCGTATCGTTTATAATACATCGATATCAGGTATATACAACCTGTCAATTGTTAATATCTTTCAGGCCGTGCTTGAAGATTCCAGCCATACCTGGAAAGAGACCAGCTTCGAAAATGCCGATCAAAAAGCGCAAGCTAGCAAGCCCGGCAAGGTTGTTGACGAGTCCTTGTCCCACCGTGCAAATACCTAAAAAGGCGTCAGCTACAAGCCAATCGTAAGTCAAGCAATGATAACCCACCCCATCCGACCATGATCGCGCTGAGCCATGTCGAGGGTGCCATTTTGCGGAGCACAAGATTGGCCGGCACTAGAGGCTGTAAGCTACATCCTCTGGGGGGAAGCAAGTTGATCGACCTTCGAAGATGATATACGGAGGAAAGAAGATGAACAGAGCAATGTTATAGTCATTTCCTTTCATATTCAAGTCCTTGGTAAGCCCTTGGATCTTCGCATTCCCTATCCAAGCCCATTAGTGATGGTTGAAACTCTCGGGGACGACACATACCGATGTTCGACCTATCAAGGAATGCCAACAAGAAGAGCAGCCAGAGGATGGGAACTATCCGATAGTCGAGCTTCCATAGTAATCTCCTCTCTGCGGCTGGATCAATGAACGGTTGCTCCCCGGAAGAGACTGTCTCCTTAGACACAACCTGCGTGATATCGGCCGGCTTCTCAACGTCTCCCATTGCGTCGACTTCGTGTGCGTAATGTTAAAGACTACTCCAGCCATCGCGATGATTCCAAAGGTGGACATTAGACCAGATATGGACCACCGATGTCCAGGGATCTCATCTGCCGATTTTCTGTTCCTTCTGCTGTCTTATGTATTACACCTGTGGGGAAAGACCGCGATACCTACAATGCTTGACTCAAGAGCATGGGGAATCCCGGTCCCTCCTTAACCTCCAACTTGGAGAATACAAGCTCTAAATCCTGGGGATTTCGGCTACGAAGTACGAAGTCTCGAACAGAGCCAGACTCTGGGGCACATAAAGGCTAAACTGGACACATCACACATAATACCTACCATGGCGATCCCTTTTGCAACCTGGAGGGAAATAGTCCTCGGTAGGAATAATGGCCCGCTGCACCCGATTGGGGACTTTGGGCAGACTGATGCGAGCGCATTGAGAACTTAGACAAAAAGTAGATGAATTTCATATGCGGCTTGAAGAGGAATGGCGAGAAGTTCGGAAACAATAAAAATCAATGCTGCCCTCTGCTTCGGGACACAAAGCGCGGAGCTTCTCTCCAATCAATAATGCTTGTTAGGGTACTGCCGGCAATTTCAACCGGTTAGCAGGATTTACATGGAAGCTATCATTATGACGAATCAGTAGCTTGAAGATCATTGGAATCCAATTGTCGAGGACAAGGAGTCGCTGGCTGGCAAAGGTTCAGATTGCCGTGAAATGGAGATGGAAGAGATCCTGGAGATGCGATGGATAAATCAACTGTGGGTCGTCCTTTGGACGACAAGAACCAGCAGCAGATATCATCAACAATATTGTGAACGCCGATGTCGGAATAGAGCTGTCTAGCATCTCTATTAAGCAACGGGATAGAGAAATATTTTGTAAATACCTATCACTTGGAAAATATCGATCCAATTACATCATTGAGACGTGGCATAGAGCGTCCCAAGGTATGACATGGAAAATCACAGCTCTACATTCATTCATAGAGTACGTATACACTCAATGAGACCTTCTGGGTATCCCGTTCGTCCTGACCGAACCATTAGACCCAGCGATCCCCTCGCGCGGTGTTGGGGGCCTTAAGCCGCGAGGAGTCACCTTCGAACCCAGTCCGCTACCTTTGCCCTTCCCCAACTCATCGAACCGGAACCTCCTCCACAGATCGCCTACGCTAACCCGAATCTTGGGAAGCATGCCATACTGCAGGCCATACAAATCTTTCCGGGCGATTGGAGGGACGAATTGACCAGTTAATAGACAGAAAAACACCGAGAACGAAGCGTAGTGCGCTCGTAATCGGGAATAGAGGTAAAGGTAGGAATGGAAACATAGGTGGATGGGCAGAGGGACGGGGTTTAGATAAATGTGAGCGGTAGGTTCAGTTCGTGGATTTGGGAGGTTACGGAAGCGGATTCCGCCTGGTGAAACGTTAGCCAAGAGTAAAGCTCACGGGATAAATAGGATTAGACATACCTGGAAGGCGCTGCGAGTCCTTGATCCGCAACATGAGCGCGAAGAGAGGGAAGTGGTTAAGGCAAGCAAGGCCCATTTCAAGGAGCGCTTTTAGTGATATGATGCCCATCCTTGCCCCTGCAAACGTTGCGTAGTAGACCATGACGGTCGGAAGCAAAAATGCAAGAATCGCGAACAATATAGTTCCGAGGAGAAGCTGGTCCAGATCGTAATCGCAGGAGTCGATCCGATTGCGGAGGACGTTATTTTTCTTGCCGCGGAAGAGGTGGAAGAGGGAGGATAAGATGGTGAGCTGCCAGTTGTAGATCTTGGCGCTGGCGACGTAAAAACAGTAGATGTGGAGAGTGAGGATAGATAGGAGATCGGAGAAGAGACTTATGGGCATGGTCGCGCCTGCGAATGAAGACAAGCCGATGAAGGAGATGATGTTCGGGAGATATGGCCGCAGGAGAGACATATAGCCGGCCCAGTAGTCGATTACCCAGAGGAAGAGATCTCCAAGGAAAGTAGCAAGCTCCGTGTTAAGCTTCAACCCAGCAGGCCATCCCATCAGCCATACAATCATGCCCTGGAGCCCGGTGATTGTCCATGTCATCAGGACATAATCAAGCTGAGCCGCAACAAAATCTGCGTTTTCGATAATGTAACTTCCGAGGGCCATGCCGATGATCACATCATTGGCAACCAGCCAAAGGCTGTTATAGAACCGAATGTATTCCGGATGGCTCGTCGTGATGCTCTTCCAGCTCTGCTTTCGGGCTTGAAGCGTCATGTATTGGTCGGGCCAATAGCAGAACTGCTGCAATCGAATATCGACCTGCTGGGCCGTGGCTGAAACATCTTTGAGAGCAAGGGAATTCGCAAGCGGTCTCCACTCCAGTAGTAGGAGAGTAACCTCGCCTGCAATCCGATGGCCCATAAACACCAGAACCAGGAGGCGGAGACAGATAGGAACAATGTATGCTGTGAAGACGTTGTAGAGAACCTGTAGAATCGAGTCCCAAAGATTTGTCGCTGACTCAACAACCCTCTCGCCGACACTCAAGGAGCGTTTGCTTCGAGTCCTTCCAACTAGGTGGATATTTCCCTGCAGCAAAGCCGAAATCTCATATGAGCAGTTGATCTGCTCAACGATCGTTGGCAAAGACTTTTCCTGCTGCGTGCTCGGGTGAGAGATGATGGTATGGAGCTTCAATTTCTCCACTAGCGTTGCCTTCCGTTCCCACTCAGCCTCCTCTTTTGCGTTGATTGGATCGAATAGTGCTGGTTCGCTGCTCGCTTTCTCATTGTCATCACCAAGTTCCAAGGATATTGGCGACAACGAAAGATACTGCATGCGCCTGGGATGTGGACGGTCGAATACGATCACCTGGAGCGTGAAGTTCGACAGCCCCGGACAGGTAATTGCTGGAAAATGAGACTTGGCTGCGGTATTGGCGACTATAGTGTGCGGATCGAAAGCATACGTTTCCTTGGTTGTATTCAGGACTCCCAAAACCTGCAAAGGAGATCCTCCGCAACGCTCAAACAGCTGGTCGATGGGAAACTCGCTATTACGGAACAAGATGCCGAGCTTCAAGGCGATGTCCACGCTCTTGATCTGCAATATCTTAGCAATCTAGCACCTTTCCAATGATGGAGTTTGTACCTCAACGTCCTGCAGAATTGCTACCACAATACAGTCCAGTTCCGAATTGCGAAATCCGACCAATACCCCCGGGTTCACCCCGGAGGGTGCATCCGAAGGCCAAAACACCCGCATCAACCCATTGCTCATGATTGTATCGACATGCCGGGCCCCGAATGCTTAGAACGAGCCGCGCCGCTGAAGCTGCTCGCGAGCTGAAATACCTCGGCCACCGATTCGCGGTTGCTGGATATGTCAGTAGGAATCGATCACTTGGAGGTGTGGGAAGTACCAGTTCGCTTTCTCGAGCTGCGATCCGATTGACCGGGATGACTATGACGAGGAAGATGATCGAGAGGGCCGTGAATCCTTTAGCTGCACGTGTCTATCGTTGCAGTTAGCTTCACCAGACACGACAGAAGGGTGGTCTCTGATCTCACAATAACACCGTGATCCCAGGCAAAGATAGCAAGCTCATACAGGCGAGTTACAAGGTCCCAGCGGGCGGTAATGTATCCGGCGACAAAGATCCCCAAGGTCAGGATGGAGAAGGGGTGCATGAATCCGTCGCGAGCGATGGAGGGTAGCGCAAAGGATGCAGAAAGCTAGATTTCATTCCTTGCCTGTAATGGGGCACCGTCACGCCTTCTGCAGTTGTTCCTAGGCATTCTGAGAGATCTGGAAGAAGGTAACAGCGCCGATAGGGTCCGTATCGTGGTGGTCAATATCGTCGGGCCCTGGTAGGAACTTGGGATGTTGTCCATCACTGTACTATATATGTATACTTTAGGTATAGTGCTTCTGACTAAGGCATAATTTGACCAATTAGATAGTGTATTTATAATCCGCACGGTAATGGGCTAACTTGATTGGGTGGTGACTGCCTTGAGGTCATTCATTTACTGCGACCAGTTGTCTGAGTCAAATGACTTGAACCAAATTCACCATATCTTTCATCTTTCACCCCACTTTGACTCTTTCAATTTTAGATTCTTCCACCATCATTCTCTATTAATATCCTTCGTTTTACGATAAGACGTTCGTCTCTTTGGACGAGCGACGCGACACTGCAACCCGAACCAAACAACAACCATCACTTCCGGTTCCCTGGATATCACCAAGTTCACGTATTCCAACGCGTTATCCCTTAGACTTGATTAGACACAATCAACCGACAGTGTAAGCTTCGACGTGCAAATTCCTCTCTAGGGTCATCAGTCGCCCCAAATCCCAATGGCTGTCTGCAAGTTCTTCCTCCAAGGCAATTGCAGGAACGGGAGTAAGACTGCCAGTCCCATTCAAAGCGAAACACTTGTACTCAAATATATCTAGATAATTGTAGGTTTGAGCATCCCGTAGGTCAAGGAGGCTCGAATCAAAACCAAGGTTATGGCCAAGGTCCTTCCTCAGGGGGACGGGGTGGAAGAGGCGGACGAGGTGGACGAGGTGGGCAAAGTGGACAGGGTCCCAGTGGTATGCATATTTCCTGTCTTCACGAATATTGAGCTCGGCGTGCATTCCCACGCATAGATGAGAGATATGCCTTTTTTGTCTTGAATGAAACTCTAATAAATCTATAGGCAGGGGACATGCGGCTTATCAAGCGAACAAAGAGCTCCAGTATATCCGAACCATCACCCTCGATACCATCACCGCATTCTAACCAGGAATCATGCACAGGACCATTATGGATGCAATTCAAGATGATCTAAAATCAAATCGTCCTGAGTGGATCTGCTCTTGCTACGACCCCGAAGGGAAAAGCTCAACCAGGCAACTTATCGATGGGTTGCCTGCCGAACAGAGTCCCGAAGAGCTAAGAGTGCGCTTCTATATGGCTCAGGCAGCCGGGAACCCACAGGCAGGGGTTGGTATTTCTCTCGTAGAAGATGTGCAGGTGCTAATTGATTCATCAGGACGCCGAAGAGAAGCAGCTCGCTGCCGCCGTTAACGAACAAGTTCAAAACATTTTGGGCAATTTGAAAGCGGCTGCAGAGTACGTACTTGGTGGGAAAGACGTCCACCCTAACCGGATTGATATCTGTAACAAAAACACGAGCACCGATCAACCTTTCGCAAAAGGTCGCCGATCCCAGTTCGGAGCATCTAATCAGCCTACTCCCGGGGCGACACCGTTCGGGCAGCCTTCTCCTAGTCCTTTCGGTCAGCAGAATCCCAGCCCATTCGGACAAGCACCAGCAGGACAAACCGGCGGTTTCAATCAGCCTCAAGTCTCCGGGAACTCTTTCGGGCAACCTGCATTCGGTCAAAATGCCGGTGGACTCCCACAGGGGCCTTTCGGTCAACAGCAACAACAGCAACAACAGTCTAGCCCTTTCGCAAACACGGCGATGGATAACGCCCCATCACAATTCCAACCTCAACCTCAACCACAACCACAACCACCCGCAACCGGTTTCGGACTCCCCGCTCCATTCGTGACTCCAGCCGCAGATCCGAATCAAAATGCCTTCGGCCAACCAGTTCCTAGCCCAGCTGCTCCTTTCGCACAACCTGCGATTAGCCCAACCCCCAGCGGCTTCGGTCAGCCTATAATCAACCATCATACCAACGCACTCGCCCAACCTACACCCACGGCGGAACAATTCCAGGGAGGCCAGCGGAATTCAAACGCCACATACAACGCAGCTGGCCAGCTCCACACTTGGCACGGCCAACCGGTGAGATGGGAAAATGGTCAGCCCTACTACCTTGATCCAGCGACGGGCAAAATCACTCACGTCTTCCACCCGAATGGAACCCCTGCTGCGTTCAATCAATATGCGGCTCCCACAGAAGAAGAGATCGCGAATGCCGGAGGCATAGAGAAGCTGGGGGCAATCTATCAACAAGCCATCCAAGGGGGAGGATGGGTGAACGACCAGGGGAGGATCCTTGTCCCTGAGATGCCCCCAAAACCTGAGTGGTCTGGTTGGAATGCTTGAGCGTGCTAGGAAACGTGATGATGCACATGGAGTGCAAAATTGGGATTCATGGCAGTGCCAGAAAGTTGGCACGGCATGGTGCGGGTGTTTTAGGAACGGAGGAACCAGTCTGATTTCGAAATTGGAAGGCCATTTTGTCCAGCACGGCGCGGATGATAGATTCAGCTAGAATGGCTGGGGCCCTGCTCCCGCAAGCGCAAATTTGATAGTTGTTTAAGACATCGCGAGGAGATGCGACGAGATGCGACGAGATGCGACGAGGGGTTTCGGAAGAACAAGGCAATCATAGGCAATTCAATGCTGGTGCCGCCAGCTGACTATATCTCGGCACCAATAGAGATCCAATTCAAATTCGACCAGTCTGATTGAGCTAACTTCAACTATATTCAAAAGAGGGGCCCATTAACATAAAGAGGGAGGTCTGTATGCAGGAGCAGTATCGTACACTGCCGGTATCAGTATATACGTGTGTAAGGGTCGAGCCCTTCGTGTCATCAACTAGGCTCTTGTGCACGAAAGGGGTTGTTTTGATATCTCGATCATCCATGAGGCTTCCACCTGTATAGAGTTACGATACCCAATTTTCAGAAGATTTACAACGATATTAGGAAAACCAATTCTGTCTCAAGACACCCTTCAACGTGGGTTCCCATTCTCATCATGAGTGGTCTCAATCCAGTCAACAATTGGGAAAGTTGTAGTACACAGTTCAAGCATAATTTCCATCCATCGAGTATTTTTATCATTGTCGGTTCCGTTTTTGATCATGGGAACGAGTTCGTTGAATAGCTCCTGTGCTCGAGCCAATAGCGCTTTCTCTGCAATTGGATCACGAAGGGGAACTCCTTGATGCTCGTCGTTACTAAATTGAGATCGAAGGTTGTCGAAATCTATCGGCCTCATGTCGATACAAAACTGCCGTTGGTGAACTTCCCTTCGCAAGTAGTTCAGAAATGTCATGGATTCCGAAGAAAAGGATCCGTCAGCCTTTGTCCAGGGCTTTCGTTTGTGCGCGTAAGCATGGACCCACCAAGCCTTCTTCATTGTCCAGCTGAATTCAGCCACAGTCCAGTAGTCGTCGCCCATCTCCTTTGCTTTGAGATAGTGCGCTTGCGAACCCTTGACCACACGGCCGGCGAAGTCTCGGACGTTCCTTGCACTGCCTCGAAGTACGACATTTGGCTGGAGACAAAGGTTCTTGACTATTTCCAGCCTGTTCGAGTACGCAAATAAGCGACACCCGTACCGGCGAAACCAGACGTCGATGTTGGGCTGGGATGGGTCCAGAGGTTGTCCGTTCCCGATTGGATCCTGATCTAGTCTTAAAATTCCGCCAACCCTATCAGCATGTCGTCGAATCTGCGTTCGATCCGCCAGCTGCTCATCTGTGAGATGATTCGTTCTGTACGGCGTCTCTCTTCTAGCGAGCTCTTGTAGGCACGCTCCGACTGCCCACACATCTGATAATAGTGAATTGCGTATGGTCCGTGACCCGTTTTCGGCATAGTCGACCATCTCTGGAGCCATATAACGATCGGTGCCCCCGCTCCTGACAGTGGATTCTCCTTCAGCCAAAAACGTTGCTAATCCAAAGTCTGCCAAGACGAAACTTTTGCCTAGAGGACTCCGACTATCGCGTCTGATCAGTATATTGCCTGGTTTGATGTCGCAATGCACCATAGGCTTCCATTCAGTTTCCCTCCCATGATCGCCGCGATCGCCTTCGTGGAGCCATGCAAGAGCTGAGGTTACATGGTAAACGAAAAACATGAGTTCGAATTCCGGGATAGCTAATCCCTTTGATCGGCACTGCACATCCAGCCAATCAGCACAACTCCCAAGGTTGCAATATTCTGTGACTATAACACTCGATGGGGGATTCCTCGTGTCAGGGTGCGGTTGATGTGTGCAATGCCCGAAGAATTCGAGTACCAGTGCATGCCGCTCTTCGTCGCGTCGATTTATTTTATTGGCATGTCTCAGGGCCTTCGCCTCTTGGCGTGCGGCGCGGCTAAACTTGACGAATTTCACCGCGATAACATTTTCTTCGTTTCGTTTCGGTCTGTTCTCGATATAGGTCCACACTTCTCCAAATCCACCACTTCCGACCTTTCGATCGGATCGAAAACTCCTCAGGTTTTCTGCTGTCCTCCGTTGCCCCATATTCCATGGTCTCAGCGGCGGGACGGGGGGGGACATGTAAGTAATATTATTCATGATCGAGATTGGAGGTCGGGGCCATTCAACCAGAGGATGAGTACACCGTTCGTGGGAAGCGTATGTTCCTCGCTGTAGCTTGAGAGTGCTTGCCGGCTGCTCTTTGCATAATATGGGCTTGACAATGTCCTGCATCGCATCAATGCTTCTTTGACAGTCGAAGCCAAGCCATACTAAACAGTATGAAAGACTGTTACTCGGAATGATTTCCATTAGCACTCTGGCATTGCCGCATCCAGCGACACGTCTCCGTGGACTGCCCCACGCAATGAATATGAGAGTGTGCACCGTCCGAAAATCCCCTTGCGATCTCCATTTAGCTCATCCAGCCCTACTAACTCGCAGAACAACCAGTTTTTCCCATCCTGCTTTCTTGCCGCTGGAGGAGACGATCTCCACTTCCCAGGAAGGGCCCCATGCCTTCACATGGGATTGTACCTCTCTTGGTCGATTCTGGGCGCACAATAGTATATATGCCACTCCATGAGCTCTGTGGAGGACCCGGGGGAGATCTTCAAGGAGACGGTTCGTGACCTCCATTCCATCTACCCCGCCAGCATATGATAAGGAAAGGAAATGCGATTCATCATCAAACGATACCGGGGCTTCATTTACCGGATCTGGAAATAGACTAGCTTTACGCTCCGGCACCTCGGAAGTGGGCACGTATGGCGGATTGAAAATCAGAACGTCCACGCTATTCGCTTTGAGGCATGACAAAAGATCCGCGTTGAGGGAGTTGAGGAACAAAGAACGTTTCTCCCCAAGGCTGCTTGCGGAATCAATGGCCTTCAGAACCGTGTTCGAGGTTGAATGACAAGCGAAAACATTGAGATCGGAACTTAGAAACATGGAGTCTGAACGACCGAAAATATGATTGGCATGTGCAGCCACAAAGGCAAGCACAACGCCTGATCCGCTACCGACCTCCATAATCAGAGGTGGAGGGGATGTCTTGAATCTTTCAGAGAGAAACTTTATCTCCGAGCTTGCTGATAGAGTATCAAGTAGCAAGAATGAATCTTCAGCTGGCTCATAGACTCGATTGAAATTGACATGACTCGTAGAGGGAGTAGGAAGCATTGTCTCGAGATTGAACAAAGAAATGTCCGGCAAACAGATGTCCTATTATTGTTGGCTTTAGGATTGGATGTCGACTCCTTAGTGGCATCAGAGGAAAATATGTAGATGTGGGGCAACGCTGAATCCTACTAATATATCTGTGTAGAAACAACTTGAATAGGTAGGTTGGTATGGTAGGCACTGGTAAGCTTGTGGAGATGATGGATGTCGTTGAAGGATGTTAATATTTGATAATTAAATGCCGTGAAGGGAGCCACAGATTGGACCAATCGGATCTCAGCAATTCTATAATCACGTGATACTCGGTGCTTCCCCCAACCTCGGTGCATTGCTTCATGTATTCCTGATGAAAAGTTGTTGGAATCATGAATCATCTTAATAATAAAAGAGAAAATTCACCTTCTTGGACAAGTCAATCGTGAACCATGAGACCAAGTCTGAAGACGATGGCCACCGCAGCATCGGCTGCTCAATTGGCCACTGCAAGATCCTCTGTAGCGCTGCTGCCACCGATCCCCTTATACCGACGGATTCTTCGGGCTCATCGCCGGAAGCTACATCCAGACATGCGGATGCTGGGAGATCAGTATGTCAAAAGCGAGTTTCGGGCTCACAAAACCGTCGAAAACCCCGTGCATATAGTTGGTCACCTGTCCATGAATACTCCCTAAGTGTTTGCTGACCTTGGCAAGATCGGGTTCCTCTCCGAATGGCAGCAATATGCCCAAGCCCTCGAAGGAGAGTCCTGGCGAGAAGAGAAATTAGATCAGGGGAAAATGGCGAAGATGAGTGGTGAGTCGGCCTTACCACCCAAGCCATCGAAAGGCGTTCTTTCTTGTACTGACACAGGATACGTAGACGAGCAACTTGTTCAGCTCTACGACCTCATGCAGACGATCCACAACCCTTCACCCGATGACAATAGTTCAGGCACCGAATCGAAGTGAACTATCATCACCAAGCCTATCGTTACCATGCCAGGATTACGATCGTTTCGCACCCGGCTGCGCAGGTCACGGACTGACAACTATTCGACGAGGGGAAGACTCATACAGTCACCGAAAGTAATACGATGCACGGCCAACGTCGAACCCCGAGCTAGGAAGATAGCGACGCTCCCTACAAACATACGCCATCCATTCATCGGCCAAAAACTCAACCTTGCGTATAAAAGAGGCCCTCCTAAGGTCGAGTTGCGCTCTCCGATTTCGATATTCCGATCCGTGCCCCCAGCATGTTGGTGTAGCATCGAAGTTTGTCCACGCTGTGCCGAAGCTGAAACATTCGAACAACTTCATTGGGTATCAGGACTCTGGATTGGTCCCCTTCGCATTCCCATCCATCCAGTGGATGGGCATCACCACGTGTGCAAGATCCATCTCTTCATCAGCGGTCAGTTGTGGAGGACGGGTATCGGCGATTTTCTCTGGAAGTCCGCCGACAACGTAGCGATACAAGGCGATCACATATTCTTCCTATCCCCGGACGCTCGAGGTGAATTGTTGTCATACTGGGCAAGATATCAGCCGATCCTCGATCCGGACGGTCCACATTGCCGCGCCCTGGACGCATCTGAGCGGAACACCATCGAACTCCCTTGGCGACCTGCGAATTTTTTAGTGGTACCACGGCTAACCATATACGATTCCAAAACCGAGGATCCGGCTCCAATACAACCGAGAACCGCCGTCGAAGCAGAGCAACCGTACGGTACATACGGAGATGTGTGTCGTAGAACGAATTTCTTCACGTATATGTGGCCATCAGTGGCTATCGATCCAGAGTTCCTGCGCCCGAGGCCTGGATCTGATAAGCTGCCCTAAATTTTGGCCCACCAACACGATCCGCGTGCACTCGCTCGGTGGACCCCCGAAGGCCTCATACCTGTGTCCGCGATGCGCGATGGGGGGCTATGATCCAAGGTTTATTAGGATGTACACCCCGAGGAGAGGCATACGCATTGGGTTGGGCCCACGCAAGGAGGATTCGGGATTCGACGTGCCATGTAACATCACATAGAGTATTCGACCTAGGTATTCTTCCATTTTTCAACAGTCATTATAACATGGACTTGGTATCGCTCTCTTTGCTTTTGGAGATCGGGATTGCTCCCGGATGTTTCTTGTTAATACTGGTATCGTTCTTCATCCCCAGAGCATTATGGAGAAATGCCGGTAATTGAATAGTAGCAATCGGAGGAATGGTAAATTGGTCAGCGTTCAAAGCCCAGGAGGTCCACGGCTCCGGTTCTCTATATCCGTATTCCCCAAGTTCTTCGTAGGGCTGAACTTAGTCGTGTGGCGAATTTATTTATTCGAGACTTCGGATAGGAAAAAATTGGTCATCATATATGCTAGAGACCTTTCCAACGGGGTACATGACTCCATGACCAACTATCCCAGTGATATTGCTACCTAATAGTACGTAGTATTTGCCGCTCACATCTCTTGAGCTCGGCTAAACAGGTCCGAATCCCCAGATTTCCCGGGATTCCACGTGGGTGCAAGTGGCATAAAATGGTGTGATGTGATGGTAGCGTACCATACCGTGATGGATGATGCGGCGAATACCAAGCACTATCATCGACTTTTCCCCCAATATAAATAGAGACTGCGCACAATTGGGGGGCAAGCTAATTAAATTAAGTCAATACAACTCTTGGGGTGGTATTTTTGTTCGAACATCTCGTTTACCGATTTATTATTTATCCCAAGTCTTGCGGTTTTCTATTGTCAAATATTTTCAAAAAGTCCTAGGGTATATATGAGATTCGCATACAATACCAAAGTTGTTTCAGCGGCGTAGAATGTTGTCCAAGGAGCAGATTAGTCCAAGTCGAGCGGATGAGGTAGCAGAGGTACAATGAATGCCCCAATCGTCCCAGTCAAGATCAAAGGACTGTGTACTTCGGTGAATAAATTTCTGAACGAAGTACCGAGGCCTTATTCAGTCTGTGGTCGATAATTTATATTGATATCGCATTGCTAACAAGTTACCAGGTCTTGACGCGACTGCAACAACTGATAATTCCATTCATTCAAACGGCGGACGAGGATACCAAAGTCATCCCATCCGGTCAAGGCCTGACAATACCAGTCTCCACTCCCGGCTCCCTCCGCTATAGCCTCGAGGACCCGGACCTGGCCCCGTCTCGTAACGGCGTCACGAACGGCATTACTGACACAAACACCCCCATCTCCCACCGTACTACCCTCGTCGAACCCCACCCCTCCCCCTCCATCACCTCCCTCCTCAACCTCTCCCTCCCCACCACTGGCACCGGCCCCCCCGGCCTCACCTCCCTAGCACGCCTCCTCCTCTCCTACTCTGTCAACACCTTCAGCCCCGGCTTCCTCGACAAGCTCTACGCTGCCACCAACGCCCCGGGCCTCGCCGCCGAGCTCCTCCTCGCTACCCTCAACACCAACCTGCACGTCGCCCACGTGTCGCCCGCGCTCACCGAAGTCGAGCGGACGACTAGCTTCGCGCTCGCGAAGCTCGTCGGCTGGGACCGCGATGCCGTGGATGCGGAGGGGAACCGCCCCTTTCGGTTCGCTGGCGGGGTCGCGCAGAATGGTGGCAGTGCGAGCAATCAGTTGGCGATGTTGATTGCGAAGGTGACGATGTTTCCGGAGACGAAGGAGGGGGGGAACGGCGCGGTGCCGGGGGGGAAGAGGTTGGTGGTATTGACGAGCGAGCATGGGCATTATAGTGTGGAGAAGGCGTGTGTGATGGCGGGGTTGGGGTCTGGGGCCGTTCGGACGGTGAAGGTGGATGAGCGGGGGAGGATTATTGTGGAGGAGTTGGAGAAGGAGATTGCTGCGGCGAAGGAGAGGGGAGAACTGCCGTTTTTCGTGAATGCGACAGCTGGGACGACGGTGTTGGGGAGTTTTGATCCTATCGGGGAGATCGCGAAGGTCGCGCGGAGAGAGGGATTGTGGTGCCATGTTGATGGGTCGTGGGGTGGTCCAGTGCTGTTTTCGGAGAAGTTGCGAAAGGGAAGACTTGATGGGATAGAGGATGTGGATAGCATGGCTATCACGCCTCATAAGATGCTCGGAGTACCGGTTACCTGTAGTTTCCTGGTTGGCAGGGACTTGAGGTTATTCAAGGCTGCAAGCACGCTCAAGGCAGGATAGTAAGTCTGAACAGTGTCCGTCCATGGGACCACCTCCCCTAACTCATCACAGCTTATTCCACAACGAGGAAGAAGAGTCCGGCGAGTTCTACGATCTAGCAGACCTAACGCCCCAATGCGGACGAAAAGGCGACGCCCTGAAACTCTTCCTCGGCTGGAATTACTACGGCACGTCCGGATACGCGAAACTCCTCGAGGACGCCTTCGACGTTGCTGGCCACTTATACGAGCTCCTGTCCGAACGGAAGAATTTTGTCCTGATCTCGCAGAAGCCGCTGCCGTGTCTGCAGGTGTGCTTCTACTGGGCGAAAGACGGAGAGCTCAGTGCGGATGAGGACTATAACGGACGGCTTAGCGCGGAGATTGTGAGAAGGCTAGTTGAGCGAGGCTTCATGGTGGATTATGCGCCGGGGCCTAACGGCAAGTTTATTAGAGTGGTGGTCGCTAGAGATACTAGAAGGGGAACAGTGGAAGGGCTGGTGAAGGCAATAGAGGTTGTGGCGAAGGATGTAGAGATCTAGACGTGTAGATTGGACCATACCGTATATATATTGCCACTTCTTGGATACCAAAGTGTAGGTCACCTCAAGAGACCCAATATATAATACACTGATCGATTCGCATTGCTTTGTTTATGTACAGCCCACTGACTCGCGATGCATTGACTACCAAGCCAAGGATCCCTCTCCTCACTTGTTCGTGCATCTCCGAGCATGAAAAGCATCGTAAATCAATCCAGGATCGTCTACCATCGATAAAGCGCGCGTAAACTCGCTCGCCATCAAGGACGACGGAATATCGCAAAAAGCCGCCGATTCAGAATATCCGCTTGTTCGCCCAACGCCGCAGGGGAAACGTCCCCAAAATCTTCTCGCCCATGCCGTGTCGATCGACCGTTCATGATCCATCCAACCCCAGAAACGCAAATCGGAGCGCGACGGTGCTCAAACACCAGGAGATGTCGACGACCAAGAGGTCTCGAGCGACGCCATGCGGGGATGCGAACCGTCCGATGAAAATGCCCAACCCAATGCAGGATATTGAAAAAAACCATCACGCCCACGAGGGACCGGAAGGCCTGGGTCCCTCTCTCACGTAGCCAACGGAAACATCGCACAAGAAATCCGCACATCGCAGAACGCCGCGGGTCCGATTCGACCGCCTCATCACATGCTCTCCGGGCTCATCATGCCCATAACACTCCCATCATCGTGCGCCGAGTCCACCGCCGGCTCCTTCGGCTCCGGCATCTTCAACTGCATCCGGCCCGCCACCTTATTCGCCGTCTTGGTGATCCCGTTGGTGGACGGCTGCGCGCCCGCGCCCCCACCGGCATCGTCCTTGCCTTCTTCGAGCTTGCGCTTTTTCTTCGCTAGCTGCTGTTGCTCGCGGATCGGGCGCTTCCGCGGACTGGTGATCTTGCCCGTGGGCGGCAGTCGGGGTTTGGGGAAGCGCTGCTTGGGGGGTAGGTCGTCGTCTTCGATGAGCGACTGGTTGCCGTTGGCGCGCAGCTTGTCTTGGAAGAAGCCGTGGATGAGGCCGATTTCGTCGGTGATATTTTCGGCGGTGATGGGCTTGAAGGCGTCGGGTTGGGGTAAGGTTTCGCCGGTCATTGGGGTTGTGCTGCGGGTGGGCGTTAGATAGAGTTGATGGCGGTATCGTAGGAATTGACACGTACGTTGCGTTTTGGCTCTGGTAACCCTGGTGAAGACGACTGCTGAGAAGATGCAAAGGAACCGAAAGAGTGCTGAGACCGAACTCGCGATCGAGTCCAAGCTCCTTAAACCCGAAGAAGTCTTCGCCGATGTCCTCGGCGAAATCTCCACCGACGAACTGTTCACTGCCATCGTTAAAGGCTCCTGCGCCGTCGGGTCCATGCGTGGGGTCGATTGCAGGACGCTGCATATGTTAGTTGTTGCCGTTTTTGAATATTCACCGTAACTTACGAGAAGCTCCGCAAGATGCGCCTTCATTCGCTCGTGGCTCACTCCCAATTTGACACCAAGCCGCTCCATCTCGTCCTTCGCATAGGTGTCAAGTTGACCGACATCCATGCCATTTACATCCAACGTGTGCAGAAGGATTTCTTCATCCGTGAACCGGGGTTGAGCGATCAGTTCGCTTTCCGATCCAGCAGGTGCTGGGACTTTGACTTGAGGAGTCTCTTTGTAGACATTGAGGGTTTTGACGAGGTTCTTGAAATAGTCCCCGGCTAGATCGGTCACAGCATCGAGCGCGGAGGGCTGATAATCTTCGAATCCGGCATGGAAGAAGATCTTGGCGACGCTCCGTTGCATGGCGGCACGGCATACTTCGGGGCTCATGACCGGCCCATCATCAGATACAACGTGAGTCCCGATGTCCGCCTCGCGGAAAGGAATCGGATCATATTTCTGGAACTGATTTTGATAGATCTGTGATGTCATCAGCAACTACTTCAATTTCGAGCAGCTGAAGATAGTATTTTACTGAGCCGAACATACCTGGGCCTGTTGTTGCATCTGCTTCACGATGCCGATCTTAGCGCACACCCTCCGAGTGTCTTGAATCTGCTTCATATTGGCATCCATTTTCTTGGTCAGTGCGCTTTCGGGAGCGGTAAACGTGCCCGGAGGTACAACACGAAGGCATTCTTCAGCTTGGTCAACGACTTGGCCATCCGCGTCAACTTCCCACTTTAGTCGATCGTCGAGATCCGGGATTGCGGAAACGACGTCGTAATAGTCCGGGAGAGCGAGCTCTTCCTCCTCTTCGATGCCTTCGGCGAGCGTTTCGCCCGACATTCCCGGCGTGGACTCTTTTGCTTCCGCTTGCACGCTGAGATCGGTCGGCTCACCCTCTTGGCTTGCAATCTTACGACCGCGCAGCCACCTTCTCATTCCGGCCCTGCTACGGAGGAGCGCTGGTTCCTCAGGGTTAATTTCATTCCCGCGAAAAAGACGGTTCCTCTCGGCTGCAGCCAAGGCTCGCGCCTTCTTGGTCACTTGCTTCCATGTCTTATACTCGGCATCATCAATGTCAGCGTCATCGATATGACCGGTTTGCACATCGTTGAAGGAGCTCGCCCCGCCGTCGGCATCGGAACCATCAACCTGGCTACCGGTTACGCCATGGGGGCCTAATGGGGTCAGTGTCCCAGGAGGCGGCGTGGTGAACCCGTTCTCCACTGGTGCATCGGAATCTGCTCGAAGGAATTCGTTCTTTAGAGTAGGTGGAACGGATGGCTTGGTCTCAGTCGCTGGAGTCTCTTCGCTTCCACCTGGAGGGGCTTTTCGCGCAGCAGTGCTTCCCTTTTTGCCTTTACTGGGCGCTTTTCTGCCGCGTGACGCCATGATGGGTTCCTCTGGAATTACGGTGTCAGCAACACGGGTCAGAGATATATCAGAGCATGTGAAAAGTACCGTCGTCGCTATCCTCAACGCCATCGATATCCACATCACCGTTCTGCTGCCGCCGCTCCTCAGCTTCGACTTCGGCACGATCGCGGATCGTGATGTCCGGGATGAGCCTGACGAGATTATCGGTCTGCTTGCGCATGTAGGTGGCCTTCTTCCGCAGGAAGTGGTTCGGATCTTGGTTGTATTTCAAGCAGTTGGACCAGATGAGGTACAGGTCATCCACAAACTCTTTCTTGGACTTGTACTGAAGCTGCTTCAACTTCTTCAACATCGTCCCGACGTCCATCGGAGTTTTAATGATGTTGTAGTAGTCCGGTGCATCGCGCTTATTCACGCGCTGCAGGAAAGGGGCGGCATGCTCGGTCTGTGCTTTGAGCTCGATGAGGACCCGCTCCGCCGCCTCGTATAGCTCTTCCTGGCCGACCTTATCCTCGTTCGCCCACTTACTCCTGTTTTTCCGCACTTCGTTGATGAGGGTTCGCAGTTGGGCGTCGTTTGCTCGGACGATCCCCCGCTTGGCATCGATCCTTTTGATGAGATGCTTCAGGGTCAAACTAGAAGCGCCCAGGTTTGAGCTACTCAAGGACCCGCCTTGGTGCGCGGCATTGTCTCCGGATGCGCCAGCTCCCGCCTGCTGTCCCGACATCTCTTTCTCGATCTGCCGATCCAGCTCATCCAGCTTCTGTTGTTCCAGCATCGCATCTCGGTCGGTTTCCAGGGTGTAGTATAAAGTGAAACAACTCCGCTTCGCCGCCTCCTCCGCCTTCTTCTTATCTTGCTCTAACCGCTTGCGTAGTTCATCTTGTAGCTTGCTCTGATCTTGCACAGCCTGCTCCGCAGCCGCACTCGACGATGACGCAACTCGAACCATTGGCGAACCGAACCCGTGGAAGACGTTGTTGGGCAGTTTCCCTTTCGTATGCAGCGGCGATAAGGGGGATTTCTTGATTGACTCGCCCTCTTCGTCCTCCTCGTCGTCTCCATAGTCGTCCTCATCAATTGTCCGTGCGGCCTTCTTCGCGGGTCTTGATGATGCCTCCGCATGTCCATTCTGTCCATTCGGTAAACTTCCCTCCATTTCGTCCGCACTTCGCTTTTTCGACACGACCGTCTCGCCGCGACACAGTGCGAACAAACGCGCTTCGGATTGCGCATATCGGTCCCGGAACTGCGCATACCGGGGGTCCTCTTCCCCTAATCCCTCTGCCCCCGTGCCGGCACTGGTGGAGCCCGGGCCCGAATGGATGATCGCATCGTTCAGGATCGGCGTCCGAATTCTGGGGGGTCCGGAGAAGGAGCCCGACTTTCTCACGGCGGAATAATGGGGTTGGCGCGATGCAAGCGATTGCGAGAGGGGATTATTCGCGGTGTACATGCTCCCGACGCAGTGCTTGGCACACCCCTCGCGGAGGTGCAGGGCCCGACAAAGGGCGGCGCTCCAAAGGCGATTCTAGCGAGCGCCGGGCGGAAAAAAGGCTCAGCATTGAAGGGTCATGGGTCGCAGTGATGAGCCAGCAGGATTCGGAGAGGAAAATCGATGGATAAGGGTGGATTCGCGATGGAATAATTGGGGGATCGGGGTATGGGGAACTATGGGTGATGTTGGATGAAGTCGGCGGAGGGTGAGTGACTGACTGAGAGCACACACCAGCGCTGAAGGAGCGTTTTGATTGGTTGTGCCACAACGCCACACTCAGCCACGTCAGGCTCCAAGGCACAAGGCTGAATGTCTGGTCAATGTGGTCATACGTCGTGCAGCTCATCACCACATCACACCTGGATCTCTTGTCGTGTGGCATCGTCCTATCCTCCTGCTAGCTCCTCTCCTCTCAACTCTTAGCCCTTAGTATTCTTGTCGGATCTCCTGCTCCTCTATAGTCTCCTGTCATCCCTCGTCTCTCCCACTCCTACGCCCTTAACTCAATCCGTTCCTATCTATTATGCAGTTATAGGCACCCGCACCTCCACCCGGCCACCATGCGGATACGGACTCAGCCAGCCGGTATGCATTCAAGGATTCAATTCCTCCCGTGACAATCCGTCGATTCGCTATGGTCGAGCATGAATCCGGTGTCAATTCTCCGAAGCGCTATTGTACCTTTTGCGTGTCCATGGGATATATATCGTTACATTCACTCCCGTCCTTCAGCCTCACGATAACCTGCACAATACCATACTAGCCAGTTGCTAACCGTCCATGCATAGTCGGATTCGTCGTCTTGCTCTTCATCGCGGGCTACTTAGGCCTCGCACCGAATCAGATCCCCGAGTATAAGGGCAGCGACAAAGTCCTCCATTTCCTCACCTTCTTCATATTAACAGTACGCTGTTCCCTCCGAGTTAAACCCCCCGCGAGCCGAAAACTTACCTGTCACTCAGCTATGCTTCTATTGGACCATCGAAACAAATCGCCGGCGCACATTGCAGCTCACCATCGCCGTATGCCCCGCCCTGCTTGGCATCGGATCCGAATTCATCCAGGCCGCCCTTCCTGTAAGCCCCCACACCCTACCTCTCTGCATCGTGAAACTAAACCCCAACCCCTCCAGAATGGCCGCACCTTCGACCTCTACGATATTGTCGCCAACATCCTCGGCTCTGGCCTCGCCATCGCCCTGAGCACCTGGTACCACCTGCGCATGCTCGAGCGGAAACGCCAAGCGAAAGGCTACCAGCCCGCGCCCGGCGAGGAAGAAGACCTCGAGCTTGGGGAGCGCGTCGGATCGCCGGCAGCACCGCGCGCCCCGACGCTGGAGGAGGAGGTGGATAATTGGGATGAGAATGCGGAGGATTGGGAGGAGGATGAGCATGTGACAGGGGAGACTCTGGCGGGCGCGGCGGATGAGGGTGGAGCGCTGCCGCAGAAGAGGAGTGATTGATGATGGGATATGTGTCTTCCTGTATGATAAATCGAATGGATGTTACGGTTATGTTTTTCTTGTATGTTCTGGCTCATAATCGGCTGGTTATTCGTGCATGGGGAGACGGGATTCCGGTATGGGCTTCACAAAATGCGTCTCCAACACATCCCAATAATCACTCACACATGGATAGGTTCATCAAGCATGAGCCAGTTGCGATGAATTTACATATTCAGTGCTAACCATGCAATGTCCATCCCTCATTCATTTTTGAAGGAACCATGCCGTGCAATATCAGATTTTGTAAACCCCACACAGACATGGGAGACCCAACGCCTCAATGATGAATGATCCGTCATTCCCTCTCCACCCTCATTTACGCACCGACAGCACCCGGGACACCACCGGCAGCCTTTGCAGCCTGCGTCGGGGTGACCTTCTTTCCGTCCTTGTTGTATCGGACTCGTGGCGGGGGAGCACGGTTGCGGCGACCTTCCCGGGAGCGGACACTGGAGCCAATTCATTAGTTTAACGTTCCTGGGTGGAATCGTGCCTTGTCGGCGGATTTCAGTGCGAACATACCGGACGATCTTGCCGTGGATGGCGCAGGAGACGCAGTACTGAAGCTTCAGGTACATCTTGGGGACGGTGTATTCGGGGAAGACGGAGGCATCGGAGATATCCCCTATATTTCGCACGGTGGTTAGCGCCGATTCCTCCTCGTGATCAAAAATCCCAGCGACGTTCGCTACGCGGTCGTCCGGGGATGAGCAGGCTTACGAATGGCGGCGGATTCGACCATGTTTCGGATCGTGAATCTCTTGATGGCCTTATCTTTGGGTGTGCATCGGGCGCAGTTGGAGCATCGGATCGGCTTGACGTGGCCGCGGCCCTTCTTGTTACGTCCGCTGCGATCCTGTTAGGCCCTGTTTCGGGTGCTGATAGTCGGGGAGATAGGTTCTGCATACTTGGACGCTCGCTTCTTGACCATGATGGCGGACTATGGCGCGGTCAGCATAGGAATTGAGTCGCTATGGGGAAATCAGAGACACTCACTGTTGATACCTAAGAGCTCGAAATGTCAGGCTCTTAAGATGTCAGAACTGCTAGTGATGGTGTATCGCTTTCGACTTCCTCAATATTGAAGTTGCATGTGTGCCAAGAGTTGAGTCGGTCCTTCGGAAAAATATTGCTTCCGAGGTTCCTGTGAGTCACATGACTGGAAATTACAACACTTTTTTTGTCACATGACCAGGGTCCAGATTGTTTACACCAGGCCCACCAGGCACGCCAGGATCCCTGTCATGTGATTCGCTCTCAATTTCCACTGCAACGTCGAATCCGAGTTTCCTGTTTCTTTTCGTAGGGAGAACTCCCTGCGTGACTAGTTATTATAGTCTGTAATAGCAAGCACTAGAAATTCTGTATCGTAATACGCGTGAGAAGGTAAGGTGATCGGCAACCAAATAAACGCGTCGCGACGCGTCAAGAGCGCACACAACCAGCAACAGGCGAGCATCACGAACCTACACGACTAGTGGCCATCATCTGTGGTAACGACCACTGAAGCCCTATACCATACTACACGTAGGAACCCGGGCAATAGAAAGGACTACCAGGAATGCCCCCCCCCCCCCACGAGGGCGCCTCCAGGAAGAAGGGGCACAGTAACACCGACATCCCCAGGGCCGCCAAGCACAGGATCGACCCCTATGGCGTTAGGAGTCACAACGAGAGCAGGAAAGGTAACCCAAGGGATGGCAAAGGCCAGAGCCCGGGAGCTAAACGAACGACTGCAACAAGAGATGGTGGCTAGCCAAAAGAAGGATCACGGCTCGAGTGACGCGATTACCAAGATGTTCCGAGACGGCATCGCGTTAGAACAAGGAATCAAAGCACAGACAATGGAACTGAAAACCGAGAACGAAAGGCTGAAAGGCGAACTAAACAGCATGACCAACAAATTTGAGAACGTCACGAACAAATTCCAGGATATGGAGAAGCTGATCGATACTTTGAGACAAACTCTAGAGAGAGTAGAACAAACCGTGGTTAGCCAGCCTAGTATAGCTAGCCCCTTGGGAAGCGCGCGAACGGGGTCATACGCCGCAATTGCCGCGGCAGGATCGAACAGCCTGACAGTCCCTTCCTCGACGATGCTCTCACCATCGATCGCCATTACACCACCAGACACCATCCCAGATCTTCGTTCCGTCTCCGACCCCGTCGTGACACGTATTCCCTCTCCAGGAAACGGCCAGATAAGGAGGGAAAACCATAGGCCACCGACGGTTAACCTCAACCTTTCGGCTTCTCGATATAGTTCAGCTGGTAATAAGGAGCTTAAGGAAATGATGAACAAGACCCTACAGGCAACCGACGAAACGAAGAATTGCAAGTGCACTGCCGTACTAAACCGCCGACCAGAGAGCATAGGCTTCGTCTTTCGATCACAACAGGAAGTCGAAACTATAGAGACAGCACTACCGTGGGCCAACGATCCAACGCTCCAGGACATAAAATTGAATATCCGCGAGGATTTCAAAGTCAAAGCAACAGGAGTAGGCAACCCAGAGACAGGTCGACGGATCGATGAAGATATTGTTAAGGACATCTGCATCGAGAACGATGCCCAGATCCGCGGCATGCGACTACTCAGCCGGCCATCAGCCCACCTAAGAATCGAGTTAGTGGTCTTCTGTAGATCGCAAGCAGAAAAAGATAGACTACTCAACGAAGGATCGATCTCTATCCAGGGATCATACGTGAGAATTAAAGAGTTCTTCGAAACACCACGAAGCAGACGATGCTTCAAGTGCCAATGTCCCAACCATAACGCAGCGGACTGTATAGAAGGCGCAAGGACTAGAAACGCCCCCCAGGTAGAAGACCCCCTCCGGGTAGTAGACGCATGGTCTAGAAACGTCCCCCAGGAATTATCTAATGCGTAGTAAACCTCTGAGAATACTACAGGCCAACATGAGGAAAATGCCAGAAGCACAGCACGTACTGATGAATGACGAATCACTACAGGATATCAGCGTTATCCTGATTCAGGAACCATCTTGCTTCCTGACAGACGACGATCGAGTGGTCGCAGCACCATCTACACACTCATATTTCCAACAGTTCATCCCAAACGAAACCCATAAGACACTACGATACCCAGTGCGGTCACTGATCTATGCAAGCCACCAACTGCGACCCAGGCAAATAGACGTAGGGTCACCAGACATCACAGCAATCGAAGTGGAGATCAATGGACGAGAGATGATTATCATATCAGTTTACGTACCAATACAGGCAGCAACAGTCGCGGAGAGCCAAGCCCAGGTTAGAGAGATACTAGACTTGATTGAGAACACGACCGTAAGATTCCCGTCCCATGATCTACTAATTGCTGGGGACTTCAACCGTCACGATCAGCTATGGGGAGGAGACAGGGTCAGAGACAACCATGGGGAGGATATTATCCCATTCATGCATAAGCAAGGATTACAACTTGCCTTCCCTAGGGGTACTTCTACACATAACTCAGGAACCACGATCGACCTCTGCATGGCATCAAGCCGGCTATTCGAAGACATACTCCGATGTACAATCTGGCCTATCGAATATGGCTCTGACCATAACGCAATCGAGTCCCAATTTGACCTAGACCTATACGACTGCACGAACGAGCCAAGAAGGCTCTTCCGGAAGACTAACTGGAAGAGGGTAGCAAAAACCACCAAGGAAGGGATAAAGAACCTACAAATCCCACCGGACAAGAAGATCCCGAAGAGAAAATCGACGAGTTCAGCACCCAGCTAATCCAGATCGTTACAAATGCGGTCCTCCAAGACACCCCAGTTGCTAGGCCATCGGCATTCTCAAAGAGATGGTGGACAATGGATCTCACAGACCTTAAAATCGCGTATACAAGGGCAAGAAACGAAGCAGCCTCAACGCGAAGAGCAGGAACCCCCAATAACCGCCTAGAAGAGAAAGCCAGAGTAGCTAGGAAAACCTTCCACGATGCGATACGGAGACAACGAAGAACATGTTGGAAGGAATTCCTTAGCGACAACAACAACATCTGGAAAGCCGCAAAATTCCTCCACCCAGCCCAATCAAGCGCGTTTGGGAGGATATCAGTCCTAAAGATAAACGAAGGGTTAGCGAAAACAGACCAGGCAATATCAAAGGAACTCCTTACCCAGTTCTTCAGCGAACCGGCAGACGCCCCAGAACCGCCCCAAACTAGAGAAAGACACCAACACCCGTGGGAGGAGATCACCAAGGAGGAAGTACGAGAGGCGGTCCATAGAGCAAAACCCTTTAAGGCACCAGGACCAGACGGACTTCCACCAGTAGCCTGGCAGAAGCTGTGGCCAGAAGTAGGAGACCACGTACATGCCCTCCTACAAGCGTCGGCCAGAGAATCATACCTCCCAGAGCAATGGAAAATCGCGCGGATCGTCCCGCTTAGAAAGCAAGGCAAACCAGACTACACTCTTGCGAAGGCGTATAGGCCTATCTCCCTGCTTACCACCCTGAGCAAGGCGCTAGAATCGGTGCTCGCAGAACGCTTGTCTTTTCTAGACGAAATGTACGGGATACTCCCAAAGGCCCACTACGGAGCAAGAAAGCAGAGATCGACGACCGATGCCCTCCAGCTAGTTACAGAGCAAATCTACCAAGCATGGAAACAGAAGAAGATACTATCGCTAGTTACCTTCGACGTTAAAGGCGCCTTCAACGGAGTGAACAAGGGAGTACTATACCAAAGACTCAAGGAAAGAGGAATCCCACCAGAGATTGTGAGATGGGTATACGAATTCTGCGGAAATCGGAAGGCGTCAATCATGGTTAATGGCACCGAATCAGCGGTTATAGACATCGCCCATGCTGGTCTGCCACAAGGGTCGCCACTCTCCCCTATCCTCTTCCTCTTCTACAACGCAAACCTCGTCGCAGGAAAGGTAACAGACCATATGGGAACGATGGCGTTTGTAGACGACTTCACAGCCTGGGTAACAGGTCCAGATATCAAGAGCAATATCCAGCGAATCCAGGAACAAGTCCTACCGAACACCGAAAAGTGGAGCCAAGAAAGCGGCGCGATATTCGAACCGGATAAGACCCAACTCATTTACTTTACCAGACGCAGGAAACAGGACGAGAACGAGCTCCTGCCACTGGTATTTATGGATAACGAGGTAGCCCCAGTATCAGAGATTAAACTCCTTGGAGTTATGCTAGACCAAAAACTCAATTTCCAGACCCACGCGAGAAGAACAGCGAAACGAGGAGAAATCGCAGCAATGGCGCTCCAGAGACTCAAAAGACTCAGCCCAAAAACAGCGAGACAGATCTTCACGGCGACAATCACACCGACCACCGATTATGGGGCTCAGTGTTATGGGTTGAAACCCTTGGTTCATCCAACCTCTCCGATGTAAACAAGAAAGCTTCCCTTTCTTGTTCTCTTCTTTAGCTTAATCTAGAATATCTTTGACTACGTGTATGTTGTGTGCATCCAGCTACCGTGCCGTAACACTCAGGTATGGTTCCCGGGCTCTGCAGGGACAGTAGCCCGCCATATCGAGAGAGCCACCAAACTAGGTGCGAGCGCAATCACGGCTATATTCAGATCGGCAGCAAGCGAGGTCGCAACCGCGGAAGTAGGAGTCGAAACTGTCTAGGAAAGACTCTACGAACTCACCCGAAAACACTGGATCAAGATGCATACAAAACCGCAGAATCACTACGGATGGAGACTTATCAAATGCCTGTTTAAAGCCAAGACATTCACATCCCCACTCGAAGCTACAGCCCACCTTTTCCAGCACATCAATCTGAAATCCCTTGAGAAGACAGTGGCGGGAGCCCGAGCAAGAGACCTACCTTTCCTCCTTGGAGCGTACGAATCAGAACCAAAGGACGGCCCGATCAAACGATGGTCTCCGAACATGGAAGTAGTTACGGCAACGATACAGTTTATCCAGGACACTGGAAGACTAGACCCAGGAACATGACATCCCTCTACACCTTCTCTCCCACACCTTCTCTCTTACACTTCTCTCCTAGTTATACATTCCCTTATACTAACTATATGGTCTCAACCCTCCAACCCGACGCTGTGCCCGAGTAAGAGCAGCGTCACTCTAGATCAGAACCTAGAGGAACAGAGGCACTCAGCAAACTGACTATCTTATTCCCTTAACACAGTTATAATATTTCCCTATGTTAGCCGCAGATATAGAAGCTAGTTCGAAGACCGAAGATAGAAAATGGGGGCACAAGGCCACGAGGCACCAATGTATGTAATTAGTCAGCTTAGGTAGTTCCCTACATGGGCCTCGCCGAAAGGCCTGACGGGCCGTGCGGGCGTATGAATCTCTCTCTCTTCTTTTCGTAGGACGTTGCCGCGGATTTCACAGTTTGCTATTGTCCCTTTTGAGGAGCCGAGTTCGTTCTATTGAATTTCCATTCAATAGCATACGGCCCATAAACGGGAATCTCTTCCTACGGACCCGTTGCTTACCCCGAGGACCTGGGGTAAACAATTGGTTGTTTGCTAGAAGCTGTCTCTATCCCTCTCCCGTCATTGGCCGATCACCCGTCTGCCGTTCAACTCCGCTTCTGATAGAGTTGATAACGGTGTATTGACGCCTTCGAATCATCAGAATGTCGGCTACAGGAACATTTCGTGGGACGCCTAAGGCGAGAGGGCAAGTCCCGTTCGCGAACAGCCCCTCCAACATCCCTCGTCCGGCTCCTGAGACCCAAAGTAGCTATGGGGGGGGCAGCGATCTCGGGACGTCGACTCTCAGTGCTAGTAGAGCGAAGCAGTCGAAGAAAGATGAGGTGTGCTATATAACATGGACTGTGGTCGGCGAATGTTGCTCACGCAATAACAGGCTATCCGAAGACGCATCGAAACCGACATGAACAAGCGAAAGAACCCTACTGCCCGTGTCCGGCAATCTCGAAAAGCTCCCCCTGGCTCCGTTCTCTCGTTGAAGCCGAGTCCTGCTCTCCAAATCAAACCGAACACCACAGTTGCCGAGGCGGCCCAATTGATGGCAGCGAAGAGGGAAGACTGCGTCCTCGTCACAGATGATGACGAGCGTATTGCCGGCATCTTTACGGCCAAGGATCTGGCTTTTCGAGTTGTCGGAACAGGCGTCCATGCCCGCGATGTCACGATAGCAGAGATCATGACCAAGAATCCACTCTGCGCGAAGACAGACACCAGTGCCACCGATGCCTTGGATCTGATGGTGCGGAAAGGCTTTAGGCATCTCCCCGTCATGGATGAAAACCACGACATTTCAGGGATTTTGGATATCACGAAATGCTTTTACGACGCCATGGAAAAATTGGAGCGTGCATACAGTTCGTCAAGGAAACTCTATGATGCACTAGAGGGTGTCCAGGCCGAGCTTGGATCTAGTCAGCCTGCTCAGATCATTTCCTACGTCGAGGCGATCCGGAGCAAGATGTCTGGCCCGACCCTTGAATCTGTCTTGACTGGATTGCCACCAACAACGGTGTCGGTCCGGACGTCGGTAAAGGAAGCGGCTATGCTGATGAAAGAGAATCACACAACTGCCGTTCTGGTTCAAGATCAGGGGTCGATTACTGGAATCTTCACTAGCAAGGACGTCGTCCTTCGAGTGATTGCGGCTGGGCTTGACCCATCAACATGTAGCGTTGTCCGTGTGATGACACCGCATCCGGATTTTGCTCCCATGGACATGAGCATCCAAGCAGCTCTCAGGAAAATGCATGGTGAGTGTTTGGCGCCTTGAAATTTGGGTGGAATTTCGCTGACTTTGTTAAGATGGACATTACCTCAACCTGCCGGTCATGGGTGATAGCGGCGAAATCGTCGGAATGGTTGATGTGCTGAAGTTAACTTATGCAACACTTGATCAGGTCCGTCTTAAGATACCCATCCATGACACTCTACTGACATGATCCTAGATCAACAGCATGTCCGCCGGCGACGCCGAAGGGCCCGCATGGAACAAGTTCTGGCTCTCCCTCGACGCCGATACCGAATCCATGATGTCCGGCGATGGCGGCAGCCGTGCCCCCCACACCCCCGATCATCGCTCCCTCATCTCCCCCGATCTCAGCCGCCCCAGCGTCGACCGAGGCGACAGCGTTATGCCCCACGAATCCGCCTCCCACAACGGCGCCGAATCGCCTGACCATTCCGCCGCCGGCCCCGCGTCCCCGTCGTTCGAGAACTCTCCCTTCCCTTTCAAGTTCAAGGCACCCAGCGGGCGCATGCACCGCTTGCAAGTGATTGCATCCGCGGGAATGACCGAGCTCATCTCGCAAGTAGGCCAAAAACTTGGCAGCGAAGTCGACGGCATCGGAGGCGTTCCCACAGTCGAGGACGGCCACGTGTCCGCCTCCGGGTTCGCGCTCAGCTACCTCGATAACGAAGGCGATAGCGTTTCCATCACGACGGACCACGACCTACTTGAAGCCATCACGCTCGCTCGGCAAGGTCGTCTGGATAAGGTCGACTTGTTCGTGCACGATCCGTCTGCGCCGGCGATCCCTGCGACGGTGGAGCCGCAGCCGGCGCTGCCGAAACAGGTTACGCCGCCACCGTCGACGACCATCAGGGAGCGTAGCAGGAGATATGACGGCGAGGATGCGGACGAGGATGAAGAGGAGTACGTGGAGAGGAAGCGGAAGGGGAAACAAACTGCGGTTCAGGCCACGCAAGAAGAACAACAACTCGTCGCGGGGGTCCCTAATGATATGCTGGTGCCAGGGGCGGCCCTTGCGCTGGCGGTAATTGTTGTGGGGGTGTTCACCCTGGGGCGAGCAACGAGTCGTTAGCATTGCAGCTAGCACGATGTTATATCCAGCGTCAAATTCGCCCAGGTGAGGTAGTTTTGTTCTTTGAAGCGCGTGAAATTCTACTAGTAACAGTTCCCTCCGTCAAGGCAGGCAGGTCTTCAGAGGGAAAGGATGAGTCATGTGCAATCTTCTATTCCAGTTAATGATCATAGAGCATGTTATCATCTAATGCCAGCAGGCGGACATTCCACTCTTCCCATCATATATACAATTAATCGCCTGTCCAATCCTATGCCTACAGTGGTTGATGCGCTTCATATCATATATCGTAGTCCGTCGTCCGTAGTAGCGATCTCATGCGACAACCCTCCGACTCAGCGCCGTCCATCCCGCGACATCCCACGGCGCCGCCATCACCGCCCTCTGCGCACTCGCCACCGTCCCTTCATCCGCCAGCGCCCTCGCCAACTCCTCCGGCCCCAGCGTCCCCCTCGGCGGCACCGCCCTCCACGCCGTCGTGACCGCCATCTCCCTCGCGAACCGCGTCTCTCCCTCCATCCCCGCCTCCTCCCCCAACTCTGCCACCTCCATCCACCCATGCGGCATCCCCGGCGAAATCATCACGCTCGTCAACACCGCGCTCCTCCGCTCCGCCCCCGCCTCCCCACCACCCACTAATTCCACCAACGCATCCAACACCCGCTCCACCCTCGCCCGCGTCCCCTCGTCCAAGTCCTCCCGCATCCGCATTCCCAGCAACTCCACCTGCACCGCCTCCGCTGCCGCCTCATCCGCCTCGATCGCCGCCATCACCCCCAGCCGCACCACCGTGCCGACGTGCTCCGGCACCCGCTCGATCGCCGCGAACAGCTGCTCCTTCGCCACCGTGCGCTCGTCGCTGCCTGGGCCGCCTTTTGCCCAGAGCACCTCCGCGAGGAGGCACACGACGTCTGGGGAGCTGGCGCTGTCGTGCAGCGCGGCGCGGAAGGCGGCGAGAGCACCGTCCATGTCGGATTGATAGTAGCGGGCAAGACCTTGGGTGAGGCGGGCAGAGAGGCGGATGCGCTGCATGTCTTTGGCGGTTTCTGTTCCTTTCGAGGATTCGTCTTCGTCTTCCTCGTCTCCTTCCGCGAGCTGCGTGGCGAGATCGGCGTCGTCAATCGCGGATTCAAAGTCCCTCAGCGCGAGCTTGTTGCGGGCTGCGTCCGCTTTCGCTTGGGCGAAACGGAGCATGGATTGTGTGGATTCGGTGGCCTCGTATTCTTCCTCGAAGCGGGAAGAGAGGATGTCGAGGTCTAGGGCTGCGTGCTCGTGGTCTTGGACGCGTTCGAGGTAGAGGGTGCGGAGGTGGGAGAAGACAGCGTCGTCCGCGACTTGGAGGCCTAGCTGGCGCAGCGCAAACAGCGGGCGAACGACGTCTTGCGTGGCGTTGGGTTGTACGCTCTTATGCGCTTCGTCAACAACCGCATCGAAGCTGGTGACCGAGAACATCTCCTTCGTGAGCTTCGATGACGACTCCGCGAGTTCGAACGCGTGGGTGAAATGCTGTAAGGCCTCCTTCCTATCGCCACAAAGGCCAGCCAAAATGCCCTCTCCCACCCAGGCATTTGCGTAGTCCGGATCGGTGCTCTGAGCACGAGTGAACGCCTGATGGGCGAGTTCATAGTCCTTATGGATAAGGTACAAAGCCCCCAGGTTCGTCCAGGCTCGGACATTGCGCTCGTTGATGTTGATCGATCGGACAAGGGCGTGCTGCGCGACTTTGGCGTTCAATGTCGTGGTCACGACTCCTAGGGAACACCAGAACTCCGAGTTGGAGGCTTCGAGCTCGATGGCACGCTTGAAGCAGCGCATGGCGGCACGGAGTGATTTCTTCAGGCGGGGTTCAGCAGAAGAATATCGCTCGAGCAACGTATGTGCTCGGTACTCCGTCCACCCTAGATTGTACCAGGCGACCGCTTGCGCGTGAATGTCTTGCAATGTGTGCATGATACCGCGTTTCTGTGCAAGTATCGCAGCTTCGACGCATCGTCTCAATTGAATGATGGTAATCGAAACTCCGTCCTCTTCTTTCGGCATTTCAAGGCACGAGCCATCAACTCCGTCAACGTCCGCAAAGAACTCGTACTGGCTCACTTCAACGCCTTTCTTGAGCAACGCGATGATGTTCTCAAACGGCACTTCAGACAATCGCGCCTGAGTGTAGGTAAAGACTGAGCAAGCATCCCCAACCGATTTCCAGAGATTGAAGGCATCCGGTTTCGTTTTCGCAATCCTCGCTGCGACAGCCAAAGCTCCAACGGCGCTATCAAACGCGCGTCCAAAGAAACCAACCTCAATATTCCTCCAAGCTCGGTCAACAAGCGTCTGCAGCAATGCAATCTGAATCCCAAACTCTTCCGGCCGTCCCTTCAATACCGCCTCATACATCTCAATCGCCTCATCGAACAACCCCAACTCCCGATTCACATTCGCCAACATATACTCCGCGAACCACGTCTCCTCCGGCTTTCGCATCTCGACCCCATCATCCGGACTTTCCGCATACCGCAACGTCCGCGCCGCCGAGTTATACCTCCCCGAGTTATGATACGCCTCACCCAACCCCACATACGAATGATACTCGCCTGGGTCGATCCGCACGGACGCAAGGAAGCTCACAATCGCACCGGGGTAATCCGCCCGGTTGATCTGCACCACCCCGAGCGCTGCGAATGGCCAGCTGAGCCCCTTCCGCCGCGACCCTGGCGCCGGCTTCGCGTAGCCCGAGTCGATGACCCGCCGCGCGATCATCTCGACGACGTCCCAGTCGCGCAGATCGGCGTAGTCCTTCGCGAGGCGCTCCGCCGCTAACGTTTCAGCGGCGGATAGCTCGAAGGCCTTCTGGAAGCATTGGCGGGCGCGCTTGCGGTCGCGGGCGTAGTCGGCGTAGTAGATGCCGAGGGCGGTGTAGGGAGGGGCGTGGTTGATGTTCGCTTTGATGGAGGCGAGGAAGTTTGTGTAGGCGCCGGAGCGGTCTTTGCGGGCGAGGCGGGTGGGGTTGAGTTCCCATTGGCAGGCGCCGATGCGGTGGAGGATTTGGGCGCGGAGGTCGCGAAGGCGGGGTTCGGTGGGGGAGAGGGCGGAGAGAGCTTGTAGGAGATCGGGGAGGGCGGATTGGTAGTCGCCGTTGAGGGCTTTGGACCAGGCGAGTTCGCTGAAGATCTGGGCGTTGTAGGGATCCCGTTCGTGAGCTTTGGCGAGGAAGGAGATTGCGGAGGTATAGTCCTGCTCTTCTTGTAGGATGAGACCAATGCCGAGAAGGGCGGGAGTGAGATCTTGCCGTCGTCTTAGGATCTCGTGGAAGATGGCTTTGGCTTGTGGGTGGTTCCTCGGGGATTGGTAATGGACAAAAGCATACGCAAGGATGCATCGTAAATCGTCCAAGTTCTTCTGCACTGACAGCCCACACCCGTCAGCGATGGCTTGTGTGAGTGAAATTCCGTCTCTGGCGATATCCACGGCCAGTTGGTGCTCTTCTAAATGTGAGTAGAAAGTCGCCATGATCCTGTGCGCGAGTGCCGAGTGCTTGGCTTCCGTAAGTCCGTCCATCATCATAACCAGCCTATCTTCAGGTGCGAGCGTCTCTTCTTCAGCTTCAGTATCTGCAGTATCCTCCTTCTTTTCGGCGGCCTTGGCTGGAAACGGGCTGATTTCGGACTCCAAGAAACCGTTGAGCACCTTGGAGAGTCCACTATCCGGGAAGAACGCAATGTACTGGCGCAGTGTCAATTGGTCCCATTCAGCTAGGCTGTCGCCGTCCTGCCACTCGATCTCGATATTCCAAGCTGGCTCGAACGGATGCTCGATGATCACCATATCATGCGCCAGCTTCTGTACCTGCACCAACTTTGTGCCTTTTTCCTGTGGCGGCAGCACCTCGAGAACCTCGACCGCTCGTTGAAGCAGCCTTTCTTCGTATTGTCGCCGTGTCTCGTCGTCGCTTGTCCAATCGATGATGTTCTGGTAAATCTCCTCCAGCTTGCTGGTCCCAAGCACTTCGAGTTTGACTTCCACGGTGACTTGTGCGATGCGGGCACCGATTCTAGTTCTTCGTTCGCCGATCTCGCGGTTGATTCGTGACTTCTCCTCCGCCTCGAGTACATCGGCGATCGTGATGTACGTATAGGCTGGTCGCGGTATCCGTCCTTCGAGGCAATCGTACGCGGGCGAATCCGGAAGTTGCAGCTCCAGCGCCGCCGCGTATTGGAGCTTGCTTCCATGATTCTTCGCGAATTGGATGACCTTGTCGAGTGCAGCGAAACAGCGGTCTTTATCATCCCTATCGCTCCATTGTCAGATCTATCCGTCTCAAAGACACCTCAGTTCCTTACGAATTGGCATATATCTCGGTAAGCTTCCTGGTTACCGAGATGTACTCCTTCAGTTTATTCGGCCCTTGTGTCTCATAAACACTCCGTAAACCAATCCACGCTTGGTCATCGTCGGGTTTGAGCTTCGCGGCAGCCTGATATGCTTGAGCGGCTTCCTGCTTCTGACCTTTTCGGTCGAGAGCGCGTCCGAGGAACAGTCGCCTTGAGAGGATTTTAGCTCAGAGTCTTTAAGTAGGGTAGGCCACAGGTTGACACATACGCAAAATAGTTCTTGCCATCGGACTTGAGCACCTCGTTTGCTTTCTCAATGGCCTCATCATATTGTTGAGCATCTAGGGCACCTTTAGCTGCCTTCAGCGCAGCTTTGATGGACGACATGCTTCCTCCTCAGAATGTTGATGGTCGGCTGGTTCGCGGACATCCATAAGAATATGAACGGTCTCTAAGATTTGGGCAGCAGAAGGTGAAAAGCACTAACGCACATAAAGCAGTTGAACTTCAAGCGAGCCAAAATCACGGCTATATTTGTTCTTTACTGGATTTCGGGATCAACACACTGAGTGACGATGGAAATTCACAGAGGAGCTTCCCCCCTCCCCACCAATCAGCGAGAGGGGCATCGACAGTGACGTCTACATAAATACAGGTACGAGGCATTGATATCGAAATTGGAGATATAAACAATTGCATATATTAGTAAGAATTTAATAGATCATAAGGATCAATTCCATCAACTACCCAATTCCACTCGACACCTCAACGCCTGCCTTGCCTGAGCCACGCTCAACTTCACAATCTCCATCTCCTCCAACACCCTTCTGGCACTCTCATTATCCGCAAACAACCTCCTCTCCACCTCCCACAGCCCCAACTCTTCCCCCTTCCATCCCTTCCTCTCCTCCTCCTCCTTCTCCCCCTCCATCAGCCCCCGTCCCTTGACCCTCACACCCAACACCCTCGCCGCCTCCCCACTCTTCCCCTCCAAAAACAACTCCACACTCACCCCCTTCAACACCGTCCCCGCCACCCCCCCAGCTCCCCGCCCTTCCATCGTCCCCGCTAACGCCCCAATATCTCCCATCAACACCGCCGCCCCTCCCCCACTGATCCGCCATCCCACCAACGCACTCCACATCGCCGTGTCCACCGTCGCCACCACCCGCCTCGCGATCCGCCTCACCGGACCGGGCGCCAGCCCTCTCGCAAGGAACCCAAGCTGCGAGCGAATGGCCGCGAGAACGGGCTGCACGTCGGGGGACCCGGGGCTATTCCGATCGAACCCCGCCGGTGAATGAGCCGGACCCGAAACGGCGCCACTGCTCGACAACGACGCGAACGACGCCCCCGCGGTCCGGAGGTAAGGGGTCAGTGCCTCCCGCACGTTCCGCAGCACCGCGTCGGTGAGGATGCCCTCGGTGCGGGCGCACAGGCGGTTATAGGCGCCGGCGGTCTCGTCGAAGACGGAGGCGGTGGGGGACTGGGGGGCGGTGCTGGGGGCGAGGTCGTCGTCTGCGGCGGCGAGTACGGCGGTAGAGGTGCGGGCGGCGATGTCGGAGGCGGTCATGGTACCTGCGATTGCGGGGTTACTGGAGGTCATGGCGGCGTCGGTCTCGGCGGTCGGATTCGGCTCGTCATTGTCGTTAGTGTCGTTCGCAAGGGGCGAGGGCGAGGGGGCGCGGCCGCGGACGCGCTCTTGTAACGTGCGGTACATGTCTAGGAAAAGCGGCTCGTCGCTCCAATCACGCATCGCGGCCTCGAGGAAGGAAGCAGACCCGTATACGCGGCATAGGCGGTCGAGGCCGCCGAGGCCCATAAGGTGGGCTTGCTCTTCTCGGCTGATGCCTTGGACGCTGCGGCCGAGGACACCGGAGGTCATGGAGAGGTAGGCTTCGAGAGAGGAGTGGAGCCGGCTGTGGAAGAGGTCGAGCATTTGGATTTGAATGTCGATGAGGAAGCGGAGACGGTGGGAGAAAGAGGGGAGGCGGCTGTACCTGTCTAAGAAGGGGTTAGAGCTGTTGTAGATGTGATATAGATGGTTTCTTACCTGTGGTGTTCTCCAGGAGGTCATGTAATCGGATTGCTGCCTTGGTTGGCTTTGTAGCGTTCGCGTCCACCCCCTCGTAATCGATTTCGAAACTTCCTGAGGTATTGACAATCTCCTCGTATCTCGCAAGAGCGAAATCATTCTCAATCTGTAACCATTTCGGGAAATAGCCTTTGAGCACCAACAATTCCCAAGCCAATCCGCACCACCCGTTTTCATTGGCATTTCCGTTCCCGGGTTCGTCATATTGCCAGTCATCCCTGAGCGCAGTGTCGAACGTCAAAAGCTCGTCGACAAGGTGACTCAGCAGCTGAGGGGGAGCCTTGTCGATGCCTGGTAGCATTCCGTTGACTTTCTTTCTCACCATGGGTAAGAGGGTGGTTATGAACGCCGAGATCGCATCGCCATATGTTTTGAGTAACGTGTTGTTCTTGGTGGAAAGCTCACCGAAGTATGCGGATAAGATCGGCTGCACATGCTCCATCACAAATGTCTCGTGCGTGCTCAGCATGTCCAAAACTGCGGATAGGAACATTTGCGGCTGGTCAATTCTATCCGTTGCACGTCCCGTCGTAAAGTGGTACCGGAAACGCAATTCAAGCGGGGCGGCCAGGACCTCGATCGGCAGCAACACCGCTGCCTGCTTCCCTTTGCCTCTTTGCATGCTCGCTGCCATGCTTCTCGACATCCCATCTTCGCTCCCTAGCTCAGGAAGCTGAAGATCCAATAGTTTCCGCACGGACTCGTCGAACTGGTCGCGCAGATTATTTGGAACCATGGCTTCCTTGCTCGGCCAGCCACACTCAGACAGGATACTGCGGAGTTCTTTGGCAAGCGTTTCCTTTATCGTCCCACGCACTGAGCTGGTGATGTCCGCAACATGATCGAGCAGGTGTGGCGCGGCGCCTTCTGCGTCCACTTGCAGAGGCCCAAGAGCTGCGTTGAGAGTTTGCAGACGGCGGAAAGTGTCGAGTGCAGACCGGTGAGACTTCTCAAGTTCTTTCGGGCATTGCGAACTATAACCATAGTCAGATTTTCCGTTCATTCGTCCATGTACGCGAGGCGTTGAAGACAACGGGGAGCGGATCGCGTGAATATCTCCAGAATGATCCCGGACTCACCTCAGTTCATCTACGTCTTTCAGCAGTCGGAAATATCCATCGGCTATGTCAAGTTGCCGTAACTTGCCCATGCTATTCTCAAACTTTTGCATGGCATCGTCGCTAACCGATGAACCCGTCACAGTGAGGAGGTCCTGATCCAGCTTGCCAAGCCGGGCGGTGAGGTTCGCCCCGCGATGGATCAGATCATCGGAGCCACTCTGGGAGGCCGATTGGGTCTCTTGGAGGCTTGATTCGGCGGAAACGAGCTGAATCGAGAGTTAGCAGAGACGCCGATGTTGCCCGTAGATGGATCTAAGGGCTTGGAGACGCAGAGATGGAATAATGCCATTCCCAGACGAGGTATGGTCAAGATATAGTGGCAGCGCTAGTAACCGCAAATGGAGAGACAACTCTTCAATGGGTTTATAGAATATCGTACTAAAGAGGCCATGACCAGATCGGATGACATACCTGTTGCTTGAGCAGCTCATGCTGTTGGCGGACATTTGAGAGCAGCGCATCTAGATCTTCCAAATCGGCTAAAGTTTGCAGCTTGTCATCCACATAGTCCGCTACACGAGAGGTCCGGTCATCCGTATTCTCGCGTGGGAATGATGGGATGGAGGACTGGACAGTGGATGGCATGGCGGAAGGGTGAGTAGTAGATGCCGCCGCTGGCGTGTTCAGCGAATGACGCAGGAGCCCAATACCGTCGATGGTTGGTTTTCGGATATATCGCTAGTGCAGTCCTTTGGGGAGAGAATAAGATGGCTTTGCCCAGTAACTTTAACCAAATTGAATGGCCTTGGAGTGGCTCAATGTTGCAATGAATCAGGCGAAGTGGACACGATATCTGCCCCACAGCAAGAAACCTGTCGATAGATGACAGTAGCACGACACGCAATAAAAGAAATCAAGACAATGAACACCACGATCCTAGACCACTTCTGCCACTATATTTTAGTCTGAAGGAAAGACAGAGGAATTATTGAGTCTTGGAGGTTTAGGATACATCTGATCTTTCTCCTTGTAGTTACAGTAGGAGCATGAGGTGAGGTCGCTTCAGGACATCCAGCCAATCAGAGGGCTGGAAGATACCGCGACGCGTTCCAACTTCCAAGGTGAATATCCAACATCTTGATACTCTACAAGGGCGGCAGCTTAACACTTTGAACTTTGGTTATACACTGTAGAGTAACTTGGGATTTTGGGATTATTTCTAGATACGGATGCCACCCGCCTGCAGCCGAAAAGGAGTGAAACCTCAACTGTTGAACTGCTGGTTGCATTCGAACTGATCGATGACATCCCTGCTCCACTCCTCAGATCGGCCCGCTAAAATTTTCCTTCACGATATCAATGAACATTTGGTGAAACACCTTCCGTACACTATACAACGCACCACGCGTAGAACAACCAATCTCCTAACCTTGTTCTTGCGGTTGGTTCCATCTTCGGTCGTATATCATTTGACATCGCTGCACCGTTCAAGCTCCATTGCCTGATCCATTCGTGCTGCGACGACGAGGTCGAAGTGAATTATTGCAATATTGCCGCTGGCGTAGCGTGCTCTGGCTGCTGTGTCTCCAATCAACTACGATTTTAAACACTGCTGTATCGCCGTTATATAACATTTATGGTCTTCAGCTGTTCCTGCTAGACACTTTCGTATTCCCGATCCCTGTCAACATCTGATATACGAAGTGCGGAGATTGTCAGACTGTTCAAAACACTTCTTCCTCTTCTGATACTGCTGCGCAGATTTTCCACGACCCTCTCTACTCTTCTTGTCTTTCTTTAGCTGTTGGATCCACACTCGACTCCCTCCGCATATCCATCATGCCTCGCGAAAACAAGAAGCGTGGCCGTCGCGCCGAGAACAAAAAGAGGAAGCTCGAAGAAGAATCCGAGCTGCAGCAAGAAGAATTTTCCACACAAGAAGTCCAGGAATACGTTCCGGCTGTTAAACGACATAAACCCGACCGTGAAAAGAAAAATGCCCCCGAAAAGCATAAATACGACCCTGAAAAGCACAATGCTCCCATCAAGGACGATATGGGACAAGACTTCATGCGCGTGGACCTGACTGGAGATGCTTTAGAAGAATCTGGAGTTCCAGCAGACCTTGGTGCCATGCCCTTCTATGGCCTATTAGACGAATCTGAACAGGCATACTTCAAGAGCGCGGATGAGCAGCTTGAGGCCAACACATTTGCCGATCCCGAAGAGCGAGCAGTGTTCCTGACCAATGTCTTTCGTGAAGCCAAAGGGAAGGAAATCAAGATTGCGTCAAGCCAGGGTGTTTCCCGGCTGTTGGAGCGTATGATCTTGCTGTCAAGTTCGGATCAGTTGAAAGCCTTGTTTCGAGCGTTCAGTGGAAAGTATGTATTCCTCCATTTCGTTCTTACCATGATTTGGTCTGCCCTGTCCTTGCCAAAGTCGCTGAACCACAGCTGGCGTCAAAATATGGAGTCTCAAGCTAATCGTTCTTGTTTCAAATTTCAGTTTCTCACACCTGGTCCGACATCGCTTCGCATCTCATTGTTGCGAGGCCCTTTTCATCCATGCCGCTACTGTGGTAACGCAAGAGCTGCATGTCCCCGTCGGTGACGCCAAGTCAACGGAAGTCGAGATTGATATGGATCCTAGCGGCGACAAATTCGTATCCATGGGAACGTACTTTCTCAATACCGCGGCAGAATTGCGCCCACATGTCGGGTTCTTCATGTCTCATCGATTTGCGTCGCATGCACTCCGAGTACTACTATTAGTGCTTTCTGGATCACCTCTATCCGACGCATCCCCATCAGTCAATCCGTCCACATCGAGGTCGCTCATCCGTAGCAAGAAGAAGGAGAACAACGTGGTCTACGGATTGGAGAATCAGAAGAATGACGAACTCTTGGCTCCCCGTGAAGTGTCCAAAGAGTTCAAAAAGGCAATGGAGGAGCTGATGTATGGCATGGTCGAGCAGCTTGACACCAATGCGCTGCGAGCGCTTGCGACACATCCCGTTGCGAACCCGACGCTTCAATTATTGCTCAAAATTGAATTGACCAACTTCGGGAAGAATGTCGCCAAGGATTCGGCGTCCATTATTTACCGCCTACTGCCTGACGACCCCATGACACCAGAAAGCGGCAGCGGACAATTTATCAATGGGCTGATGTACGAGACAGTCGGCGCACGGCTGCTGGAAACCATCATTACCCATGCGCCGAGCAAAGCATTCAAAGCCATCTCCAGGGATTTGTTCCAGGGAAAGCTAGCGACACTAGCACGGAACGAAGTCGCGATGTATGTCGTGTCTCGCGTCCTAGAACGGTTCGGGAAGAACGACCTCGAGGAGGCCCGAAACGAAATCGTTCCAGCCATGGGCGACTTGTTTCGACGGAATCGTTACCAAGTCGTGGGAACCCTCATCGAACGATGCTATGCTCGAGAAGTAGACACGGGCCCCATCGCCTCGGAACTCCAATCAATCTACCATGCCGAAAACGATAGCTTCGACATCGCCCAATTCCTCCACCTCTCTGACCTACCCTCCGACCCAACCTCCACCGATGCCGCCAACCCAACCAACTTCGGTCCACCACCCGACACCCCAAAGCCGCACCCCCACGTCTCGAAACTCTCCCAAACCATCACCTCCCACCCCTCCCCCCTCAGCACCCTCCTCCTCACCTCTCTCTCCACCCTCCCCCCTCCTTCCACCCTCTCTCTCGCCTACTCCCCCTACTTCTCCCCCCTCCTCGTCTCCGCCCTCACCGTTCCCCACGCGTCCGTCGTCACCCGCCGCAAGCTCATCGCCACCTTTTACGGCCACCTCGCCCCCATGGCCCTCGACCCCTCCGCCAGCCGCGTCGTCGACGCCATCTGGACCGGGACTGCCGGCCTCGCGTTCATGCGTGACCGCGTCGCCGAGGAGCTCGTGGAGGCCGAGGAACAGTTCCGCGGCCATCGGATCGGGCGGTGGGTGTGGAAGAACTGGAAGATGGAGCTGTATAAGCGGGACAGAAGAGAGTGGACTAGGCGGATGAAGGAAGAGGTCGAGGCGGTTGGGTTTGTTGGGTGGCCGGATGGCGGTGAGCGGAAGAGTGGTGCGGAGGTAGGGAAGGAGGAGCAACAGTGGCCGCAGCGTGCACCTGGTGCGTCGGGGCATGGGCAGCGTGACGCGAAGTTTGCGAAGGGGCCCGCCGGTGCGCAGGCAGGGCAGGGGAAGCCGAAGAGTGCGATGGATCGCGCGAGGGAACGACATGTTGCGGAGAAGGCGAGGAGGGAGAAGGCGATGGCGAGGCACTATTCGTCCGCGAACGCGCAGGGTGTGGCTAGCAGGGGGAAGGGGAAGGAGACTGGGGCGGAGGCTGGGGCATAGGGATTTTGGATTGTTTTGAAGATGCTGAAAGGAGATGGGGGAGATAATGTGGGCCGGATTGTAGTTGCGTGATAGGGGTTATAGTTTGAAAAGGCGAATGGTATATGCTAAATATTGTGCATTCGCGCGTGAACTCCAGGCTTGAAGCGACAGGGCGTATGCAGATATTACCAAACTTCGTTCTCCTACCAAATACAAAGAATTAACGAGCTTGTAGAGCATATACATTGCATTCTATCAAGAAACGCGGTTGTGATACAATATCTGAGTCATAGGAAAGAAACGCTAATCCATACATAAGTCCCTTCATCAAGTTCAAACCCCAAACCCCAAACGACCGCACTCAGGCACAGCTAAATGACAAAACAATCCCAAAGGAGGGCAAGAAAGCACCCTACGCCCGCTCACTACATCTTCCCCGCGCCCTTCCGCCGCGGCGTCACCGCAAACTCCGCCACCAACGGCAAATGATCGCTAGGAAAGTTCCAGTCTGGAAACCCGGGCACCTTCCTCAGATACTCCCGATCCACCTCGCCCAGCAGCCCCTTCACCCGCACCGTGTTGCTGCTGTACCAGATATAGTCGAGCACCCCTTGGTAGTCCGGCGTGTAGTTCGTGAACGGCAACTCGCCGACGGCGCCGTATGCGGATTTTAGGGTGAGTGGATGCGACATGCCGGCCGTCGAGAAGGGCCCGTAGTCGCGTCCGTCGAGGTCGTCGTGGTGCGCGGGGAGGGAGCCGCGCGCCACGAGATCATAGACGGCGGATGTGGGCTCGGAGTTGAAGTCGCCGCAGATGACGAGGGGGATGTCGGTGCTGTTGGTATATTTGCTGGACGGAGCGAACTCCTGGTCGGGGGCATCGGGTGCATCGGGGACGTCGGAGGGACGGGACCGCTTGTCGCGGACGGGAGGGAGGTCCGCCCATTGTTCGGCGAGTTGGGTGATTTCGCGGAGGAGCACGGCGACCTGGATGAGCTTGACGTCCTTGAACTTCGGGTTCCAGAAGATGTACGCGTTGACGAGGATGAGCCGCGTACCGGTAACGCGGTTTTCGAGCAGGTTGACCAGTGCGATGTGGTCCTTTTGCCATACCCGGTTGATATAGTCGGCAGATTTCTTAACGCTTTGGTCATTAAGGCCCAGCTCGCCGAATCGCAGCGTCTCGGACGCCAAGCTGATGTATTTGTCGGTCTTCCAGAACGTGCCGCACCCGTCGACGAGACGCGCTTGCTCCCCGTTGAGGTAGCGTGAGCGGGTTCGCTGTGAGTAGTATGATGCGTAGCCGAGCTCCCTTAGCCTTTGGCGGAAGTCTTCGTGTGTGATAGCGTCGAACTCTTGGAGGCAGATGAAGTCGGATTCGAAGTTTTCGAGTTCGCGAAGGATTAAGTCGCGGCGGTAGTCCCAGCTAAGGGCTTTATCCGGGACACAGCCGTGATGTGCGGAAGTGCCGGCTCGTTGACAGAGGATGTTGTAGGAGAGTGCGGTGAAGGTTTCTTGAGATTGGTCGGACGTTTCAAAGAAACCGATCCAGTCCCGGTCGGGGTGTGGGGGCGGCGTGATCCTGTTCCGATAGTACTTAATCAAATTCTCCGTGCCGGCCTCTTTGATCTCAGGACCAACGTCATGGTCGATGGGGTTGCCACGGATCCCTAGGATCCGCAACCGGAAGAGGTAACCAATCTCGACCGGAAGATGTTCGAGGCTGTTGTCGAACAAGAGCAGCTCTTGAAGATTGCTAAGCAGGCCGATCTCCCCGGGAAGCTCAACAAGAAGGTTATTCGAGATGTCCAGATGGATCAGGTTCTTCAAGCGACCAATCTCAGGGGGGATCCGAACAAGCTTGTTGTGGTCCAGGTGAAGCTCTTCCAGGAATTCGAACCGGAACAACGCGGATGAGAGAAGTCGAAGTCCTTGGCCTGATAAATCCAGACCAGCCCAGGCTGACCGCTCTTTCGGTTTTGCAATGGCTGCCCGACTTCGGTCATCAGGGTCCTCATTATCCTCATCCGCAGCATTGACCTTCACGATATCTGGAGGCGGTCTCCTCGCAAAGGTTTTGGCGTGGTAATGTGGGGTTCCGGATTGCATGTACTCCCTGTAGGCCTTTATATGCTCTTTCCACTGTTCATTGCCCGATTCGTCCAGCTCTTCAATATGACTACCGGACGGCTCCTCATGGGCGTGTCGATCATATTGGTGAGCCAAACTCAGCGGTGTCCCGGACGAGGTGTACCGATGGGCACTGTTCTGTCCTCGTGCATGGCTTCCGTGGGGAAAGTTTTGATGTTGATGTACGCCGCCTAGATTTTGCAGATGCGTATGCTGCATGCCATACCGGTGGTGGCCTTGCCCTCCTCCGAAGGTCCGGTCATTTTGATTGAACATCAGGTCCGTGGCAAGGATGTGGTCCACTTCGGGATTATTACAATTGGTATGACATCAGAGAGAGCCCGGATTCGGATTGAATTCAAAGAAACAGGGCCCGACACAAAGATATTGGGCGTTTATTAAGCAATCTGGACCGCTGGTTGGACATCAGATGTTCGAAGTGGAGGAACTGAAAGAGCGTAGACCCGTTCAACGACAAAATCAGCCGCTTGAAAACCAAAACCCTGTGAAACTGTCAAGACCGCCGATATCGCTAGGTTTAGATATTAAAGGATAAGAACATGAATAAGAGAAGGACATGAAATAGTGAAAGATCCGATCGAAGGCATCTAAGTCCGAGAACATTCGCAAACTTGGAGCCTGATGTCTTAGATCACGTGAGGACATGACGCATGTTGTTGATCCGACGCGTTAGACATGACTCGGTCGGAATCTCCCACTCAATAAATATCTCAGTAGTGACTCCAAACTTATCTTTTTCTTCAAGCGTCGTCCTCACCAACGCTGCGTTTATTTGTCCATGAACAGAATTTCTGATCACTGGACAAATGAGAAATTCGGAGTAATCTTCAACCTTTCGCTACCCTCTTGTCTTCATGGCGAGAGCTCTGGCTGCTGCCCGTGAGGGCCTGGCGCGACTTGTGCCTGCATTCGGCATCAGAAATCTCGGGGCGCTTTTCGAAAGAGAGGTCGCTCCATGGGAGTCGGTGCGAAGATTGTGTGTGTGCGCATGACACTTGAGTGCAATACGCGGCGTATCGATCTCCTGCCTACCCTGCGAAAGCAGAATGGTTGGAGTGAGGTGCCATTCGATTCCGATTACTCGGGTGAGGACGACGCTTCAACCCTTTTTTCCCCAGGTTAGTGTCAATTGATGAATATGGAGTTCAAGGATACTACTAACGAAGTGCATGGCGATCAAATTCAAGGTCTTATCCGATGAATACGGGACAACAACGTCAGCGCTCGTTCTGGATGGAAAGTGAGCGCGTCACTTATCTTATATACATGTCATTGTCTACATCCATCAATATCAGCGATCTCTCCGCAACTTAAAACAGAAATTTATTCCCAATCATAGCTTCGTCTGGTTCTCTTCAGGTACTTTCACCACCACCTTACCCCAAGTCTCCCGATTGCCGAGTGCCCTCAAGGCCTCGGGAACGCTTTCTAGTCCGACATACTCCTTGTCTGAATACGTTGTCCCGCGATATTTCCCGGATTCCATCAATTCGTACAATCCCTCCCAGACGTCCTTGACACTTCCCGGCTCATAAGTGGAGTACATTCCCCAATGCAAGCCTACTATGCTCACATTCTTCAACAAGACCCTGTTGGTTGCAACCTTTTCAATGTCGCCGCCAGCGAACCCGATGACCAAGAGCCTTCCGTTCCAGGCGATGCACTTCATTGATTTGTCGATCATCCCGACGGGATCGTACACGATGTCGACCCCGCGACCGTTCGGGGTCAGCTTCTTGACTTCATCATACCAGGTTTCTGAACGGTAGTCGACTCCGTAATCAGCGCCGAATGACTTCGCGACGTCCAGCTTGTGCTGTGTACCGGCGGTAGCGATGACGGTGGCTCCAAAGGCTTTTGCGATTTGGACAGCAGCGAGTCCGACTCCACCAGCTGCTGCATGGACGAGGACCCAATCGCCTAAATGATGTCTGCGTCAGCATATCATATATTAATGGGGTTAGTACGATGGCTTACCCTTTTTGACACCTGCTCTAGTGACGAGACCACCGTAACTTGTCGGGCCAGTCACGAATACTCCTGCGGCATCCTCGAAAGACCAGCCCTTAGGCACCGGCTTTAACCTTGACTCATCGCAGGTAACTTTGGTGGCGTAACCTCCTTGGCCAGAACCGAAAACTTTATCCCCAACCTGGAAGGCTGGCTTCTGTCCCCCCGGCGGAGAAGTTGGGGTTTTAAGGATGACTCCAGAGAACTCCGATCCCGATATCCATGGCAGTGGAGGCTGATGTTGGTACTTCCCGCGGATCTGGAGGAGGTCGAAGAAATTGGTGGCAGAGGCGCGAACGGAGATCAGATACTGATCAGCGGCGGGAACTGGGTCTGGAAGTTCAGACACAGTAAGACCTTCAGGTCCCTATAGTACAACCACAGTCAGACAGCATCCTCAAGCCTGTCAAGTAGCAATATGCTCTCAGTTTTGGTTGAAAGTATCTTACCTGGACGTATTCTTTCACCTGGACGGCTCGCATTGTCGGATTGAAACTTAGGACTTAGGATTGTGAAGATATTAGTCTCTAATCGGCTCTAAACAAGAAATGCCAATGTATAAAGAAGCTAAATATGAACTTAAGAAGCGAAGGCTATGTCTCGATCTTGCTGACAATCCCGTTCACTCAAGCACCACCCACCAGTTACCTCGGCGGCGGGGTTTCGGGAGTTTTCAAACCAGGGCAGTGAGGGCAACAATTCTTGTGGAGCGACAGGGGTCCATATCCCATCAGAAACACTAAACCGCATTTGTACAAACGTAAACAACGACAACGGAACCTAAAGAGTCTTGTTCTCACCATGATGAAGCTTGCATATCCATCATATTAAGCCAAAATGACGACAACGGATGCATACAACCTCAAGACGGCAGCCCAATATGTCAATAACCTCCTCCTTGCGCGAGGACTACTCCGCAATGGCAAACCCATCGAGTTTGCTCGTCCATCCAAAGGAGAGGGCGGAGCCGATGCGACGATGGCGCAGATTATTAACCTTGTGCATGATTTGATTCTAAGACGAGATGTGAGTGCATTGCACTATCATGAACCAAAGAAGCAAGATTAGAGCTGATAATTGTTCCCACGGATAGCGCGAACAAACCCAACGCGAACGTATTGCCTCCACCCTCCAGAATCTCCGCACCGAAACCTCCGACCAGACACACACGATATCCCGACTTGAAACACGCGTGGACGATCTCTCGCGACAGCTTTCCCTGGCAAATGCACAAGAACGCTCCGCCCGTGCTGCGCTCCGTACAGCCGAAAATGCGATGAGGAGTATGAAGGAGGAGATGGTGCGATTGAAGACGACGGTGGTTCAAGTACGGACTGCATGTGCCAACGATGTCAGGAAGAGAGATGTTCAAATCAATCGGTTAAAGGGTCATCTCACTACACATCAGCGTGGAGCAAACCGTGGGGGTTTGGCTGCTGGGAGCATTACGATTACTCCTGGAGCCGTCGTCCCAGGAGTTCCTACTACTGGATCTGCGAATATGAATGGACGATACGAGGATGGAGACGTCGCCGGAGCAGAAACCGATGATATGTACAGCTTGAAGCAAGAAACTACCGAGTTCTTGACATCGCTCTCGCAGAGCCTGGCGGATGAGAACGACAATCTCATTTCGCTGGTCCGGAGCACAGTTGCGACTTTGCGCGAGCTACAAGGCCTTCCTGAATCGACCCCGCTGAATGCTGAAACTGGACATGGTGCTGAAGAGGGACAAGAGCCAGGAGGTATCGACGGCATGCTTCAGACCCTCCCAACATCGTACGAATCGCTCGCTGCTGACGCCGACATCGTTCTCGAGAACTTGCGAGATCTACTCACGAACCCCAACTTCGTGCCGGTCGAAGAAGTTGCCGTACGGGAAGACCAGATACTAAAGCTGAGGGAGGGATGGGAGAAGATGGAGTCGAGGTGGAAGGACGCCATCGCGCTTATGGAAGGGTGGAGGAAGCGGATAACGGAAGGCGGAGATACCATCAATTTGGAGGAAATTAAGATGGGACTTGGGCTGGGCATGGGTCTTACAAATGCGGTCAGCGCTGCGGTCAGCAAGGCAGAGATCGTTGGGGAGATGGACAGCGATGAAGAGGATGAGCAATCCGAGGACGAGGAACTGGTTGATGATCATGCGCACGCCATCCTTGAAGCGGAGATCGAACAACTGGAGACATCAAAAAACCGATCGGAGTCACGAACTGCACATTTAGACTTTGACCGGATCGAGACGCTGATGCCGTTGAGAGATTCAGCCGGAAACATCAAGTCTCCGCGAAAGAGTGTCGGCTTCGCCTCGAACAGCAGCTCGTCGAACGTGACACGCGCCACCGACGAGAATGAATCGGAGTTGGAACTGGAGCTGGAGCTGCTTGGGCAGGTTGAAGGGAGAGGCTCCAAGCAGGATGTTTCCTCATCTGAAAAACCGGTCTCGAAAACCTCGGAATCGAGGATACCACGCAAGGTACGCAGTTAACTACACGATCGCATATCTCAGCTAGATCACTAACATAACATAGACGCATACTCGCGGCTTTTCTCCCACACGACCCCAGAAAGAGCGATATCCCAAGCTAACCATCGAGGAGAAGCTCAGCGTTGCTCAAGCGGAGGCGGAAGCGGCAGCTGCCACGCAAACGAAGACGGAATCGGTGGGCACGCTATCGACGGGGGAGACGAAGCTGCAGAACCGACGAAAGAGCGTCATCCCCACTCGAATTGGAGGGCGACCAAGGAGGAGGAAAAGCACATTGAGCCCGGAGGAACTGGAAAGTTTAATGGTTTCGAATTGAATCACTAGCTAGAGCTAATGCGCTGAGCGCTGAGCGCTGAGAATATGGACACGGAAGAATTAAAGGCGTCTGTTGACGCCGACTTTTGCCATGACGATGCGAAACGCCGCCTGTGGATATCTCATAGCCTTTGTAACTCCTCATACCTCGTAACGACGCCTGTCACCGACCAGGAGATATCATCATGCTCCTCCGCCTCAGCATCGGTAGTCTCCGATCATGCTACCGGTCCCTTAATCCATCCTCACATGCCTCCTCGAGAGAAGTGGTAGAGCTGTCCATTCTCGTCCATCGGCTGCATAGGATACGCATTGTGGAATCCGAAATTGCCTCCCTGAGACGTTCCATCCGAAGGCAAGCCCTCAGGCATCGCCAGCGCGGGATGATTCGCCGCACGAAGCAATTCGGGATCGATCCGCTCCTCGTGCTCGGCATTCGCCTGGCGAAGCTGCGACTCAAGCGCGTTCATCGCGACGGTGGAGGGCGCCGGGGGGGATGTTGGGGGATGCACCGAAGGTCCGGCGGGGGCGTCATGAGCAAGAGGGACGTGCCTCTTCGGCATTCGCGGAGGTGCGGGCCCGGGACCAGGAAGGGCTTGGGATAGACGGCGACGCGTCGTCGGGTCTTCCTTGGCGAGGTTGTCTCGGTAGCGCTTCTGTGCCTCTCTCGCAACCAGTTCGAGGGCCTTACCTATTTCCTTCTGGTTCTCGGGGGGGGCCGTGGCGACCATATCGTGCAGAAGGGGTGTTTTGGCGATCCACTCCTGCTTGATTGCGTCCCAACGTGCAAGACCCATCTCGGATTTGGTCCGGGCATTCTGCGCGTGGAGGATGTCGATGAAGGTATCTCGAACTTGTCGATGATGCTCCGGATCAAGGCCTAGGATATTCTTGGAAACGGCGAGCGGTTGGCGAGGGTTGGTGCGGAGTCGCTTTGCGATATCCTGGCACAGATTGTCCAAAGCACGGTTCCGCTTGTCAATGATCTGTTCGGGAACATGAGGGTAATTCTCCGTTCGGAGCAACCCTCGAAGCTTCGGATGGATCTCAATGAGAGTAGCCTTGGCGTCTTGCCATCCGCTGTCCTTCTTGCGGGTGATGCCTCGTTCCCGGCAGATTTTCTCGAACGTCGACTTGACCTCAGCATATTCCTCGTTGTCCAGCTCAAGACGGGATTTGCATTCGTAGAGTGGCATCTCGCAATCATATCTGACACCGGTGGGTCTCTTGCGCTTCGGGGTAGGGTTGGGTTCGGCAGGATCGTTCTGCAACTGAGGGGCGTATCCGTTCGCTTGTGATGCAAGGGCTTGGCTGATCTCAGGAATATAGGATACAGGCTATATGATATGTTAACAATGATCTTGACAGGACTCGCGAAGAATGGGACTTCTAAAGACTGACGTTCTCAGAGGAAACATTGCTCTGTGCGAGATCTGCATCTGTAGCATTCTCATTCATGCCCGACATGGTGTCATCTTGAACATCTCGGACGTCTTGGACATCTTGAACATCTTGAACATCTTGGACATCCTCAGTAATTGCTTCGGTAGCAGCCGTCGGTTCCTCAGACTTGGTCTTGTTCGGAGTCCTAAGAAGGAACCGCTGGGATCCTCGAAGCCTGGAGAGAGATCTGGAGGAGATGTTGAACCCTTCTCGACGGAGGATCTCCAGCATCGACGCCTGAGTTTCGTTCTGCTCCCAGAGCTGGCGAATGCGCGCCACGAGCGCTGGGCTTTTGTGAGCCGGATTGTGCTTGCTTGGGAAGTGCCATCGCTATTTGCTTGTCAACAATCGATCACATGCCCTCATCGAAATACATACCTTGAATTGAGACTGGAATGCTCGTTTGCTAGAAGACCTCAGGCGTCAGCCAACGTCCATGGATGGAAATGTGAATGGTGTCGCTATAGTCCACAAGAGTCGGTCTCTCAACGCCGAAGAGGCCCGCGCGAGCTCCCGAAAAGTCGTGCATCATTCAACATTCTGCGTCATCTGCTCTTCTTTTCTTTTAACCATTTCCACGAGGAGAAATGCAAATCCACGCGCCCAATCACCCATCGATCAAAACGCGTTGGGGGAATGATGGGGGGTTCTACTCACGAAGGATTGAAGCCTTGAGCCTTCCAGTATTGCATCACCTCATCAATGGATTTCTTTTCGATGACATACTGCCGATAGCAAGTATCAAGCTTGCCATCCCAGTCATAGACCATTTTGTCACTGGTTTCTCGAGCCTCCTCGCTGTCTGTAATCGTCGCTCTGTCGCGTCTTCGTATTGTTGTCGGATGAAGTTGAAAATCACGTGAGATCACGTGGATTTAACTCGACTACAACTTCTGATTACTAATCATAACTAGTGGTGATCAGGGTGGCTATTTAAGCCGGATCGGCCTGTGTAAAACTGTATTTGGACCCTGAATTAACGGCTTATAATTGACTCGGCCTGCAAGCCGGTACAAGCCTAACTTTCTTCACCTCTAGCCTACCATAACTTCTTGGTTTCTGATATTCGATTTGTATGAAGAGATACAAGGTGGAAACGAGCCAGCCCGAATCACTCAAAAGTGGAAACGAGCCAGGCCAAATCACTCAAAAGTGGGGACAAAGCCGGAATGGCTTGTATTTGCCTAAATAGCCACCCTGGTGGTGATGTCTCCAGTCTCACTGCTCACATCTGGGCCTCTGGCAGATGGTAAATTGCAGCATGTGAAGTGAGTGAATTCAGTTCAGCAAAATATTACATCAGCACATTTTATTCATGAGGATGAGTTTGGCAATTGGCATCCTTCATTTGCCATTATTTTCGGCATCTGGATCTATCGTGTATACAAGCATCCATGAGTGGAAGCCCATCACTTGTCTACCTAACACAGATTCTAGGGTCAATGTAACCGATTGCTGAAGCATAGCACCACTCACAAGATGTTTGCAAAAGTACCTGTATGTACTCTTACCAGTACTTGCCTCTAAGGCTTCGTAAATCCTTAATGGCCTCCTTTATTAGAACTTACAGTACCTAGAGATAAAGATATTCTTTATTCCACTCCATGGTGGATGCTGAGGGACCCGTGCGTGCCCTGTCAAGTGCATCTGCATCATTCTATCAATTCAGTCCCAAGCCACCTTGGATGGTCACCTTTTGATATATTTCTGGTTTTCTATCCCAACTCCTCCAGTTACCAGAGGTCTCAGTTTGACTATTTAGGTACCCTGACATCGTTGGCTCGCCTTACACCTCCTGAGAAACACCCACGCGGTCTTGGTACTCTCAGCGTGCACTCTTTCCGTCTACCAGACATGGTAAATGAACTGGATATACTTGTCGCAAAGGCCTTTTCTTCCCTTTCTCACAGTAACACGGAAGAAACATTGATTGTTCCATTATCGGTGTTAGATGGATCCAACACCGCTTTACTAGTAAGAGTACATTTTCCTATGCCCTTATTTCCATCCATTCCTAATCTAGCAATTTATCTGTTCAAACCGAGATCATTAGAGCTAACTGGCACTGCGGTCTCTAATAAGGATGCCTCATTTAGCTGTTGATGAGCCGATGAGTGTGAGCATCAAGCATTTGGGAGGGTCAGTTATGCCGGCCTAGAAGGATATCTAAACCAGCTAATAGTGCTTTTGACGCCTTCGACGATGACACTATCTTCAAGTTGATTCCCGGCGACCAAAAGCCTCTCTACGTTCATGGCACAGTCCTTTCCACCTGTGGATCTGCCTTCCTCGAGAAAATTATGGATTGGTCCTGGAAGGAGTCTGACGAGAAGGTTATCGACATGAAAACACTCGATAGACCTACCGTTCAGCGACTAGTCATTTTCACTTACCGCCAAGACTATCGTGCTTATGAGCAAGTGAGGGACTACCGCCATTGGACCGATGAAGAGGCCTGTCTGACGACTGAAGAACCTTTGCTTCGGGCTTGCAACTGCCTTCATTGCAAGCCAAAGCTTCGTGCTATGACAGAGACGCTTCAAGACCAGGACGTTGCGGGTGAGTTATTTTGGGCCCCATGTTCCGAATACCACGGTAGAATGTCGTCCTCGCATTCTCATACCAGGCCCTTCTATTATACTGGATCCAGTTGCTATATCTATATCTGTTGTGTTAAATTTCGAGTACACTGACTCAGTTGACTTTCTGGTTCCGAAGCTAACACTGAATTAGATGGACAAGACTCAGTTGCTCAAACCACATCATTTTATGAGCTAGCTTCACTGTGGCCATTCAACCCTGAGAACCCGCTTTACCCCCTGAAGAACCCAACCACCGAGATGCAATTTTTTACGATAATGCTGCTTATTCGCGTGTCATGCTTTACAGCATTGGGCAAGATATTCTAGCGCATGCGAAGCTATATGTCCTTGCAAACGTTCTCCAGATGCCAACACTCGAGCAGTTTGTCCTCAAGAGGCTCATTGGCAACTTACATACCATTGTTAGGTCTCTCTACCGTGTGCTTAACGATGACTATAAGATTATTGTTGATGCAATCCGGTATATCTATGGCAACACTCCAGCTACGAAAAAGTTCGGAGGTGTTAGCAAGAGCAGTGATGTGTTCTTTTTTTGGCAACGGAGTTCGAATATATCTTCGACGAAGCTTACGAGGTGATAATCCGGGAGATGACAGATCTGTTCACAGACGTAATAGGGAAGGTAGCATTACGACTGGAGTATACCATCTACCCGACTGATCCCCCTGAATGGTGGTCTAATCAGGACCTTCAAAGTTAGGGTCATTCCCCTCACAGAAGTTCTAATCCAGAAAAATTGAGTGCAAAGACACCAGAGACGCTATTCCTGAAGTCTATTCTCACTGAAGGCACATCTGAGCCTTCTTACAGAATCAGTCCTCATGGGCGGCATAAAACTCATAGTGCAATATCCTGTAGAACAATAATCCCCCTTGATATGCTCTGCTATCCTGTATTGCCCAGAACGTATCCCGGTGACTGCTTGTGAGGATGGTCCAGGCGTGAGGAGTGATGATTTCCAAACCGCCTTTCCCTACCATTATCAACAGGAGATAATGGTGAAGATATGTGTTATCGCTGGCACCTAGTTAGATAATTCCATCGTTCGCTTAGATCCCCAAATCCGCCATCTCCAAACAATATTTCCCCATCAACTTCCATGCAGAACCAGTGGTCGGCCTTCCGTTCATCCACCAGGTTCCTCTGTTTATCGACTTTATGGCTTCCGATTTTATACCAGCTCAGGTGAGCGCGAATAAGGGTGACCTGAATCCTTTTCACCGCACCAACATGCAAATGCCCATGTGTTGGGTAGCTTGGGAGGCAAAGTAACCTGACATAACTGAGCGGACATTGAAGAGAACTGACTTGATAACCCAGCAAAACTGACACCGGGGATATGATCCAGATCCTTGTCGACAGCGAGAGGAAAGTGTACTACGTACATGAGTCCGTCCTGAAAGGTAGCGGAGCCCGGTACATCGAGGCAGTTCTGAACGAGTCATGGAAAGAACCTCGGGACCGCATCATCGACCTTACCAGCTAGAATCTATTGATATAAGTTATATCAGCTGACACCTTCATCAGATGAATCCGATAGCGATATCGATGATAGCGCAGAAGAGCTAGCTCCTCCTTCGCCGACCGATGGACCTCTCACGCCAATTGCTAGTTTCGAGGTACCTAAACGACGAGCCGAAACCGCCTACGATCTGACCAATAACCCAACTCCTCATCGAGAACTGCAAGCAGGAGGGTTCGGGGATCACCCTCTATGGCATCGGCCGAGTAGTGAGGGCGCATTGCGAGGTTTCCCTTCTACCCCAGTACCTGAACATGGCGTCACTTGAAGACTTCGCGCTGACAAGATTCCAGGACGCGTTTGGAGTGATCATGTTCGCCTATGGTCGCACGCCGGATGAGGAACACGAGCACATTGCTGCAGCGGCATTGGTCCTGTACAAGAATTCCAGTACATGGGAAGAGCAGCCGGAGCAATCCCGGGACATCCTCTCACAATTTGTCGCCCTGACCTTCTAAGAGAAAGCCTAACCGGCGTGTTGGAATGTAATGTGCTCGCATAAGGACCTCCAGCACGACGTCTTCACAAAGGCCACACAGCACATGCGATACCAGAAAGAGCATGTCAAAAAACTCGAAGGAACCATCACCACCCAGGACGGGCAGCTGGACGCGTGGTAGCCTCTTCCCAGTGCCCCGGGATTAACGATTAATGGTGGCTTTAGGACGAGAGGTTTACGCCTGAGTGGGAGTACTTCCCGATCGGTTGAGTAAGTAGTCAATGATGGATTCATCACATCAAGCCTATGTTGGTGGTGGAGAGAGGGATAGAGCCATGACAGGACCTGCTGGAAGGAATTGGGGAGGACTGGATGGATATATCCCTTATACGCACATTTCTGATGAAGGATGACTTCAACGACGAATCATCAAGCTGGGAACTGTATCTGATATGGGCGTTTTGTTGCTACTTTACAATGTTGATAGATGTTGAGTTGCTATGCGATGCTATGAGAGAAATGAGACACGTAACCCCTGAGCAACACCCCACCTTTGCAGCAACGTGAAACCGAAGGGCTCATACTGTGACCTCACATCCCAATCTCCCCGCATTCACCCACACACAACTTTCACTTTCTACCTCCTCTCCCGCACTCTGATTTTTGGTTCTCTCAGGACCCTTCTACCATCCAAATCCATCCTCCCTTGTTTATCTCCCATCTCCCTTCCATATCAGTTACAAACACAACAACATCCCTCAGCCTAAAAGGCACCCCGCGCTATAATCACACATTGACCTCTGTCATCACCCCCACCATGGCGATCCGTATCTCCCCCTCTTTTTTCCTGCTGAGCAGCATCATCGTGATCCTCATCCTGCAAGCTCGCCCTGCCAATGCCTTTGGTGCCGGAAACATTGCCTCCATCTCCAAGATCGAAGGTCAGAACTGGCGTCATGGCGACATCGAAGACACCCTGCTTGGTTTGCTGATGGCCCGCTCGGCCGGCGGCAAGAAGTTCTCCAAGATGGACGTCAAGCGCGTGTATTTTGGGAACTGGCTACGTGACTACTCTCAGGCAATCGATGTTGGCACCGTGAAGCACGTTAGCGGCGAGGTATGTCATTGGTATGTCCTTGATAAATCGTCCGTACTAAGCTTTCGTTCATAGGCTATCCGCCTCCTTCTCTGGATTCTCGGGTTCCTTAGCTTTGGATTTGGCACCCGCGAGTTCGAAGTCACCGAGGAGAGGCTGGGCTGCTACCGTCCGGAAGAGCACATTGATAACCCAAAGGATTATGCGGACAACTTAGATGCTCGTCGCTACGATCCCAGGCTTCGTGGCCCAGTCGACGAGCGCCGTGAGCTGGACATTGATCAACGTACAGGCCTCAAGAACTACATTGCCTCCGAAGACCTTGGCATTGCGACTTCTTCCGGCCTTATTCGAGATCTCTTTGGACGCTCCATCGATCTTGGTCGCAGGTATGCCCGAAGCAAAAACAAGGACGAGCTTTGGGAAGCGCTGCGACTGATGGGCACTGGTCTGCACTGCTTGGAAGGTATGTAACCCATGATAAATAATTGGTAAACGCTAACAACAATCAAGACTACTCTGCGCATTCCAACTACACGGAGCTGGCTCTCATTGAGCTGGGCGAGCGTGACGTCTTCCCCCACGTTGGCCGGCGTACTCAGGTCCAAATCCAGGGAGCTCGTGACGCCGTCTACCCGATTGTGACTGGAACGTTCGGAGGTGTTGACTTCCTCCACTCCGTGATGGGCGAAGTGTCGGACAAAGTGACCCAATCCGAAATGGATGAGCTCGAAGGCACCATGAACTCGACTCAACAGCAACAGAATGGGAGCATGCTCAAGGATTTCCTCGACAAGCTTCCCAGCGGTCTGTTTGGCGGCGACGACGAGAAGAAGAAGGCCGACGATCTCCAGGCGAATGCGGCTGCTGCTCAGATGCAGAACATGAACATCTCGCCGAAGCAGCCGGAGGAGTTTACGCGCCAAATCAGCGAGATCATGAAGACGCAGGTCTATCCGATCATGGCGTACCACGATGAGATCATGCACAGCATCACCGAGACGATCGAGAAGATCCCTATTCTTCCCGACCTTCTCGAGCAATTCACCGAGCAACTCAACCTCTTCGTCTTCTCCCTACTCGCTCCGTTTGTCCTCCCCATCATGAGCCAAATCAAGAACGAGCTCGCCACCGGTAGCAGTGAAGTCATCACCTCGTCCCGTGAGGCACAGCACATCGTCTTCAACAACGACTCTTGCACCGACCCTACCCACTCCATGCTGTCCAAGGACCACTTCTCCAATGTCCTCAACGAGCCCGCCGGCAAGACCGCCACCGCCATCGTCAAATGGGTCGTCCCCCAGCTCATGGACTGCTGGGACGACGAGCGCGCCGACGTCGGCCGCACCATCAATCGCATCATCGGCGGCGTCTTCCACCACCCCGCCCTGCGCGACCACGGGGAGGACGGCGCGCACGAGGGCCGCCAGATCATGTTCTGCACCGTGGAGGAGTGGTGGCGCGGCGAGTCCGAGCGGTCGCGCCAGGATCTGCGCGGGAAGTTGAGCCGCGAGGGGGTCCAGGCCGGCCGCAATCATAAGGAGGGCGTGCACGACAAGGGGCACGGCTGTGGGAAACCGCTGGGTCTGCCGACCGCTGGGACGGCGACGAGCTCGGGCGCCATTGGCGGTATTCAGAACCTGTTGGGAGGTGGCGGTAGTGGAAGTGGACGCCCTGGAAAGTCTCCGATGGACCATGTTGGCAAGGCTGCGGGTGAGGCGGTTGGCGGAGGGGTCCTCGGCAGCATGCTCGGAGGTCTTGTCGGCGATGTTGGCGGGAGCCTACTCTCTGGTGCCTTCGACAAGCCGAAGGACGAGCATAAGAAGTCGAAGAAGAAGGAGCATCATGACGATGGCAGCTACACGACCAAGTACAGCGAGTCGGGGCATCATCAGGGTGGACGGTACGACGACAAAAGCCGCCATGAACAGGCGGAGTATCGCCACACGGAATATCCAAGCGGCGGTCACCGTGAGGAGTACAGCAGCCATACTCAGACCAGCTACAGTGGATCTACTCGTTCATACCAGACCGAATCTCGGTACGTCTTCCCCCGCAGCTAACCAACCATAATCCTGACCCCATTTCTCTGACCACTTACTGATCTTCTCGCAGCACCCACGGCGGCTCCTCTTACAAGAACAAGTCCGATGACGAAGACGACTATGCCAAGAAAGAGCGCAAGCGCCGCGAGAAAGAAGAGAAGAAGCACGGCGACTATAGCAAGGACTCGGACGATGACTCCAACGACTCAAGCGACGACAAGCACGGCAAGTACGGCAAGCATGACAAACACGACAAACACGACAAACACGAAACCCATCGCTACGGCTCTGGCGGCTACGAAGGTCGCGGTGGCTACAACGAGTCCGCCTCCCACTCCTCTAGCGGCTACCAAGGCCGTGGCGGGTACAACGAAGAAAGCCGCGAGCACAGCTCATCCGCGCAGTACTCCCGCGGCGCGGAGCCCGAATATAGCTCCTCCACCTACCGCCGCGACGACGAGGGCGGCTACGGCGGGCGCGGCGGCTACAACGAATCGCGGCGCGAGGAGAGCGAGCTGGGCGCGGGGTCGGGGACGTATGGGCAGGGGAGTTACTCGACGGGGGAGTATGAGACGGGGCGGAGTGGCGGGGGGTATGGTGGGCGGGGCGGGTGTAATGAGGGGAGTGGGGCGTATGAGGGGCGGGGCGGGTATAATGAGGGGAGTGGGGCGACGTATGGAGGGGGGGGCACGTATGGGAAGCAGGGAGGGGAGTATGCGCAGGAGAGGCAGGCGGGAGGGTATGGTGGGGGGAGTGAGTATTCTGGGGGTGGAGGCGGGGGGTACAGCCAAGGGGGAAGCTATGGGAGGGGAGATGATGAGGAGTATGGGCGGCGGGAAAATGAGGGCGGGTACGGAGGAAGGAGGGGCGGTGGATATTGAGAATGATTCCTCCGGGAGGGATCGAGTGTCAGCCACGTCTCGTCACTCCTGTGATGGAAGGGATGGATTGGAAGGGGTTTAATGCTTCCTTTTACCGGTTGAGTGGAAGACGCAGGGTGGGGATCCTTTGAACACCGGACGGCGGACGGACTCCCCACGAGTCGATAAAAAGACCAAAAAAGTGACTTTCCTAGAAATCGTGCAGAATCCGTACGTAGCTGCCCTATCAGGCTAGAATGATGTATCCTATCCTCAATTCTGCGGTGTTCGCAGTCCTCTCGGAGTATCACGACGTTCTCCCTCTCCACCCTCCACCGTCAATCAGGGGCGCGTCCTGCAGCTTCGATCGTCAGTATCACGTTCATAGCTTCAGGCGCATCCGAAATGCCACCACCCTTCAACGGTTCCACCCCATCCACATGACGATCATCTCAGGCAAAATTGAGAAGATTTTTTTTTAGATTAAAGCTGGTTGCGAAAGCATCGGAGAACCGAGAAGTCCCGTGCAGGTCAAGGAATGACACGCAACGGACATCCCTCGCTCCTCATATGGCCCCAGCGTTGCTCATCATTTGACGATCGCTGTTCGACGGAAATGAAGGGTGGGAAATCGGCCGGAGAAGGAGGGAGTCTCACTTACGTTTGTTTATGAAGTTGGTTATGCAGGGGCAGCAACACCAAGACGGCGATCGTTATATGTTCAGACTCTTCAGAGGTTGGAGGCTCATGATGATACGTTTCTAGAAGGTTATTTGCGGCGTCTCGGAACCTCTAATAATAAGTCTAAATGAAGTTAATGAACCCAAGTCCCGAAGCCCTGGCAGTGCGCCTCTACTGCTATCAGGAAATCACGATTCCCGGCCGGCCCGTCAATGGTAACTTATTGTGCTGCTTGTTCAAGTTAGTCTGTCTACTAGACATGTTCATTATTACCCAGCATTTCCTGGCAGTCAAACGCTCCTCCATCAACACAGATTTTCCCGCCGAATGGCACTATGGCAGCCACCAGACGGCAGACACTGAGACATGGAAGCGCGTCCATGATCAGATCCACCAAACACGTGGGCACCACCAAGCATGCAGCTGACCTTGGGAGTTGGGCTACCCTCGCCTGAACCAGGCGGTCAGGAAGCCCGGAATCAAACGGAGCCGCAGCCCGCATTCTGCATTGCATTGTCGTACAGGCGTGCGGCACATCGCTCATGCGCTCGAAGAAGTGCACATTCTCTAGCCTCTGCTGCTGTACTGCACGATATTGACGATATTTCGCGTGTTTTTGCTGAGTCAAGAAACGGGACAGACGCCGCGCACGATCTAACTGGACGGTGAAGGGTCAAGCACTCAAGTGTCGTGCAAAAGCGGCGGCGGTCCACACGAGCTTGGTCGGATCGAGTTAGGAATCGATGGTGAATCTGGGAAAGGGGCCAGATACATCAACGTGGGAGCCACGGCAGACGACCATTCATCGTACAGTACGATGGTGGAATGGTGCAAACGCTAGAAGACAAGTGCGCCGAGGAAGATAGGACCCTGAGGCGAAAATGATGAGCCTCAAGCGACAGGCTTGCGATTGAACTCGGAAGTCGGATAAATGATAATTGACTTGCGAGGTAAGGTGGTACGGGATCCAAAGATAGTCATTAAGGAGGACATTTACGATTTATGCGTGTGAGAACCGACATGGGATCTGAATTCCAGAGATCAAGACAGTGATGATCGACCATTACGGCTTACGGACAAATTTCCTGACTGCATGAGTGATGGGCGATTAGATTGTATCATTGTAGGGTATGGAGATGGGGGAAAAATGAGGGAGAGAATAGACAAGGAAGAGCAACGGGGAGGCGTGGAAGCAGCCAAGCAGAAAGACGAAAACGTGGGACCGGCGAGCGATTCGTTCTCCAGGGAACTGCCAAGCATCAACGACGTCATTGCGGCTTTCATGGGGAAAGGAGCCACCGGGATTCCGGAACTGGGAAAGACAGGGGTGTTTCCTGCTGGACAGGGGTACTTGCTCTCTCCACTTCTCCGGCCATGAGAAAGTGAGAAATGATCAGTGACGGCGGTGATTCGCCTGCAACGCCTAAATATTAGACGTCGTAACCCGGATGTTGTAAACTCGTAACCCAGTAGACCCTGTAGACCCTGTACTCTGTAGAGCCCAGAGAAGGTGGCGCTAAAAGGCCCTAGAGTGAGTAGAGTGCCGTCACTGCCTTTCCCTCCCCGGCGCTAACAACAGTGCACCATCGGGTTGGTCGCTGTCTCGCCGACTGGACAGCACGCTCGTCGATCACCGTACTTCGCCTCGTATTGCGGGTCGCTCAGTTGCTTGATGCTTCAGGCTGGGCAACGAAGAGGAGAGCCGGGGAGAACCTTCATTTCGAGACAGGGCTAAAGATGGCGATCCTGTCGTCAGATGAAGAGACCAGTCACCATGTTGTAGAGATGCACAATATGTTACACTGTATGTTGGAATAGTCCTATTTCGAATATATCATCAATACCTTGATGTGTTTCAGAGGGTATGTTCCATATTACACCCTCCCTGCTCACTGGACAAAGGTCATGCAGTGGCGTACTGGCGTCCCGGGGAAGAGGCTTGTGTACCGCGTAGAGTACCTACTGTACTCCGGAAACGGTAGTAGATTAATCACTAACCAAGCGTTATAAGACTGAGACTGGTCACTGGTGAGAAACAAGAGAGGGAAGAGGCCCAATATCCGACGGTGGCGCTTTTTAAGCGCCCTTCATTCTGCACCCCTCAGCCCATTCCTGCATCGCCGCGTTGAACCGTCGAAACTCTGGACGAGCCAACTGTTTTCGGTTTACACTTCTCCAGAGTCCTGGGCCCAGCAGAGTGGCCAAATCGACATCATCGGAAATCTGTATATGTGTGTATCGTGGGATTCATCGTGACTTTCGCCGCCTTTGCACATGCACTGCCCCAAGCACCCACCCCAAGTCCCAACGGATATGAAGTTCTTTATCGACACATGGACAAACCCCCCGTCGACTTGGATTGGCCACCCCGAAAACAGGATCTACCGGCGCATAAGCCCATCAATCTACGACTCGGTTGGACCCCTTTCTCTTTTTTACCCTCCGGCGATGTCATTGCCGTCCTTGCGCCCGCTGATCATCCTCTCCATCAAGCAGACTTTAGCTGTTCTGCCCCCTAGACCGCAGATGACATCTCATACAGTGACAACTTACAGGCCTAACCTCGCACAAAGCATCCCCTATACGAATCAGATTTACCCTTCTATTGCTCTCCCTTGCCTCGGGTCCTCTACGGCCTACAGGGCTCTACCGCTTGGTTGTAGACTGTAGGTGGAAAGGTTTCACCTCTCGGCACCCAATTCGTCCCCCATTTCGGGGTCCAGTCGCATAATTTGTAGTGGGAGATTTGCTAGAAGATCTGCTCCAACGGTCCTGGCTGCTCCGCCCTTCTTTTCTCCATTCAGGAAGCTATCGTCAGATCACTGGGTCGGCCAAAGAAGAACTGAAAAAAAATCCCAACTCCAGTGGCCTTCGTTCATAAGTCACGACACAGCCTGCACCGAGTCCAACCGCAGGTCCCGTAGTTACCGTTGCTATTGCGTAGCGTGCCATCTCGCCTTCTCTACCGTACTACCGAATCCACGCTGCCTATTTCCTCCCCAATTCCTCCCTATTCCGTAGACTTAGGTTGTTCCTCATCTGACCGGCAGGCGAAAGCGCATCAATCGCTGGCCGTCCATCCAACGGACGCTTCGTCTACTAAGCACATCATTGCCGTAGAGACTTGCCATCCCTTTCCGTGATGAGCGTCTGATGCAACCGACCAACGACAGGACCCCACGCCCGCCTCTTTTTCGTTGCTCGGGTGCTGATCTCTCCACGTCTTGAGTCAGACGGGCTGGCGGAGCGCAACCCAAGAAAACTGCCGTCATCCCCCTAAGAATTTGGCGTCGAGCTTCCCTCGCTTCTCCATAGTCCCATCCATATATCTATGGTCCGTACCTTTTGGAAGTTGTCCATCCAGCACGCATTCGCCCATCGCAGAACCGGATCCGACTAAGGAACCGGGTAGACCCCGATTATCAATCTGGCTGTGCTGCAGGAAAGCTAGATAAACTCACGCACGACTCCACCCCGCACGAGATAGTTTCGACGCCGCCCACTGCTAAGTGCTAACCCTGGGACCGGGCTGAACGGATCTTTGAGTGCAGCGTCGCCCAGCGTGACCAGCTTTCAGTCCGCGGAGCTTTCGAACCATCTTCCCTCGTCAATCGCATACCCTTTTTGGGTGAAAGGATGAAATAACTGGACATCTTTTCCCAAGAGTTTCCGATATTTATCCCTCCGAGCGTCGGCATTTCCTTGTCGGCTCGTCTCTGTTGGGTTGAAAGTCGCGTCAGGTTCCATCACAGCCCACCCGCTTCAGGGTCTTCGACGACAAACTGGAGAACCCTTCTTCAGTTCTTCCTCCCACACCGAAAAACCATCCTCACCTCCTACATACTACGAAGGGTCTTCCCTCTAGGAGGGGTTTGTGCATCTGGAATTCTCAGATTCCTACTTCTTCCTCTATAATTATATCCTCACATACTTAATTCTAAAGAGTCGCCAAGGTCTCATACCCTAATCTACCTTGGACTCCCGACATCGCCACACCTGCCGCCGGTTCTTCTGGGCCTCACATTTTCCTGGCACCATGCCATCACCGACGTCCTCCGGGACTGCGCGATCCTCAATCCCTACATCCGCCCACGCCTCCTCATCCGACCGCAAATGGAGCGTCGACTCCGAAGTCGACCGCGACGCCTCACCATCGTCAACCGATTCTGGGGTGCGAAGACCACAGCACCGGACACTATCGCGACCGGACCTCGCTCGAAAACATAGCAGCTCCATCATCGTGTCGAGAGACACCCCTAATATCGAGATCGAGATTAACGAGGAGGAGTATGACGAGGGAGACGCACGGACAATGAGCCCGCGGAGAAGTAGTGAAGAGATTGATAGGATGGGAGAGGATGCGCGCCAGGCACTTATTGAGTATGTCGGCTCGAAACCACCACAATTTGCGCGCTGGTTTGCTAACCGTTATAGACAATCAAAGGTTCTCCAACAAACGTTATCGGATATCGTCGAGCAAGTCGAGTCGATACGAACAGAACACGACAAGCTGGAGAGCGGGAACAACTTCCTACAATCGTACGTCATTACTTCTTATCAAATCTCGAAGGTCAATACTAACGCGATTGAAGATACATCGGCGACCTCATGGCCGCAAGCAAAATTACATCAACATCAAGCTCCTCAAAACCTGGCAAAGGCAAATCAAGAGGGGTAAAATGAAGCGACCACCCGAACCACCCATTTCAAACAACCACCTCCACGATACCCACGGCCTCCATGTACGATCCACGCAAAATCATGGGCAGAGGGGCACATTCTCGAGCGTCCCAAAACGCGTGAATATCTGATGAACCTTCTATCGTTCACTGAACAACCCTGCAACAAATCATTGTTCGCAAACGACAACCAATCTCCCGCAGCATGGCGCTGCCTCTCCATCCATCCAATCACAACTTTTCCGGGGAATATGACACAATTCCCCTCGATTCTCGACCATCCGACCAACCAACCTGCCTTGCTATTTCTTCCTCGAACTTCTAGCGCTGCATCCTCTCGGTTCCGAGGGCCCTTTGCCACTATTCCAACATGGTTCCCGAACCATTCATATCCGGCGTTATCATAGCTTCCATCAGTTTATTTCCTCTAATGCATCATCCACATCAGGGCGTTTATGAGACAGGTGTGGGAAGGATATGGTATCCTCATCTTTCGGGCTTTTCTGGTTCACGCGGCACACCAAAAAGGTAACGGGACGGACTGGACGGATGGCATCATTGGGTTTGCACGAACTTCTCAGTATTCTTCTGGCTACCGATTGGGTTTTGCTGGCATCTCGGATGTCGAGCAGCATCTGTGGAACGGGACGTGTGATTGCTGGTGGACGAGCGTGGAAACCAATCGCCCCCTTCCATGGTAATGACATTCCATGGCCTTCAACAACAACCTGTACCATCAGATTAGGGGGTTCCGCATGTCTTCGGGACAGCCGGGTGCTTCTTGGTCGTCCGTTTCTGCGATCTGCGTTTTCCAGGATGCCAATCCTTATTATCTCATGTGCATTTGTACGCTAGGTATCTCCGTCTCGAGTCGACGTGAAACGACAGATCACCGCACACATGCTTGTGCGAATCAGGCTCATCGATCATTGAGATATCGATCACACTGAGACGGTGATCATCCAATTAATGCAAACATCGATTTCGTTTCGAGTACAGTGCCTCTGACGACCACCAACATGTCGCTCCATTCCTCCCCACGCTCCGCACCATCTGATCTCTTCCCACCATTTTTCCTCGTCCACTCATCCATCCACGCGATAACTCGCCTGCTTACTGATGCTAACTCCCTTCCAACCACCGACCCTCGCCGAATTTGTCACAGGCCTTGTGTCGGCAACACAGCGCACGGATCGGCACGATCGACACGCCAGCGCATCACGAGGACGGCGGTCTGCCTAGGCGCCGTTGCAGCCGTTGAAGGCGTCCAGATATTCACCGGTTGGTTATCGAATTTCGCCGAGGAGATTAGGCAACTGGTCGGTCAGGTCGTCGTGGCCGGCGCGGGTGAAGTGGCATCTCTTGGTAGCAATGGGAGCTCGACCTGGGGAAGAGGGATGAGGAAGATCCTTGGCTACTAGGATCGATGGGAAGGGTCGGGATGGAGCTATCCATGTGGGTGGGCAGGGAGGCAGATCTGATGCGGTGCGAGGCTGCTTGACTGCATTGGGGGGTTGGAAGGAATTTCTTGGGCACCACAGGGTTCTCAGTCCTCTGCTGTAGCTGCACTGCTGCAGGATGTGTGGAACATTGGACCCTGGATTTCAAGATATTGTCGGAAAGTTTAAATGTGGTTCGTACACAGTACGTAACTTGTTGATCCGGCTCGCTCTTAAGTTCTTACCATGTAACATCATTTTCTCATTCCAATCGACGGTATATGGGGGTGGCAAGACGTTGCAGGTATCCTTAATGCTGTATCTAATACTAGTAATTACATCATAAGAGGCTGATGCCTGTTCGTCTTGGAACCATTGAACAAAGCTTCGAGCTTTCAGCCAAGTCGCTCGGGCATAGATTCCGATGACCAGTCAGTAGCGTGTCCCAAAGCCCGAACTCCGAAGATGAAATGAGATCCCTCGGCTTGATACTTCCAGGATTCGTTCGAATGATGGCTGTCACAACGACTTGGAGTCATGTGACCGTATGGTAAAAGGGGCCCCTGGATATTAGATTCGGAGTCGTTATGTTGAAAGTTGAAACTAGAGGTTCATTATTTAGTCATCACATATGGTTTCTTTCCTACTCAAGCTTCCCAAAATTGTGTGTATCACGTGAATTTCCTAATTAGGTCCCCCTCCTTCATCTCCACACAGAGGCAGTGCAAAGGCATTAATTTAAGTTTAGAATATGTAAGAGGCTAATTAAGCAAAGAAGTTATTATTTCCATCATTTTCAAGCACCTTTAGTAGGACTTTCTGGAATAAGTTAGCCTCCTTATCAACCTTCTCCCTGGGACATTCTCTCCAGAGTTTATACAACGCATCTACCGCATTCTTCCGCTCTAAATTGCCTGATGCATTCCGTAGATCCTCAAACGGAAGCTTCAGCTTCATCCAGTCCCATATACGCTTGACACGGTTAAGATCTGGGGATTTAGGGGGCCATTTAACGACGTTGATACCCTGCTCTTGTCGTTCCTGGATTGTCCACTTTCGTGCCTTTGTATGGGGTGAAGCATTGTCCTCAATAATCCAGACAGTCCTGCCTGTAACGCGCTGGATCGTTCTTGCGTACGGAAATAATAGCGGACGGAGTATCATCTCTCGATATCGAGCCCAATCGACCCCCCCTTTACCTTTATCGCGTTTAGCAAGCTCCTGTTTGAATTCCCATTCCGGACGACGCCGTGCACGGCGTGTACCGTGTTCCTGATTTTCCCTATATATATAAAGTAAGTAGATGAGCAGATAATAGGGTAAGTAACGAAGATAAGCTCGGATTGAAGGAGACAGCTTGGGGAAGAATAGGAAAGACCTTAACGAGTACATGACGACTGCGACTTGGACCTTACCTCTGTATATTTACATTTAATTCCTGCAGATGACGGTACTGGCGGGTCCCAGGACGCCGTGCCTCGGCTCTGTCATGCTCCATCTCGTGGATCATGACCTGGTTCTCATCCGAGATCGTGCGATCGATGGTCTCTCGTTCCTCCTGTGTCTCCGCTTCCCACGCATGGCATGGTCCCGTGCCCTCTAAGTCATATCCCCAGCATATTGCTCCCCAAAACATAATAGCTTGAAATACGTCTGGAGGGGATCGTGAGAAATCGAATGGATTAGCGCCTCGTGGGCGTGTAACCGCGAGGGGTTTCCGACTATTGTTTGTATTTACCAGCATCTCGTCTGTGAAGATAAAAATATCCCCATTTTCGAGCTTTGGTAGCGCCCAACTTGCAAGCCTTTTCCTGTCGTTTTTGTGCCAGGGGGTAAGTTCAAGCTTCCGTGGAGGCCGGCGTCGACGGAGAATAAACTCATCTTTAAGGATTCTATATGCTGTAGTTTTTGGCACTGGTATACCAAGGTTCTCGCTTACTTCGCGCGCGACTTGAGTCCAAGGCTTATCTTGTGCTTGTTCGTCCCGTGTCGCTGTATCGCGTAACGCGTCTTTGACAATGCCTGCCGTGGCCGGGCGCCCACGATGCTCCTCTTCTTGTGCGCAGGCATCGAGACTTCGCTGGAAATCGAGAAGCGATGGCTGCCAATTTAGAGGTAAATTTTCCCCTCCGCCAACGCGCAAGCACGCAAAGTCTTTGGCTCTTCCATACACACGTTGATAAGCGCTAGATACGCTCGTAGTTGGGATGCGGAGCTCGGTCGATATCTGGGGGAATGTCTGGCCAAAATGGCGGCATACAGCGATGGTGGTTAGCTGAGTAATCGATAAATTATGTCTCTGCGCGACTCGACGTGTCTGACGGATAGGAGGCATCAGAAAATTTAAGTAAATATGGTGTAGGATAAATCACTAGATACTAGTAATATCAATAATGATTGAATGATTGATTGTTTATTCCTACGCCCGTCAGGCCTCTCTGCGTGGCACATGTGGGGAATATCAATGGTGATGAAGCAATCTTGAGTTTTGATGGGGTTCGTCGAGCCCCTCTCTGCACGTGACACGTACAATATCAGGAATTGCTACGGGAAGCTAATGCTTGAGTATGTTCTTTATCTTACATAATCCTGGGTAGATTGCCATGTACCTAGGGCTCGCCATATAAAGTCTTCATGAAATCTAACCTGATTTGGCCCTAGCGCTCATAAAAGGCCTCATAAATACTAGCCTAATTAGGTATAGCATTACCTAAATGTTTGTGCCTGAGGCACCAAAATAGACATTTGGAGATCCTACCCGTTCTTATATAGCTCTTTCTAGCTGTATAAGTCTTGTAATCGACATCTTCATCGTCAAATGACCAAACCATAACAGGGATGGACGTGTATGTAGATAGCTTCAATCTTCATGAAGGAGGACAGCATGATGGCTCAGCATGATGACTCAGCAGTACACGAGCCTACTACTGGTAGTCTGGTACGTTCTTTGAGCCTCATCATTAAAACCATCATTTAATTTCAAATGAGCTCATTTGGATTGCCCTACATGTACTACTTCTTACACAAATAAGCATCTCACTCCCTCTGTCGGGCACCCTATGACTTCCGTGATTGATTGACACGTCTAAACCAATGAACATTATATCAGATGAACCATCAGTAAGTTATCTTGATGGAAGGGAAACCTAGAACTCTTAGAAAACTTGGTAGGTTCTAAATTAAGCCCCGAATTTGATGGAACACCTTCTAACCGACAACCAGGCAAATTGGAGCGCTTCTCCAGTGTTCGCCATGCCTTGGGATATTACAACAATGTCGGGGTGACAGCGACTTACGTTTTAAAGACACGTCCGACGTCGCTCGAAGCATCGATTTATGCCGCGTTCAAGGGAGCGATCGATGCACATCCGGCGCTTTCCGCAATCACCGTTGACGAGCTGACGGATGCGTATTTCGTCCAGGCACCGTCCATCGACCTATCCAAGGTTATCAGATTTGTCGAGCGTCGACGGGCACCGGAGTCATGCGCCTCAGAAGATCAGGAGCTGGATGAAATCTTGCAGAGCGAGCATAACACCCGATTCCTCCCATCTGAAGGCGAAGAGCACCCACCAGCATTATGGAGAGCCGTGGTCTCCTCCCATCCGTCGTCGCCAACGCACGTCACCATCAGCTTCATCTACCACCACTCCATCGGCGACGGTCTTTCTGGCCTCGTCATCCAGCGCTCTCTCGCATCCAGCCTCACTGACCCAGCAACTCTTGCCATCTCTACGCCCCAGCCGCTAGCCCCCTCGCCACCCACCCACGCCCTCTCTCCCCCCATGGAATCCCTCCTCCCCCTCCCCCTCTCCCTCCCCTTCCTCCTCCGCGCCCTCTGGAGCGATTGGTTCCCATCCCGCCCCAAAGGCATCTGGACTGGGATGCCCGCCACGACGCCCCTAGCCGTCCGCTTCCGGAGTTTCAGCTTCACGCCCCATGAGACGAAGTCGTTCGCCGCCGCGTGCAAAACACAGCAGACGTCGCTGACTGCTGGGTTCCAGGTGGTGATCGCCGCTGCGCTCTTCGAGGCTCTGCCGGGCGAGTGGGAGACGTTGGGGTGCACGGTGCCGGTATCGTTGCGGCGGTTCGTGCGGGGGGAGGAGAAAGCACGCGCAGAGGAAACGATGGGGGTTGTGGTCGCGTCGGTAAACACGGCGTACACCCGGTCTGGCACGAAGTCCGAGGATCGGGCGGCGTTCTGGGCTGAGGCGCGACGAAGCCGGGACGAGGTCACGAAGTTGGTAAAGAAGGATGGGCGGGATACGAATTCGGGGCTGTTGCGGTACGTTTCGGATGTGCATGAGTTCTTTGCGGGGAAGGTGGGGAAGGAGAGGGGGGATAGTTTTGAGGTGTCGAGCTTGGGGGTCGTTAGGGGGGAGGGGATGGGGAGGGCGGTGTTCAGTCAGAGTGCAACTGTGACGGGGCCGGCGGTGGAGGTTGGCATCATGACGGGAGGGGATGGGTGTTTGTCGGTTGGGGTTACGTGGCAGGAGGGGGTTGTGGATGAGGAGGTTGTTAGGAAGGTCGTTGAGATCTCGAGAGAGCTCATACGAGACCTCGGGACAGAGAAGATATAAGGAATTGGCATGACGCTGAGCATTTTTGAGGCCAGGGATAGATAATAGTTAAATATACACCTCAGGTAAATTACCTTATGCAATTTATAAAGGACCATTTCCTCCTTCAGAATCAAAGCCGGGCCATATGATAGGGATGAGCGGCGTGATAGCGTCTTGTGCTATTCCACGTTATAAAAACTACAATCTCGCTATCGTTCAAAGCAGTCGAATCGTCCGTTTTTGGCAACCTTTAAACCAGTTTCCTTTAGCGATCTTCTGGGCGGTCGATCCAATGGGTACCAAGGGGCTATACCTGAAATCGAAGCACCCAACGCGGCGAAACGTCTCAAGCTTCCCTTGGGGAAAACTCCTGGACTCCAAACCCCTTTCCTGATGACAAGGACGTTAAATCAGGCTGTGGGCGACCGACACCGGTATTTCCGGGGTATTTGTTGTGAGGGAGGCATCTCGAGTACCTACTTCAAGACACCAAACTGGCGAACGCGGAATATCCAAGTCCCCATCCTCCAGTGCATCCGGCCACGCAGAAGTCAAGCGCTGACGTTCGAATTCGGGGATGGTATGGTCTTCCAGTGATTGCTTTCCTGGCGCCCAAGTCGCGATTTTAAGACGCCCTTCGACGATCAATTCACCAGCGGTGACATGTCCATATCACAGAACCGGAGACTTCAGCTCGACTTGAGCCCGTAGCACCCGTATTTTGAAGACATGCTTTCCCCGTAAGGTGTCAATGGAAAGTCGACGCGGCCGTCGATAGATGCCCACGACCAACTTGGCACCCGGTAGGTTGGCCAAGCACATCACCTTGCTTTATCCCCCCGATCCTGGCCCCAATGGACGCCACAAGGACCTCTGCAGCATTGCTCCTAACCGAAGCTTTAAGCTTGGCTGTACCGGGGTATTACTATGTCAATATCCAAGGTCCAGAGAACAATGGAATACCAAACAGTTACAGAATACAGAGGGCCGGTTCAAAGCCTTAGGAATAGAGAATATGGAGCCCAGACCTTCCCTCTCTGCTCTACTCCGAGTTCTAAACCCCTCCATTTAGTCTGATGAATGTCGCCGCGCTTAGCAAAAACTGGTCAAGGAAAGTGTACACACTGCAAATGAACTCCTGGATCTAGGTTTATAAAAAAATCACGGATGCTGATTCACAGCCCTCAAGAGATTGTAGCGCATCGACACTGTGACTACCATCTCGGTAACGACCTGCGAGATGCATACCGATCAATCTCACCACAGAAACCACGATCCCCGCCTTTTCTGTTCACTCTCTGTAGCTGCGCTGCTTTGGTGAATGCTAGATTTGCAGGTTTTGCGGCTGCGATGGTAGTGACGGGAATGAGATTTGGAAGACGAGCGCTTCGTAGGGAGACACCGAGGATAATTATCTTCCACGGACGTTTCGCCTTCACTCTCATCGTCGCTGTCATTTGCCCCGGTCTGAGACTCAGCCGCGCTCTCACACTCATCGTCGTCGTCATCCTCATTCTTGGCCTGCATGCTGGGATTTGGATTGGCAAAAATAGGGATTGCGCTCGGTGCTACGTTTTCTTCATCATCTTCATCCTCTTCACCCTCTTCGACTTCTGCATCCTCATCCTCGGCTGTATTCTCGATTCTTTGAGCCGCAATAAGGTTGGGGGGTGCAATTAGAGTATCCCAATACTCGGCCGCTAACTCGAGCGCATTCTTACATGTAGTGGCCCCTTGCACGAATGAACAGTTGTTGCTGGTCATGGCATAGGCACCCAGTTGATGCATATAATATTCAGACTGCGTACCCAGACCGTTCGGTTGGCCATGGCATGGCCATATATCTTCAATGCGCCGCCATGGTGAGCGTCGACATGGTGTAGGCACGGTTGTCGTAGACTTGTTTTGGTTCATCCTGACCGTATGTTTGGAGGCTACGCATGGCCCTCGCGCCGATCGCGCCGTTATGGCACACCATCGGTGGGAAATGTACTTCAGGCCAATGGCTGGCAGATAATGTAAATGAGCCCGGCAGTGAGCCATCATCCTATGCCTCCTTGTACAGCGCAGTCGTCGCCGCCGAGGGGACTTGCATCGCTGATACTAGCCGGAGTATGGTTTAACAGACTGACCACGTTGGCGTCGTTCTGCTAATTCAACCTTTCCAAGCTCTTAATCTGCCAATTTGTTTCTTGTAACGCATACTAAGAAGGACCTCAGCCTGATCTGCGTTAAAGGAGATGTTTGCCTTTTAGAAAGGGTAGCGGTGACGATATACAGCTTCTAGGAAAGGAATGAAACGCGTAGAATAAACGAGAAAATAGATCCTAAGCTTAGTACTTGAAATCGACGTAGAATGACAGTCAGCTACATCTCGCAATACTTATTCATCTCATACAGCCAGTGATATTGTTTGTCAGTTGTCAGTTGTCAGTCTATCACACAAGGATCAGCCCAGACACGTCTGCGGAAGTTTCGCAAGGCAACTTTAACCGAAATTGACCGCAAGCTTCAACATCGCAACTATCAAGGTATCGACATCAAAGAACCCACGACCCCCAACCTGCCAATGGACCATCGTCGTCTCCAGGATTGAAACCCCCTTCGGCACGATCAGATCGCCGCCAGGAAATGGCCATGACCGCCGACCCAGCGTCCACCGATGCCACCAAATCTCCGCAACCCGTGACCCTGCGAACTACGACGGCCCTCCCTTCACGCAGCCCGATCCCGCTGTCCGCGTCGCAGGAAACACAGGTGCAGCAGTTATATTACAAGCGGGTGCGGGCGATCTGTCGGACGGAGATCCACGGTATGTTCTGCTTCCTTTCCCCGCCCAGGAGCGAGTCCCGTTATGCCGTTCTCAACCACGCGAGCGAAGACTTCGCCATGTTGCAGATCCCATCCCAGACACACACCAGTAGCTGATATCCCGTCTAGACTTCGCCGCATGCGCCCTGAACCGCACCATTTCCGCCACCTGGGCCTGCCGTGACCAACGCATCGCGATGAACGCGTGCCTCGTCGACCACTCGACGCAGGAGCAGCGCGACCTGGCGCGCGAAGAGTGGTTCGCGACGATGGAGGATCGGCGGCGGGAGCGGGAGGAACAGGAGGTAGTGAAGCAGGAGGCGCTGGCGTTCCGGAGGGAATTCTACGGGGTGGATAAACAGGGGAGGCCGTTGAAGAAGGGGGAGGAGCCGGGGAAATCATAAGAAGAGGGGGTGGAGCGAGGGTTGGGTTGATGCATTGGGAGGCGTTTTTGGGGGGTGTCAAGGCACTGTTATGGATGGGTTGGGAACTTTGCAGGTGTTCCATTCTGCTGTACAGATAATGCTGCTTAAGTAGGTGGTGGAATAACAAAGACTTTCCCCTCTTTGCGCCGATTCCCCGAATCCGTTTTCCGCCCGTTTAGGCACCGTGTCATGCCGCCAGTTTTGTAGTATTTGTGATCCCACCAACCAACTCCAACGCAAATGCTGCAGTCTCTAAGCATCTTCCATGGCCGTATCCTGCGTCTCACCGCCGCCCATAACCTCCTCAAACTCATCTTGCTCCTCCTCCTTCAATCCCTCCGCATCCTCCATCTTCTCATCATCCCCTACTCCATTCACCACCTCCTCCGCCCCCTCCGCCCCCATCTCCAAATCCACCTCCTCCTCACTCTCCCACTCATCCTTCAAATTCCACCCCACCCCGGTCAAGCAATACTTCTCCGGCGGTAACCGCAACCCAAACCCCCTGCCCACCCCCGGCAACTGTACCCGATTCCTCTCCGCTGCCAAATCCAACAACCACTCCTTTGGCAACGCATGCTGAAACTGATAATTCTGCCGGCTCGCAATCGCCAGCCGCAGCGCCGCCATCGTCACCGTCGGCTCGCCCGCCGTTGCGCCCGCGCCCGCGCCGCGCCCCGCCGGTGCCCCGTAGCCGTTCGCGCTCAGCTGCACGGCGTCGCCGAGGACGCCGGCAGTGTAGCGGTAGGCGAAGTCCATGAGTTGGAGGGGGACGCGCTCCTGGTAGGCGTGCACGCCGAGGCTGGACATGAGGACGTGGAGAGTGCGGGCGTCGCGGGGCCGTTTGGAGAGGCCGGGGTCGGTGAGGGAGGTGGGGGGGCCTATGCCACCGGCGGGAAGGGGGGGGGTGTCGGAGGTTGAGGGATCTTGGGTGGGGAGGGCGGTATTGGGTTGTGATGTTGGGGGGGTGATGTGGGCGGGTGTTGCGGTGGTAGGGTTGGCGGGTTGGGTAGGAGGAGTGGAGATGCCATTGGGCGCTTGGGAGGTGGTGGGAGCGGGTGAGGCCATTGTAAATGTGCGGTGGAGCGGTGGTGAGGATAACAGATGGAGATGAGGCGAGCGGAGGTGTCTCCCTTACCCGGGTTGCGCAGAGGAAGGAGGAATGAGGTCGAGGAGGTTGAGCGTCAGAAGAGTGACTATCCCAGAGATAGGATAGGCTTATGAAGTTATTCGAGTCCTTTCCGCGATGGCTCTGACCATTGTTGGTTCTGTAACACCTTCGATCTTGTTAAGGTCCGGGTCCCAAGGGTACGGAAAATGAGCGGAGTCAAAGGATAGACGGTTCAGGTATTCACGGCCCTCAAGGGAATTGACTGGCTTAGTAACGCAATGATATTGGACGTTTGGCATGCGATGGAGGGTGGAGTGGTTCTATATAAAGTTGTCCAGATGGATGGTGCTCTCTAGTGGAAGTGAGGCTCAACTGCTGTGATGTTGACCCGTGCGCGAGACGATGCGCAGGCCACAAGGCCACAACGTCACAAGGCGTTAAGGCGTCAAGGCTGTAAAACCTCCGGCTCCATATTTGGTTGATTACATAGAAGAGTATTACTAACACCATGGTGATCATTATGAGATCGAAGAAATCAGCGGGATCTCTTGCTCCACGTGGACAACGCTATTGTTTTCTAAAAGGCAAATTCCCATGGCCGGTTTTCCCACCCCAGCGATCGCTGGCATCTATCGATGGACGACGATTCATCCGCCCGCCGAAATGGGTGCCGACCATCGCCAAGCCCACTAGCAAAGATGATGCCGTGCGATGGGTCTTGGACTCTTGGTCTCTTGGATGCCGCACTGTCGTGGTGTGTGATCTCTTCCAAGTTCCAAGCGCGTGAACCTTCCGTAGGCTGTATGGCTGTATCCCTTCTTTCCTCTTAAGTCGTACAGTCTCCTCGACAGTAGCGAGTCGATGTCGCTCTTTGATTGCGCTCTTTAATTCAATCATCCGCAGCAGTTGTTGTATCTGCGTCGTATCATGGCCGAAGGACGTCCTCCGATTGGTTATATCGATCCGAACTTCCCCAATCCGAATACGCCTGATGATGCTCGTGAGTGTACCTGTACATATGGTGGTGGTATGGGCCGGAACTGACGTGTGAATTTTGCTTCAGGTATCATCATCTATGGGTAGGTTGCACCCGTGGTACGATCATTGCATCCTCGACTAAATCAACCAGCTACACGCCATCCTTCGTGCTGGCGATCCTAGCCATTGTACTCTTCGCCATATCTGCCATCGCCCATGGATTCCAGCTACGTCGGTACAAGACATGGTACTTCACCCCCATGTGCGTGGGAACCATCATGGAGATCGTCGGTTACGCCGCACGGATGCTCAGCAGCCGTATGCCTATCCCTCTCCCTCACCCCACCACATACTGATGTCCCTCCAGGGCGATCTCCATACAACGTTAAATACTTCGTGATCCAATATTTCTTCATCGTCACCGCCCCCGTCCTCTTCTCCGCCTCCATCTACACTCTCCTCTCCGCCCTCATCCTTCGCATCCCCAATGGCCGCGCCTACGCGCCCCTCCGTCCCAAGCTGATCATCTGGATCTTCGTGACTTGCGATGTCATCGCCACCTGCATCCAGGTCGGCGGCGCCGCCGGCATCGGCGTCTCGCAGACGAACAACAAAGACCCCACCATGGCCAACAATATCCTGCTCGGAGGCCTAGCGTTCCAAGTCGCCGCCTTCTTCCTCTTCGAGGTGCTGTTAGCGATCTTCCTCTTCCGCGCCCGCAACACGATCCGCGGCCGCCCTGACCGAAAGGAAGGCCTCCCGGTCTCGTCCCACGAACAATCCGTTCAGCAGGAGCGGGTCAGTATCTGGTTCATCGTGGCGATGGTTGTTGCCAGCGTGCTTGTGTATCTGCGGACATGTTTCCGGCTGGCGGAGACGGCGCAGGGGATCTTTGGAGAGCTGACCTCGAATGAAGTGTATTTTGGGTGTCTCGAGTTCATGCCGGTCATTGTTGCGGTGTATCTGTTCAATATCTGGCATCCGGGGCGTTGTATTGGACCGGGCAACCGGCTTGCAGCGTGAGGGGAATCCGGGACGTGATTCGATATGGCCTCGGGATTGATCTATTTATGTATATACAACACCAATCTCCAGCCAATATGGTCCAGGCGAAAGATCGGGTTGCGTCTTCGGTCTCATTTCATGTTCCAGATACTTCGGGACATATCAGTATATTTATTGATAACGAGTTCAACCACGGACCCATTGGGTCTCATTCAACCGGATGAACCGACTCATACTAAAGTCCACTTTCGTGTTCAATCTCCCGTCGTCCTCATCCTCTCGAGCGGAATCCGGATGCGGCGGCACGAGGCTGGCGAGGAATGCGTCAATGCGATGCGATGTTACGGCCTTATGGGTCTCTCGAAAGGGGCTCTTTGTTCACACAATAACAGCCAACCAACCCACTCGCCCCTCGCTTGGTAATCACACGAAGGTAGGTAGCATCATCGAATGAATCTTTTCCTCCGATCAAGTCAATTGAATTGTATTGATCCAGCGCGTCTGTGTCAGTCTCAAGACACGCGAGGTCGACACGCCAGAATCGGCGCTGATTGGATTGGATGGGTGGGTTGGAAACGGCGATTTGGTTGGTGGTTGCTGCAGCTACATCGGTCGTCCCCTGTCACACACAACTGACAACACTGCACCCACCAACACACGAGCTTCACTTGCCTCTGCCATAAGACTAGCAATTCCGTCGCAACACCTTTTAAACTCCCGGCATCCTCGATCCTACGTCTCTAGATTCAGAGTCATCTTTTTTAAGTTTTCCATCTTCCTAATTCCGTAGCGATTCTACTCCAGTTTCTTGGTCCAGGGGACTGGTCGAGAGTATCAACAGACGAGAAGAGTATCATTGAGGATTCTCCTGATATTCCGAGGCCTCTTGCAGATTCCTGGTGACAAACGAAGGCCGTAGTATTATCCAGACATTCAAATGAGCTCTATGATGGATCCCTCGGCCGGCTTTGTGGGAAGCGACTCGGGAAAGACGTCCACCCCGATGATGGGAACCAGCAACCAGGGCAACGTCACGAAACGGTTCGTTCGACCCTCCATGCCCTCGCCTCCCACAACCTTCTAACATCCTTACCAGCCTCCAATCCGAACTCATGTCCCTCATGATGTCCTCCACCCCCGGCATCTCCGCCTTCCCCTCCGCCGACAACCTCCTCCTCTGGACCGCCACCATGACGGGACCAGAAGGCACCCCATACGCGGGCCTCACCTTCAAACTGACCTTCCAATTCCCCACCACCTACCCGTACGCCCCACCCACCGTGCTCTTCCAGACGCCCATCTACCATCCGAACATCGACTTCTCGGGCCGCATCTGCCTCGACATCCTGAAGGATAAATGGAGCGCCATCTACAACGTGCAGAGCGTGCTGCTGAGCCTGCAGAGTTTGCTCGGGGAGCCGAATAAGTACGTACAGCGAACCGTGGCCGTGGATGGGGAGGTAGAAACCGTGACTAACGCGTATGCAAATGGAACAGTGCGAGCCCACTGAACGCCCAAGCCGCCGAAATCTGGGACAAGGATCCCGCGGAGTTCAAGCGTCTGGTCATCGGCCGGCATCGCGACCTCAGCGACGAGGAGATCCTGGAGGGCTTGTCGTGAGGCATGGCATGCGTCCGACGCTTCGAGGAGCGGGTTGCCAACTGTCTCCCTACCTTTCCGGTATCGATTCGACGAGCGAGGGATGTCCCGCGCATTCATGACGTTGCACGATCATGAGCTGGTATAAAACGGACGAAGATGCTGCATAGACAGAGGATTTTGAATCTTGGAAATCGTGGCGGGGGTTGTACTGCGTTTGTCACGGTGTCGGTGTCGGTGTCGCTGGGATTGCGGGTTGTAGGTTACGGATTGCTGGGTTCCTCCTGCACCTTTCGGTTCTTAGGAGTCGCGGGTAGCAGTATGTTCTGCGGTTGAGCGTAGGGAACGGACGGAGTGCCCTTAAAAAATGGAACTGCTGCGGTTGCTTTCTGCTAGCGAGCGACATTGGTCAGGAACTGGAAATAGAAGCGTTCCTATTCTTTCTGAATTTCGTGATAGGACGTGTAGCATCGAAACGACACTGGGTGACAGTTCCGCTGCATCGCGTCCAAGACTGCTTGATGGGTCATTCGAAATGCCTCGTCGTGTTAGTTGCACACCTCCAGTTCAATGGGGTTGCTCTTTGATTTGACGTATTTGACGGCTACTCAAGACGCTTTCTTGGGGAATATCATTGAATCCCCGACAAGTACGGAATGCAGGTAGCTGGTAGGTAGTCCTTCGATTCCTTCGACAGCATAATAACACTCTACGCAAGGCAATCCTTCATCCTCCAATGTTTTGATGGACAGCCCGTTCCCACAATATGATTGGACAATCCCTTGGTTTGAGATCCGGAAAGCTGAGACGGGGTCATTTGTCAAGTCCGTCGGAGGAGCCAGAACGAGGGAGTGAACGACTCAGAATACGAGCAGATCCTCCCGCCACCAGGAAGAGTCCCTGTCGGAACTCCGAAGAGAAACCAGGCACTGTGTTTCACCATTCACGACGTCACTCCGAGTCTTGCGGGCTATCATTTATCAAAGTTCAAACGCAAGCCAGCTGTACCTGGCAGGACCGGGGAATTCGGCATGTCAGGACTCAGGATCCGTTTTAACCTTTGTAAACATGGGATTTGTGGTTCAAGCTCCAAACTCAAACGCTCGAAGTTGCGATGCGAATCCCTGACTACAAGGAGATATGACGGAAAAACAGATGACTATGAAATTGAAGGAACGTTGTCTACTTGAGCAAAGGATGAACGCAACGCCAAGCAAAGTCTCGAAACGGTGGACGATCTGTAAGGCGAATTGAACCATGGTGGAACAGTAGTACAGTACTGAACATTTTAATAGATGCTTTTCAATCGGGTTGATCGTTGAAAGGGAGATTCGACCGATTTGGCTGGGCTTCGAATTCCGTTTCCCATTTCCTAAGGATCGACACCCATCGCAGGGATCAGATTCCATGATGAGCGATGATCTCCATCTTTCAAGATCCACGATCTCAGCCACTTTCTCCATGACTCCGACCAGACATTTTACCTTCCCATCTTCTGACGATAATGGGGTATTGCAGACGATGAGTCTGGGACGCTGCTGAACAAGACACTAAAGCAGTCATCAATTCATCAATATCAGCACTATCTTGCAGCTCGGTGTGCCCGTGATCGATCTGGGCTCACACCAAGTCAAACAAACTGGCTGCAGACAGAGCAAGCCACCGACGCATGTATTGGATCCATCCACGCGAGCCAGAAAAGGCACGACAATACAACTTCGACATGGATGAATCCCACCATCCCATCAGGGCAGCGTCAGGTGCGAATCGATCCAGCATCCTCCATATTACTTATGAAAGGTGAATCCCGCCATCCGCGAAGGACCGCGGCATAAACCGCCAAGGCACCACTATTCCGCCATTCTAATTCCTCTTTAAATAAGTAACCGACGTCGCCCCAAGAGGTAGCATCCGAACCCTCTCAGATGATCCACTGCCCAGAATGGGATGTTTTTCTCGGACAGGGACGCACCACGATAGCAATGTCCTCGTCAAACGCTGCCCTCCTCAGGGTGGCGAATTGGCGGTTCCTGTAAGGCGAACCGGAGCAGCGGGGGCGGGATTCGCTGGCACGCAGTCATCAGGCAGGCTGAGGTGCTGACCCTGTTGTGCTTCACAGCCGAAGGTCGTACAGTGCCACCAATGGGTGCGGCCGCTACAGCTACGTGCGTGGTTCCGTGTGGGACTGGGGTGCCTGTTGCATGTGCTGTACTACTATGTAATGTCGGTATGCGATATGTCTGTGGGGTCCTGGTGATCGGGTTCGGACTTGGGGAGAGGCCGTTCGCTAATTAGACGGAATCGTCAGGCACGCGATGTGGTAAGCGGGTGGTTTTATGCGGGAAGGCGACAGGTGTGCCTTTTTGAAAGGTCGAGGAGAGGTCGTCGTGAACAACTGGTTGAGAGGATCGTTGTAGAATGTGGATGTCTGTTTCACCCACCCCCACCGGAAGCCTATGGGACGATCTCCCGGATGATCGGTACATGTCCAATTGGCTCAGGAATGTCATCAAGGTGAGAGCTCCGAACATACATTCCAACTTCCAAGTTTCGCTAATATAGTAATGGTAGGTACAAGTCCAGCAATCAAATTCCCACATTTTTCCTCATGTCCGTCAATTCTATTGCTGCAGGTGGCTTACAGACGACAGTTTCCGGTTTCCTTGCTATGAAGATCCCTTGCATCGGCGTATCAAAAATTGCTGCTCTTTCGTATCATAGGCTAAATCCCGCGATCACCCCCTGCTACACAGGTACAGATACGGAATTCGGAATCCCGGATTCGCAACACACCTGTAAGTACAGGAAACGCCATACTTCACCATCGTGTCGCAGTGCCCGGAGTCAATGGGACCAAGCTGTCCATGTAACAACCCGATATCCAGTCATTTGTTCCTTCCGTCGTCGGTAATCCCTCAACGAGGGAATCTATAATCCGCCAAAGCAAAGCACAAAGAACGCAGGCCATAACGCTAACGGAGGAGACGGTTCAACGCCGTTCCTGCTTTGATTCCGTGGGTTCATCTGTCAAGCGATTGGGGGTCATACATGCCATTGTACTACGGTACGACCGAAGCGTGGCAAGCGTGATTGGCATGGCGGGTGCCATCGTGACAATTCGGAATTGGTGTTCAGCCTGACCGTCATTAAAAATTTCAACAAACGAGAGGAGGGTTGCCCCTCGCCTCGGATTCTTTACCCAGTACGAGCGGCCCTGGTCGGCACTGTAACACATGGGGGGGCTCTTTGTTCTGTCCATATTAACCCCAAAGTCTCTGGTGTGGAGTAATTCAAGGTCCCTCAATTTTACCCCAGATTACAGATTGGGGGGGTTGGAACTTGGAAGGGCTTCTTCGGTCCGTCCACTTTCCAATGTTTTTTAAGTTGTTCTTCTGCCTCGTTCCGATCGTGGGGGAAATGAAGGGGAGATGGGGGTTTGCCTCTCGGGAAATTGGGGAAGCTAGAGAGTTAATATCGTCGAGATTGATTTCATGAGGATCTGGATGTTCGCGGTCGTCTGATTGTCTCGTGGTCGCATCGCCGAGTCAGACCCGCCCGAGAGCCAGACTATTTGGATGCTGCCGACGATAGTGTACCGTATACGATTGCACCACATGGGAACCCCGCCCATGGTTGGAATTAGGTCTTTGGATCATGGATGAGATTCAGGAGGACATAAGATCGAGATCACGGTGGAAACGTCTCAGGGACATGATGCGCGTCTCAGCGTCTTTATACAGGCCCAGTGTCTCTCTCAATCCAGTCATTCACAAGGCTACCGTACCAATTGAAGCGTCGTCAGCAGATTACGAGAAGGTAGACGAGTCAACGAGATGAGTAATGGAAGCTGCATCAAGGATGTTGGGCCTGGAAGCATCCTGCCCGTCGCCCAGATTAGATCCCTGCCTCGGACTAACTGGAAACTCTGCGCCTGTTCAGTATTCACCAGGCTCAAGCTGTTGCTTGCTTTCCCAAGAATGCCCCCCGTTTTGGCTTGCCATGCCCGGTGGGGTGTGTCGAATCATTCCGACTTTCTGAATTTCTAATGGAGTGGTGGAGGAGGCGGGCAAGTTGGGTTTTGGAAGCAAAGCTTGTGGCGTTGGTTCGGCCCTCCATGGCTCCATCTGATATTCCGAATTTCCGATTCTCGTCTTCGGCCTAGCCCCCATGTGCCAAAAAGCAACACGGCTGAGGGACTGGACGACTCGCTGACCTGGCTGGTGAAGGGAAATCAAGTCATCAATCCTCAAAGAAAAAGCAGCCGTGAAACTGGGATTGTCTCGCCTGACTCCGATGCAGGCGTCTTTCTACTGGGCTTTAACTCCATTTCTTGTGCTTCGTTCTTCCTTTTGACTTGTTCGGAGACATCCACCAATATTACAGCACATAGCTCTAAGCGTGACTATTAGGCTTAGTTCCAGCTTCCCGACTATTCGTTCTTTGTTCCGATTTGCTTGCCAATCATCGTTGGGTTCCCTGCTTGATTGCTCTGCCAAAGCCCAAACTCCAGCAGCAACCACCTCCGTCCTCCATCTGACCTCCTCCTCCGTTCTCACTATCCATACGATAGTTACCTCTTTGTCTTTCCTCACTTTATCAGGCAACTTTCCATAATCCCTCGCCTCCTCTGCCTTCGTCATCAAGGTACCCACGTACTTAGCTGCTTGCAGACACCGGTTGAGCGGCATTGGTCCGACCTCCCAGGCAGCGTGCACTGTGCCGTCACCAAGAGCCAATCCCCTCCAATCGTACCATTTCCACGCCTTGCATCGCCTCTAACTCTCAACTGCACGGTTGTTAACCACACGCCTGAACCAATGCCGACCTGTACATAGCCATTCTGCTGGTTTGCATAAAGGAATTTCCCTTTGCTATTTTGCAGAAGGTTTCCGGCTTGCATCTCCGCTCCTCTTCCGTCCCGTTCCTGCACCGATCCGATAGCTCTCCCGGTGCTTGAACCATGATATCTTTACTCGATCTCGAGGGCCCGGTGGCTCTCCATGCCGCCCCCGACTCGTTGCCGGAGAGGAAAGGGAAATCGGCGCAGATCATGCAGTTGGACATGAGCAAGAGCGTGGTCGACGAGCTGTTGGATTGTATACGGAGTGGAAAGGCACCACAGGTTTTGTTTGGAAGAACTCCGGTATGTGTTTACGTTCTATAATCGTAGCATTGGATAGGAGGGGTGGGAGATACAAAGGAATAGATTGCTAATAAGCTCAAACGCAGACCCTGAAACTCGATGGGAAGAAGTATACGCTCGACGCCACCAAAGAACGATTCCGACATGAAGTCTACGAGACCACTGAAGAACATGCGGGCAAGTGGGAGTATCGCGGTGTGCTTAGCCATGGACTGGCTGTGCACGAGTCAGACGATTCACACTCTGGGGTAGATACGGCATTGGAGGCTCTGAAGCAGAATATGGCGGACTATGAAAGGGATAGAGCTGCGAAAGCGTACGTGAATCACAGTAGAGCTTCAGGGTGCTCTATTGGGCGATTCGATATTGTCAATCCAGGCATTGTGAATCGCCCTATTGAGTTCACTTCCTATAGAGGCTGCTATTGTCCCAATATGCGGAGACAATATGCTGAGACTGACAATTCACAGAACAACTCTTGCAGAACTTCCACTCAAAAGCAAAGCTTATTCTCGTTCACGCAACGGTCTGCTGAAAGCTCCTTCAAATCGTTCGATTCCACCGAGTCCTTCCCTCCTCGGACAATCTCCCTCCCACCTTACCGCACCCACCTCCGCACCGAAACAAGACACAAAGCAGCAAGCAATCATGAACTCCTATCGAGAACCGATGATGCACTGCCTGGCAATCAAGGCATTGACGCTGAAGGACCTGATGAGAAAGCTGGCAATCAACACGGAACCGGGGCAACAAAAGCTGGTTCAAAAAGTACTGGAGCCACTTGCCCAGTACAATGAGCAAAACAAAACTTATCGCCTGAAAGACAAATACCACAAGGAGCTCAAGCCGTGGTCATTCGGCTACGACGACGTTGACCGTCAGACCGTGATCAACAACGCCGTTAACGCTTTCGACCGAATGCGGATCACCAAGACCGACGCCTTATGGCAGAAACTCCTGCCGAAGGAGGAACGCGGTAAGGGCAAGACTCTATCCAAGCTGGACTTCTCCGGAGCTCCGGTCCTGAAACAGCCTCCCGCTGCCAAGGGGACCGTAGCCCTAGACAAGAAGACCGGGCTTCCAAAGAAGGCGGCTCCAAAGAAAGCGGAGAAGGATGAGAAGAGCAGGACCCCGCGCGAGAAAGGGGACGATTCGTCGACAGACGTCCCCAAGAAGAAGAAAGAACCCAAGGCTGTGACGGGGAGCAGCACACCTTCGGTGAAGGCGAGTAAAAATGCAGCCAAGGCCTCCACCTCATCCAACTCCCACCGAGCGGTGCTTGGAACCGTGTCTAAACCCAAGACCTCCTCACCGCTCTCCTCCCCACCCATGAACAACTCAGATATAGAAGCAGGCTCTAACTCCGCAAAGTCTTCCACCAAGCGCAAAGCAGAAAGCACCTCCGAGCGCCTCCAACCATCCACCAAGAAATCCAAACTAGATGTCGCCTCCACCACCTCCCCCACCAAGAAGATCCCCGCCTCCTCATCCACTACCCCCGTCTCCCTCAAACGCAAAGCCGATCCCACCCCTGACGCCCCCTTCCTCAAATCCCGCAAACTCAACGGCGTCCACGCCCCCTCCCGCCCGCACTCCTCATCCACAAGCTCCTCCGACGCGCCCCTCCGCCAAATCCGCCCCGCAGCCACCGCCACCTCCCTCAAATCCACACCCGGCGTCTCCAGCAACTCGTCCAGCTCGGGTGAGGACGCCGTCCCCCTCTCTTCCCGACAAACGCTCGAACTCGCGCAGAAATTCAAGGCGTACCACGCGAAGTACGCGAAGCTGTACCACGAGTTGGCGGGGCGGGCGACAGCGCCGAAGGCAGAGGAGCGGCAGCAGTTGGAGAAGATGCATAAGCATTTGGAGGCGATGAAGACGGAGATTTGGGCGGGGAAGTTGAGGGGTTAGGGATGGATGGAGGAGGGCGGAGGCTTGAGGGAAATGACATTGTAGGGGTTTGGTTGTGGGAAGGTTGGGAATGGATGGCCCGGAAGGGCGATGGCATGTCACGGGGAGAAAATGGCATATATGATACCTTATTGCGAGATATTTTAGTGTGGTCGAGTGGATTTCAGGATCTTTCAGAGGCTGGGCCTCGTTTACACTCACTGTACACCGCCATCACATTGATGGGAGTGTTACTCGAGCTCTAATATCGAATATGAAGATATAGAGCCAAATTAAAAAACAAGAGAAATAATTATCCAACTCTTAATATAGTGATGGGCAAATCGTCCCAGGTACGAAAGTAGATACTCCGGACTCCCCTCCCCGACTCCCCTGCGAATCTCGCAGTTGCGTAGATCTCGGAGTTATCGATAAGAAATGCCGACGTCACCGACGTCACCAGCGAATCATCGAATTCATGATGATCAATTGTAAGCAGCCTTCCCCTCCATCATCGCAGGTAAACACTCTAGCAGTGATCGACCTTCCAGACAAAACGGAGTTCCTAGAACTCAACTCTTCTCCCTTCCATCTTCCTTCCATTTCATGCCTCTCTCATCACTCCGACCTTACCTCATCCATTTTCCGCGCCCAGCAAAGTCCACATTCCTCCCCAATCACGCCATCCCGCGCCATATACGTCTCTGTCGCCCATTCAGCGTCGGTTTCACTGCGAGGATGCCGGAATATAAACTGAAAGGAATCGATGCCCTGAGTTTGAAGAATGGAGAAAAACTGCAGTTGGAAGTCGAAGGAATTCCAGATGCGAAGGTGCTGCTCGCGAAGGTCAGGGATCGCGTCCATGCGCTGTCGTCGAATTGCACGCATTATGGCGCGCCGTTGGTGAAGGGGGTGTTGACGGGGGAAGGGCGATTGACTTGCCCGTGGCATGGAGGTGAGTACGAGTGCATACCAAGAAACTCGGATCCTCGAGGCCTAGTCAATTGGCTTTGGGCGATGGACTGGGAACTTTGGCTGATTGCTCCGTAGCATGTTTCCATGTGGAGACGGGAGATATTGAGAATGCGCCGGCTTTGGACCCGCTGGCGAAGTATGAGGTCTTTGAGAAGGACGGGGGTGTCTACATTCGCGGGGAAGAGGAGGTTATCAAGGCCAGTCGAGGGCAGTTGAATATCAAATGCCAGGCGCAAGGGAATGAGAAGGTGCTTGTAGTTGGAGGGTAAGTCCGGTCCTCCCTCCTATGGAATCATATACTAACCATGGAATTTGCCAAACAACAGAGGCAGTGGAGCAACTGGAGCCATTGAAGGCCTACGAGGAGGCGGGTACACGGGGCATATTACGGTTATCTCAAGAGAAGGATACCGGCCGATTGATCGTACGAAGCTCTCTAAGGCCCTCCTTGCCGATGTCTCTAAGATCGCATGGAGGCCGGTGGATTTTTACAAGGACGCAAGCATCGACATAATCGACGACGAAGTGTCGAAGATCGACTTCAATTCCAAATCTGTCTCTACCAAATCTGGGAAGACCCACGACTACACCAAACTGGTTCTCGCCACGGGCGGCTCGCCTCGCTGGCTGCCATTGCCAGGGCTGAAAGGTGACCTCGGCAACGTGTTCGTCCTCCGAGCCATTCCACACGCCAAATCCATCGTGGAAGCGGTCGGCGACAACGGGAAGAAGATAGTCGTCATCGGCAGCTCGTTCATCGGGCTGGAAGTCGCCAACTGCCTCGTTTCCAAAGGCAACGATGTCACCGTCATCGGTATGGAGAAAGCCCCCATGGAGCGCGTCATGGGCGAGAAGGTCGGCAACATTTTCCGCGCCATCCTCGAGAAGAACGGCATCAAGTTCAAGATGGAGGCATCCGTCGAGAAGGGCACACCCAGCGAGACAGACCCCTCGAAGATCGGCGTCGTCCATCTCAAAGACGGTACTCAGCTCCCCGCCGACCTAGTCATCGAGGGCGTCGGCGTCGCCCCCGCAACTGAGTTCCTTAAGGACTCCCCCGAAGTCAAACTCGAAGCTGACGGCTCCATCCTCACCGACGAGTCCTTCGCCGTGCAAGGCCTCTCCAACGTCTACGCCATCGGCGACATCGCCACATACCCGTACCACGGACCGGGTGGAGACGGCAAGCCCGTCCGCATCGAGCACTGGAACGTCGCGCAGAACGCGGGACGCGTGGTGGCGACAGCGATCCAAGGGAAGACGCGGGCAGAGTTCATCCCGATCTTCTGGAGCGCGTTGGGGTCGCAGATGCGGTACTGCGGGAATGTGAACCACGGGTGGGACGACGTGGTGATCGTAGGAGATACGCAAAAGCCGGCGTTCGTGGGGTACTATACAAAGGGGGAGACGGTGGTGGCGGTGGTGAGTATGGGGAAGGATCCGTATATGAGCCAGGCGTCGGAGTTGATGCGGAGGAATAAGATGCCGGGGAAGAGCGAGATTCAGAAAGGGGTGGATATCTTGGAGGTGGCGTTGCCGACGGAGGTAGCAGGAACAGTGTAGGCGGTGGACGAGATGGGCGTGGTTGGGGAGCATGAACACGATGGTCATTAGTACAGTGTATTGTGGTAGCTGTGTCTCCAACGATAGTCCTTGGTGGGACAGGGTGGACGAGAAATGGAAGGGTTCAAGATCGTGCACTTGTAACTATCCACGATTACCGTTATGGTGTGACGCGACAGATCACAGCATCGCCATGCACCAATTGCTCTCAGTCCTCTTTATTTCACGCTTCATTTTGATGCAGGAGACACAGATAGTGTTCTTGACTTTTGTACATGGCCGCATCTGTTGTGTTACGACAGGACGATGGCAATGGGCAATGTTGGAGCCGCAGTGTTGGACAAGAGGACACAAGCTACCACGATATAATAAGCAATAGCAGAAGAGAACAGGCTTAAATCATGAATCTATCTAATGTTGCTAAGTATGTATGACCATTCCGCCGTCGTCATATCATAAGCTAAACAGTATATGCAGTAATCGTATCTATATCCCATCGCCATGAGCTGTTCGCACAAAGGATATCATGAATAATTATGCCTTCCCCATCCGGCCATCCGTCCAACTCAGTAAGAGCCGACATCCATTCCGTCCTCCAAGGCGCCAGGCAAACTACAAGTGAGTGTCCGAATCTAAGCAATTGAACTCCGCCGAAGGTCGACCAACCGTCGAACCGGAACGAAGTAACCATACCATCTCCATGGTGAAAATTCAAAAGTGCAGGCCTTCCGTACACCTGCCTAGGACTTGAAAAGTCGAGCCCACAGCCCTTTCAACCGCGCCAGCACTGCCCTGAGCACCCCAACCACCGACCCCTTAACCCTTGCCAGGGTCCCCGCCCGAATTTTTTCCTCCCCGCCCTTTCCCTCCCCCCTCTCCAAATCCTCATCCCCACTACCACTACCACTACTACTACTACTCTCATCTCCCGCCCTTTCATCCACCACCACCGCCCCCCTATCCCTCTTGTGCACCGTGTGATCCCCGGACTCCGCCGCCACGCTCCCCACAGGGACGTCCTGCGTCCTCAACAACCTCCGCAGAATCTTCCCGGTGCTGTTCTTCGGGATCTTGTCGATGAACACCACCTCCTCCGGCACCTTATACCGCGCCAGCATCTTCCCCACCCACTTCCGCACCTCATCCCCGGAGACCTCCTGACCCGGCCGCACGACAACGTACGCGCGCGCGTGCTCCGCCACCGCGTCCGGCAACTGCACGCCCACGACGGCGGCATCGAGCACCGCGGGGTGGGTGAGCAGGGTGCCTTCCACTTCGGCGGGGGAGACCTGCCAGCCGCGGACCTTGATGAGGTCTTTGCGGCGGTCGACGATGAAGACGCGGCCGTGGCGGAGGAAGCCCCAGTCGCCGGTTTTGAGCCAGGGGTGGGAGGAGTCGTCCTGGGGGGAGTAGAAGGCGTCGGCGGTCGCGGTGGGGTTCTGGATGTAGCCGAGCATGAGCGAGCGGGAGCGGACGAGGATGTCGCCGGGGGTGTCGTCGGTGGTGACTAGGTCGCCGGACTCGGGCATGATTCTACAGGTAAGCGTCGTTAGTATCTCGGGTAGAAGGGAGGCTAGGCTAGGGGAGGGGGATAAAGTAACATACTGGATCTCGAATCCTTCTACTGGCCGACCAACACTATCGTCCTCCGACTTCTCTCCCCACTGCACGCACGTCACCCACCCCGCTTCCGTCATCCCCCACACCTGGTTAATTTGCGCATCCGGATGCAACTTCTCGTAGAACGGCAACTGATTCTCGTACTTCACGCCCGCGCCGCCCGTCCAGATCTGCCGCAGGGTCGATAAGCTCTCCTTTGTGCATAGCGGCGACTGCGGAACCCCGAGCAGCACCGGTGGCGGCGCGTATGTTTCGGAGATGGCGAATTTCGAAATCGAGGTAATGAAGGCTGCCATGTCGAAACGCCGCATGATATAGATCGGCCAGCCGGCGTGGATGCTGGACGGAACAAGGGGTGTCGCGAAGACGTGGAAGGGCGGGAGAGGGGTAAGCCGTTGGACCTTGGAGTGTGTTAGCGTATGGTCATGAACGTCGTACGGCAGTTCAGTCGGAGAATCGGGTGATTTCCGAGCGTTACATGATTTCCTTTCGGACATGCCTGTCACCCAGGGGCTGGGATATCGACTTACTTCGTAGGGCACCTTCGGATACAACCGTCGCTCTGCCTGCGACACGAGATATGAATGCGGCAGAAACGCTGCCTTTGGCAATCCCGAAGTTCCGCTCGTCGACGCGTACGTCGCAGTCGTCGTGTAGGGATCGTCCACCATCACCCAATCTTCCTCGCCATGTTGGAGCAGCACATCCCACGACTGGAGATGTGGGTGTGTGTTTTCATCATGCACGTCAAATACAAAGATCTTCGACTCCGAGATCCCACATTCCTTCGCGGCTTCTAGGGTGGTGGTGAGCAAGGCCGGCTCGACGATTAGCACCTTAGCTTCCGTCATGGACATGTGGTGGGTGAGCTCATGTGCGGTGTAGGACGGGTTGACACCTGTCCAACGGGCTCCAGTGCCGATGGCACCTAGGTAAATCGCATAGTAAAGGATCTAAAAGGGATTGTCAAAACCGTAAATCCTTCAGTGCCGACGGTAGGCGCAACTTCGACGCAAATGACTTCAAGTAAACGGGAATGATGCCATGCCCAAAAAAAACGTCAAACTATAGGAGACTTTCCGCCTATGTAACTGATTTGAGAAAGATGACGGATAGAATCTGGATTATAAACAACCAGAAAGGGAAAGACCCAAGTGGCCCCCCTATACGAAAAGTGACACGAAATCAAAGTGAAGGAATCAGGGGAACACCAACGTCGTTGAAGGAATTCACGCAGACACAATCGCCCGGTGCAACGCCGATGGCACGCAAACCCGCGACGAGCCTCCGCACGTAGCTCTTGATCTGAGCATGTGAGAGAGCACGAGTAGTGTCCGCAGTGTCAATCAGGATCTATACAGTTGCGGAAGTCAGCGATTCTGCATTTCATATATGAATGCCTCGAAAGTGGAGATGGTGCATGGGGTGCTTGTCTGGGGCAATCAGATGGAGAAAAGAAAAGGGACCGTACAGGTTTATCAGGGTCTGACAACCCTCCTTCTCCTCCGAAGGTCCATGATACAATATCCGTGGTTATAGACATTGTAAATATTTGAATACAAAATCGTGAGATGGGGTGGATGATGGAAGGCTTCGGAGCGGGACTGGCCCGGGGCACATAAATATCACAATCTTGGTATATGCGACAACGAAGTGGTACAATTGCGATTCAGGCGGGCAAAGACGGTCAATCGCTCCTAGGATAACCCGGGGAGTGGAAGATATGATCAGTAAAATCGAAGAGAAGGGGAGAGAAGGCAATGCAGAGCATAGACTGGAGAGTTAGGCATAAATGGGTCGCAGCATATGTATAGGATCCGCCAATTGGCATACAGAATTTGATAGGCGACGATAGGCGACGATATGTACAAGACGGAAAGACAAAAGGGCCGAAGACGTTCGGAAGGGAAAGAGATACACTTGAGATGGCAGCAATGGCAGCAATGGCCGAACAGGAAGCAAAGGCGCCGCCAGAGAGGACACAGCACGACGCCTCCATGGAAAGGTTAAAACCAGCCATTCCCAAGAGGCAAGAAGAAACGACAGGAGGCGATCGAAAGGCGGCGCAAGATCCACTCTTCCACTACCGCTACGGTAGAGGGAATGGGACCCTCCGCCCGGTAGCAAAGTGTTATTAAAGTTAAGTCGGAAGCATTAAGTGTCGGGGTTAGTGTTCAGATGGCATTCGATGGTGCCTGCAAGTGCATCTGTGGCGGTGGAAACGGCCGGGATATGATGTCTCCGTTGGGGTTGCTGGGAGCACCAGATGAGCCAACCGATTGATAGAGAGGACAAGAGGACAATTGGTGGATGTTCTACGGTTGAAATTCGAATGGCTGTTGCTGTGCGAACTTACAGGAGGCTCAATCGACGATGAAGGATAAAAGAATCAAGCGGCCAATAGGCAATAATGCCTACAGCCAGACATAACTAAAGCAATTAGGAACAAGTGCCGAACAACGGTGGGGATGGGGTCCTGTGGTCTGCGGATCATCGACTGGCCTGAGAGTAGTGGAGAAGACTTGTAAAAAAATACAAATAATCAGCAATATCATCAACAGTGAAGGACCGTGACGAACCGGAGATCTTGCTCCTCTTGGTGGGTGAGATTGACGCGAAGGGAGATGATGACACTTATTATGTCCACTCAGCGCGCGAGAAAGGCATATCGCGTTTCTCCAGTCGCCGACGATGATAGATCGTCAACTTTCCAGCCATTTTCTCTCCCGTCGTTGTCCTGTTGTACATTCTGCATCCGCGATCTTCAACAATCACCTTGTCAACTATCAAGTGGTCATTTTCGCGCTTCGACACCGCTCATGATTGACCACTTCACGCGCTACGAAACCAGCCGAGCAATGGATGGATGACATGGATTCGAAGACCCCGGAATCGCGGCTGGGCGGCCTTTGTATATTTACCCAACAGGCTGGTAACCAGACCCCACCTAACACCACCAAATGCACCAGGACTCAGATATTCCCTCACTTTTCCCATGCTTTCGCAAGTTGCGCCGTGGTCCCCGACACGCCAGTCGCCAGTCGCCAGTCGCTCGTCCTGCTCCTGGATCCTTCGCATTCAACCGGTAAAGCTGAAAGCACTACTTGCGACCTCCTCGAACCGTTAAGCTGCGACTGCGTCGACGTTTTGAAATCTGCCGCAGGGAAGTACCTCTACCAAGCAAGTACCGCATCGCTGGGACTCCGCGCTCCCAAGCTCTCTGCTTGCATTGCCGCGGCCAAATCTAGCACTATGCATCAATCTCGACTGCTGTCTGCCGCTCTCCATCCGGCAAATGGATGCCGCCAAACCCAGGTTTGGATTGGGCCAGCGCCCAGCATCACGATCGGTACAGCGGTCGCCCATTCCGGCAATCTGCATTAGATTACCATTCAAGCAAAGCTAGGCTCATCCACATCGTCGGAACAGGATGAGATGTCTCTGCCATGATAGTGAAAGCGAGTCGGGTAGTGTTGAGAGACAAGAGCATCGCTTGCTGACATTGCGGCTCGCTCGATGCATTTTCGCCTCCATCTCCACCTGACGGTGGCGCTGTGGTACGACGCTCGCAGGCCATCTAATCACGCCATGAAGACGCAGAGAATCCGAGATTCGGCGATTGAGTTGATCAGTTGCGGTCTGCAATGGGCAGCGGGGAAAATACCTCTAACCTCACCATTTCGTTGTCACCGGTAGAGTATCGCAGCTCCACCAATCCAATCGGGGACTTCTTCTATGGGCTGTCGACAACGCATTACAGATAGAGAGGACCTTTTCATGCACCACACATTGAAAGGTACGTATGATTCTCAGTCGGTGGTTGCGTAATTGGTGGAGAGTCGTTCCGCTCATGAAGATTGTCTCGTCATTGAGACATACAATCCCCGGTCTGATGGTCCCCCAAGGCCCCCCACTTTCCTGAACCCCTCCTCGACCGAAGTCGGCTAGTGGGCTGGAATCTGGATATGTACTTGTGGACAACCTTGAAGTACTCTACTATATACTCCGCATCAATTCGTTGCTTGATATCTGGATTAGTTCAGCGATACTTGCAGCTACATGGGCCAGAACCCCATTCTTCTATCTGGCACGACGGCTACGTACCGCTTGAGCTCGACGACATCGTCGATCGACGCTTTAGTTTCGACTTGATGGGTTTCCCCGTCTGCGTTTCTGCGAAAGCGACACGACGGTAGACCGAAACTGGCGGCACCGATGATCTGAGACGGGAGAACGAGGGTGTGATCAGCCCAGACTGCACGCTCTTTCCGGAAGTCGGTGGGCGGATCGTGGCAGAAAAGAGTAACCAGAGTCTCGGTCCTGGTCGGATCAAGATGTCCATGTTTGCCCTATTTCGAGGATCGATGAAGCGAATCTCGTATCAGTCGTAGCTCTCCCGGCTACCGGTGCTGATTGTATGTTTGACGCAGGCACCGGATGTTTGTACTACCAGTGTCGATATGAACATGAAACCAGGAATTTCCACGCGCTTGACATGTATGATGTGCTTTGCGCGCCTATTTCTCGGTCCTGGCGAGACTGAAGATGTGGTACGTTTTTGGTGCCAGTGTGGACCAAGACCGCATTCCTAAAAGGCATCCAGAACTCAAACTTGCTCGAGCTGCAGCAATGGAACTAGGGCATAGCAAAGTGACCCGGATCTATGGATAATCGCTTCCTTCAGCGGAGACCTCTTTGCAATAGGTAATTCTCCATCCTGCAGAGTGCAAGTAGCGGCAGGAAGCTATTCCTGTTAAGAATACCCGGCACTCTACTATTGATACCGACTGTAGGGAAAGGTAGGTTCCCCGCTTGAGCAATAATGCTATTCTCCCTTCTGGATAGAAGAGCTGAATCGCCAAAAGTCGCCGAGTATCGAGTTTAGTTCAACCCCCGGCGACGACACCGAGCGGATGCTGCGTCTCCGTCTCTTGATTGTCAGTGCATTATGGCAATATTGTGCAGTCCAATTCCGAGATGTACCGATTAGATCACATACATGCACACCTGATACCCACCATATTCGAGCGCAAAAGCACGAAGGATTGCGGTGGCCGAAGATATCAAATACCGAGGGAGGCATCGCCCTGACATGGAGGTTACACCAACGACGCAAGATCGCGATGGCAGCGTCGCACAAAGAGAAATGTGCCAAGTCCGCTTTGATGGAAGGATGATTAAGAGCTTCCAGAATGAAACCTTGTGTGATCTCATCGAATTGCAAAACCCTCCCCTTTGAATCGAGCGGGCGAACTGAACTGCCAGCCAGCGAGGGGGAAACTGCAACAGTCAACCAATAAGGAAAGTCAGTGGCTGAACAGCAGGTGGCAGGGACAGGGGTAGTTCAACCTCGGCTGGGGTGGTTCATTATTGACGAATTTTATTGGTCAGATAGAATTAGCGTGGTTCGAAATCCCGGGGTCTTGGTCACTCTAATGCAACTTCAATCGACTTGAGAAATTGAGAAATCAGAAATCCCCCCGACCTAGCGCATTAGTTATCATCTTAACACGCCCCAAACGGTCCGGAGTCTTCGAGAATATTTCATGGCTAGGCGCCGAGCTAGGGTCTCCTATCGCTACTATTTCCTCCCGCTTTGCCGGTCCGGGGCGCGCTCACTTGCATGCTTCCACTACGCACCGTCCAGCAACGTATCATGAGGAAAGTCCGAAATACCTTTCAGTGAGGGTCACCCCATGACCAAGTGATGTCTGAGATAGCAGCCGTCTCGAGTGATCGTGTCAAATCAATACGAGATCTAGCGGACGCCCAAGGAACATCGATCCCGCAGCATTGCCAATCGTAGAGAAAATGAGATCGAGGCGCATCCGGCCCGAGTAACCTGGGCGCACATCTGGGATTTGGTACGAAGAATGAAGAGGTGTGGTTGCACAGCCGGACGATCGATGCGGGGAGATTACCAATGATCGAGGACGTCGCACCAAAGTCGTTGATACTGACACGAATGAATCAATGAAATGGTTTGGAGGACGAACACGGCAACGTCGCCCTGGACCGTTGCTGTGTATGAGCGGTTCCGTGCGATTGTGTTCGGTGTAATCCAAATCTTGCTCGGCCACAAAACCGTCGAAGAAGAAATTTGTAACACTGTGGTCGTTGGACTGGGATTGGAGATTTAATTTGATACAAGGGAACCGGGCAGGTCCGCCTGTGAATAATACTGCGAAACCTGGTAACTGGTACCTAACGGAAAACTAATAACCTCTTCCTGCGTTATATTTATTATTTACCTACCCTGGTATGGTGAGGGACAAGGTGACGTGAGCGTGGCCACTGGCGACACTGTAGCATCCGGCTGCTGTTATAGAGTCAATTGGCCTTCATGAAGGCTGGCAATGGTATTGATGGCCTGATATATGACCAGTTGACTCGTCGACGCAGAGGGCACGAAATGAGTCGTATTCCGTAATGTTTGAGTGTTGCTGAAGCGCAGAGGAATGGTTCGTAGACGCAAGCGATGCAAAGCCAGTCGGATATAGCAGACTCAATCGCTCGAGGACATCCGACACTCCGAGTGGTTGGAGAGGAGCCATGATGGGGTCTGAATAATCTGTTAGCCGTTAGGGCCTTTAGGGTGATATTAGCGGGCCGGCTTGTCGGAAGGGTCCGTGAGAGCTCGCTAGGAACACTCAACATGGATTGATGGATGTATCGTCGCTCTTCAGTTTCTGTCTCCCAGTATTCTCGACTTGTTCTCCCGCCCCAAAGGGCGAACAACGGTCGAACACAAAGTCACTAAGTCACCATATCACCGCATCTCCGTTGCATACGGAGTACGGAATACTTGCATCTCATCTTATTCCTCTCATCCAACCACATGTCCGTATCGAATCCCCTCGATATCGCCCCTTCAACCCGACCCCAATCACATTCGAAACCCCATCATCACATTATCCACGTTTTATTCCCACCCCAGAAGCCTAACCCAATTCAACTGGGACTTTCTCGGCGCTATTCCTCTCCAATTTGGTCGTTCATCTAATCGTCGGCCACACTTCCTGATTCGAATTTGTTGAGCCCCTGCTAACTGATCCTGCAAGCCGCTATCCACATGCAGCACTCACTCCACCTTCCCCGGCTACTCTTTGACTTTTTGAGTCTCGTCGTTAATCCTTACCAGTTTCCCGCTGCAGCAGAATCCAAATTGTGCATGCAGGTTGCAGAAAGAATATTGTAGTAGCTCGCTTTTTGTCCGTCGTTCATATTACCCCGTGTGTGGTCCCCCACAAGCCCTGATTACTGTGATTAGCGATTAGTCTCCTCAATTGTTCAATGCCTTTGATTTGCCCGTGGCTGGCGAAGATTGGTCCGAGCCGTATCTTCTGGTTCTCTCTGGGGCGGCCACCTTAGCCACAGCGATCAGCGACCCATTTCGTCACGGGCCACTCCCTGAGCGGTTCATGCACTTCATGGTGTTCGCGCCTTCACGGCCCACAGGGTACCAGTAGTCCCATTTACCCAGCACGGATTACGACGAAACCATCGGTAGTGGTGCGGTACCGATACCATACGACCACTGCCATGGGAGGATGGATCCATGCATGCGTGAATTTTTGACTTGTTCCTCTGTCCACCTGAAAACCATCTTCGAACCTGATCTGCGCCTCATGTACGACGTTACCCCGATACCACGGTCTAATTGGGCCCGTTAGATTCACTTTCGGTCAGGCGTCAGGTATATGGTCACTACGGTAGCAGCAAAGTCCCCGTTCTTTGTCACCGTATCGAGTCATTCCCAGTCGGGCGAAGAATCCCATGTCCCGGTCGGTGGTCACTGGCCATTCAGCATTCTCGAGACTGCCCTGAGTTGAGTGAGTGGCGAGTGCCATTGATGGCTTCCCGAGTTTCCCAATCCGTCGGTACGCAAGTTCCCACATGCGAAAGTTCGATTCAATTGAGTCCGTGTCTTTGTCTTCGCCGTCCTCGTTGCCGTTGCTAGGGACCTGTATTTTCATTTCGCTATACCCTAACCGTCTGCGGCTCTTAAATGGCGACTCTTGACCCTCTGTCCATTTTCTCGACACGTCAATTCACTTGCATCCCACCACCTACGTATACTCCCCCCTCTTCCTTTCCTCTCTCCCCCTCTTCCTTTCCTCTCTCCCCCCTCCTCTGGGGCCCTCATCAAACACATGGAGCCAAGCGATACCACGTCCAGGCATGCGCCCTCTCCATCCGACACCACCACCATCATCGTCACTCCCGCCCCTAACGAACCGATCAATGGCGGATTCTCCGCCGCACAGTTCGCCGATTACGAGAAACGATTGAAGGTGGCATCACCAGACGCTCCGTCGTCCGTCGCCAACCGCGTGTCGTTCAATGAGGATGAGATCGAGAAAAGCTTCAAGCAAGCGGGAAGCCTGGAGAATGGCCTTGCACCTCCATCTCATGCACATGTACGAACAGACAGTCAAGCGTCATTTCGAACCGACGTCACTGTCAGTACCAGTGCATGTAGCACCGCATCCACCGTTCCCGAGAAGCGGCAGAGCCGGTTCGTTCGCAATATACGCCACACCTCCCTCAACGTGTATCGCCGGCTCTTCTCGATCGTCTTCCTCCTGAACGTCGTCGGTTTGATCGTGCTTCTAGCCCTGAATAAGACATCGGCGAAGATCGACATAGCCCACGTGGCTACCGCGGCGTCGGCAAATATCCTCGTGGCCATCACCATCCGCCAGGACTATGTGGTGAACTTCATGTTTCGGACGTGCTGGCTCGTGCCTCTCTCTGCACCGCTACGCCTTCGACGTATGTTAGCGAAGATCTACGAGCATGGCGGGTATGTTTTAATTTACCCGTAGAGGTTCATGGGAGGGTTGACTGACAGTTGTGAACAGGGTCCATTCCGGTGCAGGCGTGGCGGGAACTGTCTGGCTGATCCTCCTGACCGTATTGATTACCATCAACTTTGTAGATCATTCCATGCGATCGATCCCAGTTCTGACTTTCAGCTATGTCCTGTTGCTCCTTCTCCTGACGATCATCGTTTTTGCGTACCCCCGATTCCGATTCATGTCACACAATTCGTTCGAGATGACGCATCGGTTTGCTGGATGGACCGGTGTCGCGCTCTTCTGGGTGGAGCTTCTCTTGATCGCACACGAACTCTCGACCCGCAGCCATCGAAACATGGGCATCGAGCTCATCCACCAGCCCACGTTCTGGTTCCTCTCCGCAATCACCTTCAACATCCTCCTCCCCTGGCTACGTCTCCGCAAATGGACATTCCGTCCTGAAGTCCTCTCCAACCACGCTTTACGCCTTCACTACGACAAGACCCTAAAACCCTTCTCCGGCCTCGCCATCAGCGACAACCCTCTCTTCGAATGGCATCCCTTCGCCACCTTCCCCGCCGTCGACGGTGCCCCCGGCGGCAGCATGATCATCTCCGACGCCGGCGACTGGACCAAATCGGCCATCATGAACCCCCAGACCAAATACTGGGTGAAGGGGCTCCCGAAAACCGGCGTCCTCAGCATGGCCTGCATCTTCCGCAACGTCGTCGTCGTCACTACCGGCTCGGGCATCGGCCCATGCCTCTCCTTCCTCACCGACGCCTCCCGACGCCAGCCGGCCCGCGTGCTCTGGTCGACCCCCAGCCCGCTACGGACGTTCGGGCAAGGTATCGTGGATGCAGTGCGCAGCGCCGATTCCGAGGCGGTGATCATCGACACGCGGGCGAGCGGGCGACCGAACATGGTGGAGATCACGTATCGGATGTACGTGGAAAGCGGGGCGGAGGCGGTGTTCGTGATCTCGAATCCGCGGCTGACGCGGAAGATTGTGTATTCGATGGAGAGCCGGGGGGTTCCTGCGTTCGGGCCGGTGTGGGACTCATGAGGCTCCTTCCCCTGAGTTACGGATTGATTCCGAGCTCTTGTTTGACTTGTTGTTTTTTCTTCGGAGTTCCATGGCGGCATGCTAGACGGGTGGGTATGCACCCTTGAACATTGATGGTCCTCAGGGACGGGTCGGCGGCAACGGGACGGCGACCCGGTGTCGGGATCGGGATCGGGATCGACGGAATTAGGACGGCTCACTCCGTGTTCGGATCGGTCATTTGCTTCGGAAATATGTCGTTCATCCCACCGGGTTCGGGAATGGACGGGATATCACGCACCACTCTTTTATGCATCAGATACCCCCACATTGTTTCTCTCCTCTGCTTCGATTTGCTTGCTTCTTGCTTCGTGTCTCGTCCACCGCATATCTCCTCCTGTCAGCTAACTCCATGACGGTCGAGTCGAGTCGAATCGGATGGGTGAGGAACGGCAAGGCACGGCACGGCATTTATACACGAGCGGAATTCTTCCTTCGTTTGGTGGGCGCTTTTGGGCTTTTTGGCGAGAAACGGAAAAAACGAACTCAACGAGTATGAATTTACGAGAAGATAGGTTCTTCCCCACGACATTCATTCACACGACATTCTTAACGATCATTACGGAACGATGATTTTGCACGATTCGATGTCTTTGCGGCCGTGTCGGGACAGGGCTTGTCAGGACAGGACCAGATGCGAAAGAAAAGGACTGGACTGGGCGAGGTGAGACATGGAACATGTTCGATCGAAAGCCAAAAAAGGGCAGGAAAATCATGTATTTATGAACCTATGAGAAACCCTCTGCACTTAAATCCAATCTCACGTCACCTTCCAACCTTTCCCATCCGAACCACATATATGATATGCCCAATCACCGCCATTCCCAACAGAATTCTCTGGCTTCCCGCCGTCTGATTCCTGGAGATATCACCGCCTTGCGAACGGCGTGCGGCGCGGCTGTGGTGTTTTCGTGTCGATTTCTATATCCCGGTTGCGGGTGCGGTCATGATTGGTAGGGTGGGGCGGAGACCAACAATTCGGGCGGGTTGGTGCCCGATGGGGTTCCGGATGCGGACATAGGGCATAAAGAGTCGAGGGCTACGGGGAGAATTTGATTAACTTCTGAAGAACGAACGGGGGGTTGAGTGAGTGACGTGTGGTGCAGGTGGGATACGGGATACTTTTCTGATGAGGTGGATATATGGCGACGTACAAGCACTAAGCAGGCGATAGAACCATTATATGCTCTGTCAAGCTGCTTAATTCATGAAGACGTAGAGATATCTTGACGAGAATACCTCACACCATAGCCTATCCTCATAACCGAAGCCATGTACCCCGACATGAACACGAATAGAAAGCCAATTGCGGCGGTTCTGCCATGTTCTGGCCGCCATCCCTCCATCTTACCGTGTTATATCGAGCAATGACGATCTATATCGGTGGCCGTAGTACGACAACTCTGCTCTCCCGCGTTAACACTCTGCTTGTTGTGTGGCATTCGCTGTATGCCCCTGTCACCGTGTGTGGAGTCCGGTTCCAAGCAGTGGGGTGGAAGGATTTATAAGAATAAAGGAAACGAGAGACATGCACCTAAACAGCCTAACTCGGTGGTTGATCGACATGGTGTAGACATGAGGCCTCGATTAGAAAGGTTGGATGGAGTGAGAAGGAAGGACATAAGGAGACAGAAAGGAAAGGAAGCGATAGATGGTATGAGGTGCTTTGTGAATGATTTCGGGGAATCAAAAGCAGGATATTGTCCATGGACGAGACGGTGGAGGGTAATGGACGGATCGGACTTGTTGCGGTCCTCAATGTTGTTGTCGACTGTCAGTGGAGTATAGTAATCTCCATACGTAGTATTCCGCTCCGCTCCGCGCCTCTGCTATGTATGGAACCGTAGTGAGACTGTTCGGGTGATCCTAGAGTCTAGATTCAGCGCCTTGGTCAGAGCCGAGAAGACGGCCAGGAAGAGCCGAACATCATCTTGTCAACACAATTGCCAATCGCAATGGTATTATGTGAGATATGCAGTCCATCGTACAGCGCTTCTGGATAGATACAACCCTATCAGTTTGTGCTGACCTGGTTGGTTTTGCGTGTCAGGACTCTAGACAGCGGAACTGTTCAACCGCAAGACGCCAAGAACCGGTAGAAGTCATCTCCCAATACCAAGGATCCGTCTCCTTAGCCTCATCTCGGGAACCCTGGATTCGAGATCGGTCCCAGAAACGAGCATCCGGAGGGAGGGACGACGCGTCGACATCGGCGGAACGGGGGGTTGGTTCCTTGTTTCGTCCAACTCTCGATGTTTATGAAACTTCGGAAATTACTGGGTGGACATGCACTGCTGTGACGGGGAAGCTGCTTCAGTTCATCAGATTATTCGCATTCCGTCATCGTCGGAGATGGGAGCAGTCCAGGTCGCGTGTTTAATAGGAGAGAGGCCCTGTTCGTTGTTCGACTGCGCCTCAACCACATGCTTCTCAGTTCTCAGCAGAGTTGAAACAACCAACTCTAACGACTCTAGCTCCGAAGGGAACTCTCGCGCTCAGTTATCCGTAATCCGATGTAACCAGTGGGAATCCGATCCGATTTACTGGCGTGGCTGAGTATTATTATTAGTTCCGCCTCAGCCTCTCCACATCTATGATCTCCTCCACTGAACCAGCCGTCAAGATCCAGAACCAGACAGAGAGCGAAAGACCCTGATTATTAGTTAGGCCTTAACATTCATTCCATCCAACTTCAATCCTCCTCATCAACCGTGAATCCATTTTTCTGCTATCTTACCGTTCCTCCTTCTGGTAGAACTGTTCCTCTCGTTTCTGTTGAACCTTAAATCTGAAACATCCCGACTCTCGCTCTGGTGTTGCTGTTACAACCACCAAAGGATCGAGCCACCCACCTGCAACAGGTTTCACCATCGCTGTCAAGCCTCATCTGCCGAGACTTTCGCGCCGTCTTCCGCCGTTTCCGACTCTCTGCCTTTTCGCTGACATTCTCAACTTCGTAAGGGACGGTAGTTGGCCTCGTGGTTGTAATATTGGACAACCAAAGGCTTTCTTTGCCTCGACAATTCCGCCGTGGGCAGAGCATCGGATTCTTCACCAGCTTACCTATCCCATCGGATCCGATCTAACGGCAGGCGGATATTCCTACACCGCCGCATTCTCAGCCTTCTGTTGGATTGGCTTGACCTGTTACACACTGACACGGCCAACATCACCCCAATCTCCTATCGTTACATCTCTCATCTTCTTCATTTAATCAAGAAGGTCGAATCCTTTCGTCCGCGGAAGTCGACTCGAACGGTTCCGGCTTACATTCACTTGCACCGGGCATCCACTCAACCGTGCCATCATTTCGACGCCGAATTTAACGTCACACGACAGTATTCCTTAACAAAGAACGCCACGATACCCCTATCAACGACTTCACCCATAGAGGCTTGGCCACCGACACAGTCAAGCCTCCCAGTGTATCATCATTGACTGCGATCCTCTCTGAACCTTCCAGAATTCACGCTTCCCAGTACCGGAAGCCGCAACACCGCCAATATTCATCCCAAAACGAGCCCCGAATCCCGGGCGGCCCTTCTCGCGGAAGCGCCCTCGCAACCCATTGACACCTCATACCAACCATACATCCATCCAGCCCCCAGCGGACCATATTCTCGGACCTCCGCGAACTTCGCTCCCGCTCTCTCTCCGCAACCGCTCTCCTACAACCCCCAGGATCCCCAACCGCCAGGCGGCTTCCACGACCGCGAAGGCCTAACGACGGCCTACACCGGCCCCAAAAATCGACGCAAGATGAAGTTTTACATCCCGACCTCGGCATGGACGTGGACGTTCATGCTGACGACCATCTTCCAGGCGATCATCGCGCTCGGGCTAGAATCATATGTATTTGCGCGATTCCAATTGGATTTGAGGAATCTGCATGAAAACGCCAACAGTGACAAGCAGACGGAGACGCGGTCGATCCCCACGTACCTCTCGTTGCTGATATTCGGGCTCGTGTACCAGCTGTGGTTGGTGTACGATGCGTTGCGGTTGAAGAACACGATTCAAATCATCGGGATCTGCCTCTATAACCTGGGGATTATGGTGTATACGTCCATTCAGCTGGACCAGATCCGCGACGCGGTGGAGGTGTTGTCGGGAAGGGATCAGATCGATATGACGTACTGGAATCAGGTCAAGAACATCTTGATCGCGGTCCCGGTCGTGATTGCGCTGGGGACCGCACTGATGAGCTTCGTGGCGTGGAAGTTATATGGGGAGTTCGCCTGGACCATCTATAAGCAAATCAGTGCGGATCTACGGTTGAAGAGGAACTATTTGATTTTCCAGGTTGGTCTTCTACACCCTCCAAACATCTAGCCACTAACCATTGTCCAATAGATCTACATCGCGCTGCTAAAGTTCGATTTCTTCTTCTTCCTCGGCTTTACCATCCAGTTCATTGTCGTCGTCAATAACACCACCGACGTGGAGTTCATCCTCACCATCATCGCCATCCCCATCACCATCATCATCCTCTGCATGGCCGCATACTGGGTCAAGCGCGAAAACATCGTCGGCATGATCATCATCATCGTAGGTCCCCCCTCCACCCATCCCCACCCCTGAAACTAACCCCCCTAGGCCCTCTGGCACGTCTTCCTCGCCTACTTCCTCTTCAAGCTCATCCGCATGTACTCCACCGACCCCCGCCGCATGGAAGACTACCGCCCTGCCCGCCGCACCCTCACCTCATTCGCCGTCATCACCATCATCCTCCTCATCGTCACCATCACCATCGCCATCTGGTGCACCCGCAACTTCAACACCGGCCTCAAGCCGCACATCGTCTCCGGCCGCAAGAAGCGGGGAGACAGCAACGAGCCCGCCCAGGAGTGGCAGGACGATCGGTATGAGGGCTACGCGTCGTATGGTGAGCCGGGGAAGGCGGCGCCGGGGTACAGGCCGTCAGACGTGCCGTTGTCGAACCACCCAGGCGGGAGCCGGTTCCAGATTGATTAAGGAAGCATAGCATGTTGATTTACTGCGTTTTTGAAGGAACACCGCTTTGGACGATGTTTTAGCCTATAGTAAAAGAGCCTAGGGGGTGGTTAGATGGGACGATATGACACGAACAGTTCTAGACTGTACAGTAGCGGCAGCAGTGCGATTTCTTGTGTTCGGGGACGGATTGGGCTTTTCATGATACCACGGTCCTTTGAGAAAAAGCGATCTATGACCTCTATATTTTGTTTTTCGTTCCTTGTGATTGCTCCATCAGTCATCTGGGGCTCTCTCCTGTTGTTGTACCTGTTAGATACCCTGGTGACGTTCGTCCACTGAAGCTGTTGCCGCTTTCCATTTAAATTGAACTCCTTTTGATCGTCGCTCTTGATCTTCTCTTCCTTGCTGTCTTGATGTATGTTGCTCCTGGTCTATTTAAACCGACTTATTCAATAGTACGCCATTCCAATGGCCCGTCCAGCGGACATCACCCTCCCATTGTGTATTCGCGTCCACCAAACAACGATCCAAGGTTCACTGGCTGTTGATATAGCTCAAATAGCAGTTCCAACCTACACCTCGTTAGCCCCCGCCCAAAAGACCGAAAAAAAGCAAGACCCAAAACTCACCCAACGCCACCACATTCACCACCAACACCCGATGCTCCAACGGCACCCACCCAAAATTCACCACCTGCACCCCAGGCCACACCAAAAAATTCTTCTTCATCCCCGTCCACCACGTCTTCCGCAGCTTCTCCCGCGCGCTGCCCCCCTCCAAGTACGCCATGCTGCTCAGGAACACCGCCATGTTCGTCGGCGCGAACACCGCCTGGTCGAGCGCCACGCGCGCAAGGATCGTCGGGAAATGGCGCGCCGGGGCGGGCGGCGGGAGGGGGATGGAGATGGGGTCGGTCGGCGGGCGGGTGCCGGTGGGTTGGGGGGGGACGAGGGCGGGGCGTTGGAGGTTGACGCGGGAGAGAAGGCGGTACCAGAAGGTGGCGGCGGGGCCGAAGACAGCTGTTGCGAGGTGTTAGAAGAGGATGGTTCTCGCGTGGGGATTGGGGATAAATGAATAAATACCGCCGCCGTAGCCGGCCATTCGACCGGTGCGTGAGAAGTCGTGTTTGTTGAGGCCGCGCTTTTCGACGGCTTGTTGGGCGAGGGTGTCGCCGGCTGCGAAGAGGACCTAGGGGGCGAGGGTGAGCGGAAGTCTCTAATTGGGATCTTAGGATACTTTACGTACGGCGGTAGTAATACTCTGAGTCAATATCGGCCGAGCGGCCAGCTTCGCTTGGTACCTGATGGGTGTTAGGGGCTACTGGATTGGTAATGGATGAGGGGACGTACCAGCGGAGAACCATGATGGGGAGATTTAATGAACTTTAATATGAGTTAATAGGAGGGTATATAGGGCCAATTGGAGTTTTTGTTCATATAAACAGAGTAGTGTTATGGATGATAGACGTTGGTGATATAGGTATTGAATTTGAAGCCCCCCGACCGCACTGACGTCAATTGCTTTTTGCTGAGTTGATCCCCTTGCAGTTGGCGGATCGATTTCCTCTTTCGATGCATCCGAACCACAAGTCACAAGTCACATCTATTCCATAAGATCAGCATTTCACATCCGCTTTGCTTTTCTGTGGTAACCGACAATTCGAGAATCTCTATTGTTGCAATATCTAACCCCCACATGTATCCCGTCTGAACTTACCATCGAGATGTCCGATCCACCCACCAAACGCCGACGCGTCGACGCAGCGCAGAGCACCCTGAGGAAGCCATTCAGGTCCCCATTGAAGACGAAGACCGATTCCCTGAATACCTTTACTCCGGCGCCTTCTCCACTCCGCAATGTCAAGGCTACTGTAGCTACGGTTCCATCACCAACCAAACTGCCTCCATCACCCACCACCACCACCACCACCACCACCACCACCACCACCGAGTCCCCCACTGAAACTCCCACCAACAACCCAACCACCAACACCCTCCCCTCCCTCACCTCCGCCGATAAATCCACCATCGCCACCCTCACCACTCACCTCACCGCCCTCCGCCGCCAACAAACCACCACAACCAGCGACATCGACATTCTCACGACCGCGCTGGCCGTCACGACGCAGAACAAAGACGCTGAGCTAGAGGCGCTAGTCGGCAAGTGGCGCGCGGCGACGAGGACGGCGGCGGAGGAGATGTGGGCGACGGCGAGGGAGAAGGTGAATGGGATGGGGGGGGTGGGGGCGTGGAGAGAACGGGAGCGGGAGAGGAGGAGGAGGGTGGAGGAGTTTAGTAGTGGGGGGTGGATGGATGAGAGGGGGGATGATGAGAGGGGGGGGGAGGAGGGAGGGGGGGATGACAATGATGGGGAAGAGGGGGGTGAGGATGAGAGAGAGGATCGGGGGGAGGATGGGTTGTTGGACGGGCCGGATGATGAGGTGAGTTACTGATAGAATGAGCTTGGTGGGTTAGGCTAATTGTTGGCAGTCGTTTACGATGGGGATGATGCTCCGGATGATGGGCATCGAGTTCGGGACGGTCGGGTATGATGACGACCGGGAGGCGTGGAGCGAGGCCACTTGATGACCGAGGGAGTCCATGGCTTCTTTTACACTCTATGGCTCCTCTTGACCATGCTACGAGAAGGTTGTCGCTGATTCTCTCTTCACGTATGGTCCTGCGCTATCCGGGTCGTGACCAGCTCCTGACTTTCTCCAGATATTCTATATTCTTTGCGTGCTTTATGATGAAATGAGGCATGATGTTTATTGCCTCTTTTCTCGAGACGCTACTCGTACTCGGTTTATTATAGGGGATATGACCGGCGTGGATGGCCGAGTGGTGAACCGTCACGTATTCAGAGAGCAGCATGGAGTTTAAAGACAGGACTTCTATAGATACCCACCACGATTTATGTCTATGAAATTCAAATAAATATGATCTCGTTCCCTTTAAGAACCTCTCTGGTACGTTTCGACTTCATTTTCGTATGCTAATTGCATGTTCTGTGACGTTTTTGGTGATATGTTGTTTTAGAACAGAAATGATGTTGAGAATTATATTGCGAGTGTTGAGATTGAGAATTAAATAAGACTTTTTGTCAAAATCCACCATAACACCCACCATACATGGAAATTTAACTGGAAACTTATGTATATATACAACATAAGGAATATAGTTATCATAAAGAGTAAAAAACAAAGAAAAATATTGTCGTGGGGCTATAAACGGCACTCGAGCGATTTCCACGATACCATCTCAGGATGCGCATCAACCTAACAAATGTATACCACGCTCACGGAAAAGGGGCCTACCCACCCAAGACTCATCCTACGCACCGAGTTAGATCCAAAAGCCACAATAATCAGTAAGAAACCCAAACAGATCCCACGGTTATGTACGGAATCGAAACACAACCCGACAACGTCCCCGACGCAAGTCTGATACACCACACTGGTCGAGAACGTGTCTATGCATCTATGGCGATGGGATACCAGGGAACAGGGATCACAGGCAATCATGCAGATGGCGTCAGCGGACGTTGCAGAGGGGACTTCGAGAGTCAATCATGGTGTGGCCCGGAAGCAAAGTGTAGGGGCCACGAGGGATTGCCGATCCGGCAAATGGTTACAGACATCAGACGGAACAGGGCGACGGTGAGGCGAAAACGACGTATGGACACAGAGATCCATCCTTAGCTAGGTCGGGCAGCGTGATGGATGCGACACGTCCGAACAAGAGAACCGGAGCGGGAGCATTCAACTTTTCAATAATGAACTCTATGATACATCCAAGCTTAATCCACATGGCCCATATGCGAGCGGTCGCGGCAGATCCCCAAGCTCGCACGGGTCAATAATCAATATACAAGACGGGAAACCAGATGCGAGGAGTACAATTATGCGATCAACATCCGTCGGGGGTCCTCAATGTATTCCTTGACCTAGATGGGTGTTAGCGAGTGATTGGGGATGGGAAAGGGGTGGATGTACCTTGACGAGGAAGGTGACGGCTTCTCGGCCGTCGAGGAGTCGGTGGTCGTAAGTGAGGGCGAGGTACATCATCTGCGCACGTTAGTCATGGGCCTCCTTGATAGACGAAAAACAACGAACCGGTCGGATCTCCACCTTCCCATTGATCGCCACCGGCTTCTCCTTGATCGCATGCAACCCCAACACCGCCGTCTGCGGCAGATTAATAATCGGCGTCCCCATCAACGACCCGAACACCCCGCCGTTGCTGATCGTGAACGTGCCGCCCGCCATATCCTCGATGGTCAGCTTGTTGTCGCGCGCCTTGCGCCCCAGGTCCGCGATGGCCTTCTCGATGCCCACGAGGTCCATCTCCTCCACGTTCCGCACGACGGGCGTCACCAGCCCCTTCTCGGTGGCGACGGCGACGCTGACGTCGACGTAGTCGCGGTAGACGATGGTGTCGCCGCCGCTGGGCCCCTCGATGGAGGCGTTGACGGCGGGGAGGTCCTTCATGGCGAGGATGCAGGCGCGGGTGAAGGCGGACATGAAACCGAGCTTGACGCCGGTGCGCTTGAGGACGTCGTCCTTGTAGAGCTTGCGGAGCTCCATGAGCGAGGACATGTCGACTTCGTTGAACGTGGTGAGCGAGGCGGCGGTGTTCTGCGATTGCTTAAGGCGCTCGGCGATGCGGAGGCGCATGCGGTTCATTTTGACGCGGCGCTCTTCGCGGTTGCCGAAGCCGGGAGCGGCTTTGGAGGGTTCAGGTTTCTTAGGTTCTTGCTTCGGTTTGGGTTGCGGAGGGGGGGTGGGCTTCGCTTGTTGTGGGGGAGGGGGAGGAGGGGAGGGTTGCTTGGTCTCCTCTTTCGGTGGCGCGGGCGTGGGCTCTTCCTTGGGTGGCGCGGGCGTGGGCTCTTCCTTGGGTTTTGGCGGTTCCTCGGGTGCTTTGGGTGCGGCGGGGGCTTCTTCTTTCTTCGGGTCCTCCTGGGGTTTCTCGCCGCCGGCGTCCAGCAAGAGGAGGTCTTGGCCGACGGTGACGGTGTCTTCTTCGTTGACGAGGAATTTCTTGATGGTACCGGCTTCGGGAGCGTTGACGGAGACGTCGATCTAGACGCATTAGAGTTATGCCGTAGGACACGTCTCTGGAGCATACCTTGTCGGTCTCGATCGTCGCGATCTCCTCATCCAACTCGACATAGTCGCCAATCTCTAGAATGATATTAGCCTGCATCCATCTAGTCCTTAGCACTGTCTTCCAACGCACGTTTCGAGAATTGCTTCAAGGTTCCCTCCGTGATCGACTCCGCCATCTCCGGAACCTTAACAACCTTCTCGGCTTCGAACCATTAGCATCTATCGCATCCCAGCGTCGAACGAACAAGCTGACCGTATCCCCTCATCTGGACGTATGAAGGGAAGGAAACCCCATCTTTCCGCGATGAACTAACCGCCGTCAGCGCGACGAATTCAAAATACGAGCTCTTCCAAGGACGCAAACCTACCGAAACGTTGGCGCGCTCAATGGACTTCTCGACGTCGACGACAGCGACGACAGCGACGACGCGCTCCTCAATACCGTGAAAGAGCTCCTCGGCAGCGAGCTCGTGGTCGAATATTCACAGCATCGCCGCAATGACGCCGTAGCCGGCCTACTGCGGAGGCATTGTCGAGCGAGCATGGTCGCTATCGCTCGATGGATGGACTACGATGGGGAAACGAGGGTGGGCACCCGAGCACACAATGGCGCTCAGCAGAGGAGGGAGGGGGGGGAGGAGAAGGGAGATGAAGGATGGGGGAACAGTGGGCGAGCGAATCTAAGGGAAGGTGGAAAAAGATAGTTGGATGGGAGAAAGTTGAATCATGTCGATTCTTGTTTCGTCACAGAAGGCAGGACATCAGCAAGGAACTGCAAGGAACTCATCCCTGTTCCGCCGACTTTGCCGTGTGTCCGTGCCAAGAAATGAGCCACAGAAAGACTGCGCCACAGAGCTGCTGCTGAGTGCTGTACCTAGATGAACTTCCATTCGACCTCCCACTTGACAATTGATACCAGTGCTTGAATCGTCATCAATTGCACCGTCAACCCGCCAACCCCCCCATCACCACCCCTCAAACCAGATCCTTCTCGACCAACGAGTTTGGATCACCATATCCGACACCATGACCCCCCTCATCGCCGGCAGTAGGCGCGTGTGCGCCCTGAAGCGGACGACATACCGCAGCATCATGGCCTCACGAACCTATTCGGCCACCGTCGTGTCCCCCGAGCGAATGACCCCCGCCTACGAGTACCTCTCCCCAGCTCACCCTCGCGATAATGACCATCGCTGACACGCCGCAGAGTCCCCGACATGACCCTCTCCCATAGAGCGAAAGTCTGGTGAGCCGCACATCCTCCACCATCGCACGAGCTGGATAGATGATGGATAGAGAGACATCTCCCCGGAGAAGAACGAGGCTGACGAGAACTAATCATCCAGCTCCCTCTACCGCCGCGCCCTCAAACTCTCCCTCGACTGGTGTAACGACCGCGCCGCCTGGCGCGGCCAAGCCATGTACATCCGTACCGTCTTCGACGCAAACCTCGCCGTGAATGACCGACGGACGCAGCGGGTACGCCTCTATCCCCCCCTTCAACCTATCTGACCCCTACCAAATAACCCGGGTAACTGACTAACCTTTGTGGTGCGCAGGTCCTCATCGAAGAAGCCGAGCGCATCCTCGATGAATACAAGCATCCGGAACCGTATCGGGCGCCGACGGCGCCGGGAGGTGAGTTTTTCCAGTTCGGAGGGTTGAGAAGGGGATATGGCTGATTTGTTGTAGGGTCGAAGTGGGAGAGGAATTTGGAGGCGCCGATTTTGGATCGTGAGTTTCCCGGTTCTGACTTTGGTTTGTGGGGGTGGGTGAGCTGACGTAAATGTGTAGCACCGCCGAAGATGGATTTGTGAGGGAGGGGTTGGGGTGGAGGGGAAGAAGGGGAATTGAGTCGTTGGGTTCAGTTAGATATGGACGTTGGACGGTGGTCCGGATGTATGAGTGATTCTACGGAGGATTCTAGAGCATCGTATCCATTATCCGTCGATCAACATGGGAGATTTGCGTCGAGGTGTAGATATATTCCAAATCCAAGGATTTCCATAAGGGGAAATTAAAAAAGAACATTTTATGATTAGATATCGCTGATTTCTAGTGTACCTATAAATGTGAAACTGCCATATGTATCTCCATTTTCCAAACGAGTCAAGACGCGTTCATCCCGAGTTCCATACGCGTCAAATATAGATATCAAAAACCGAATATCAGACTCAAAATGCATTCACAAATCACTAAGCAGAATGTGGAAAATAAAGATTGAAATAAGTCCACTTCGGACCCATCAGCTCCGTTCATGAATTCCTATCCATAGCCATGGATATAATATACACCGGCTTTCGTTGATGATCGAATGATTCAGAGAAAAAAGCCATGAATTCCCAGACCCCGTGTCCCGATGACCCCCATTATCATTGGAGATCAAAAAAGCAGCAGCCCCCATTGTGTCGCGCCAAGTGTCAAACGAAAGAAGCCATTCCCACCATGACCACCACCACCTTACATCTCCAGGCTGGCGCCCTTGCCACCCTTGGCCGTCTTCTTGGGCAAAAGGTCTGAAAAAACGGTTAGCGAAATGTGACCCATCCTGACCGAAAAGGAAAACGTACTTTGGTGGATGTTGGGAAGCACACCACCCTGCGCGATGGTGACGTGGCCCAACAGCTTGTTCAACTCCTCATCGTTACGGATGGCGAGCTGCAGATGGCGGGGGATGATACGGGTCTTCTTGTTGTCGCGGGCGGCGTTACCGGCCAACTCGAGGATTTCGGCAGCCAGGTACTCTAGGACCGCAGCGAGGTAGACGGGAGCACCTAGAAGATGGGGTTAGAATGATGTGGTTGTGTCGGATGAGAGCGGTTGCGGCTTACCGGCACCAACACGCTGAGCGTAGTTTCCCTTCCTCAACAGACGGTGGACACGACCGACGGGGAATGCGAGACCAGCCTTAGATGAACGGCTAGTTTTGGGGTCAGTTTTGGTTCATTTGAATGAAAAAGTAGATGTGAGATAGGATAGACTTCAAACTTCAATTCAAGATCCAACTTCTTCAAGCTCAGATCTCATAATTGATATGGAAATCTCTCTAAGTCCAGAAGGTGTGTACGATGAACGCGTTCAAGGGGAAACTCACGATTGAGCCGTGCTCTTGGAGCCACTGGCCTTGCCACCTGATTTACCTCCAGTCATTTTGAAAGTGGGGGAATTGGAATTCGGGATGGAATATGAGTTTCGGTTGAAAGATGCGATGGAGTGCGATAGATCAAGTTGGCAGTGATGTTGGATGGATAGAAAGATGAAGAGAGGAGGAGAAAGAAAAGGGTGGTGAGGGATGGCGGGGCGCGTGGGCTTTTATGGGCAGCCACGAGAATGCGCGATGGAGGGAGCATCACCATGAGGGAGGAGAGTGTTGATGCGCGACACGCGATGGATGCCTGAGTGGTGCCTGAATGCCTTGGGAGGGGTGGTGATGCATCAGCCAGAAAGCGTGAATCTGGGATGAGTGATGGCACTAAACCGCTTTGGGAAGGATAGCTTAACTGTTGCCTTTTGCAGCTTCTAGATTCCATCATAACACGACGCGATCTGATTGGCTGCGTTGGAAAGAACATTCCCGAAGCGGTCAAGCTCCTCTGTTAGATCCCCTTGATTGATGGTTTCCTGCCTTCCGCAATACACAGAACGCGTCGTCCATCACCCACTCCCAGCAACCCCCCCTTGCAGCTGTAGAATTGTATGTAACTGTAAGCCCAGCCCAGCCAACGCGCCGCCCCCCATCACATCACACACCACCCAGCAACTCATCAGACAGCAACTCATCAACTCATCAACTCCTCCCCTCCCCATCCCTCCCTCCCACTACAAAAACCTCTCAACGCCCCCCATCTCTCACCCTCTTTCTTTCTTTCCTTCCTTCATCCATCATCTACATTCCCAACCACGCTGCATCTTTGACAAACACACTCACCCATCCTCATCAATCCAACTCATCACTTCCAACTTTCCAACTTTTCCGAAAGGCATCAAATCGTCGAAATGGCACCCAAGGCAGCTCAAAAGACTCCCTCCACCGGCGGCAAGGCCCCGGCTGGCAAGGCGCCCGCGGAGAAGAAGGAGGCCGGCAAGAAGACCGCCGCGCCCGCCGGTGAGAAGAAGAAGCGCACCAAGACCCGAAAGGAGACCTATAGCTCCTACATCTACAAAGGTATGCTTTCGGAAAATCGCGTCGTGAATTCGAGTCGCCTGGTCCGGGAGACTTGGATTCCGTCGGGTTTCATCAACACATTCCGATCTTGGAAATTCTGACGCGTTTTCTCTAGTCTTGAAGCAGGTTCACCCCGACACTGGTATCTCAAACCGTGCCATGTCCATCCTGAACTCCTTCGTCAATGGTAAGTCATCATCCAATCCATCCAAGTCATTTGACTTTTGGGTTTCCGATTCATCAAATCAGATCTTAAATTCTGACTCCATTCATAGACATCTTTGAGCGCGTCGCTACCGAGGCATCCAAGCTCGCCGCCTACAACAAGAAGTCCACCATCTCCTCCCGCGAGATCCAAACCTCCGTCCGTCTGATCCTGCCGGGCGAGTTGGCCAAGCACGCTGTGTCCGAGGGCACCAAGGCTGTCACCAAGTACTCCTCCGCTTCCAAATAAGCCGTCATCACACGACGGTCTCTTCGGGGTTTGGTTCTTTCTTTGCGCGCGATGGAGTGATGAGATGGCGATTCCGCTTATGGGTTTGGAATCGGAAATTTTCGTGGTTCATGATGAACTGCCACGGTTTCGGGAAACGGTGTTACACGGGTCTATTCTTTTCTTTTTCCATTAATGCCTCTCATGGGATGGTCTGCGTCGAATCCAGTCATCAATCAGCCGTCGGATCGTGAAAGTCACATGGTCCGAGGGAAAGTCATCATCAGGGGATGGATGGGGGTCAAGGGATGTACAGTATTTCTTCCGAAGAAATGAAATCGAGCATGCAGAACATTACATTCATTCAATCTTGATCCAATAATGTTTCTGATTTCGTGATTTTTGTATCTTTGATTTCCTCATTCGGATGTTCAAATTTGAATCTTGACCTTTGCTCGTCAGATGGGTTTCATGAGCTGGTATCTACCAAACTCATTTGACTTTTGAGGGGATATAGAGGCTCTGTAAGACGCGTCGTGAAGGCGTGCATCTCGCGAATCGCGTTCCTGGGTCGATTGGCGGCATGCATGCGCTGCCAACACCCCACGGAACCGATTCCGCACCCAGCGTCCCAGCACCCTCTCACCAACGTTACGAATTCCGGATAAAAATTGCACGGCATTTCTGTTTCCTATAGGTCGGGATTCCATTCCCATCATCCCAAGCGAGGAACTGCGTGATGTTATGCTGTGCTGATATCCAGATAGGTAAGATTAAAGATACCCATCCATCCGCTTCACCGCACCGGAATCCATGCTCCAACACCCGGACTCCAACACCTCCACCAATGTTATCATAATACCATATCGATTATCAATCCACCTAAACTACCACCCCTTCCTCCTCCCCCTCCTCATCACTCAACACCTCCACTTCCCCCATTGCCCCCTCCCGTTCCCCCACCCCCCTCTCCACCCGCATAACTCTCCTCCCAGGCTCCTCCCCCACGCTCTCCTTCCACGCCCTCCAATCCTCCTCATCCCGGATCAAAAACCCAATCAGCATACTCGGATCCATCTCGGCGATCTGGATGCGTCGCAGGCGCCGCGTGTGGCACGAGGAGACCTCCGCGGGGGTGTAGGCGGTGGGGGGGGTGGGGAGGGGGAGGAAGGGACGCGTGGTGTGCGGGTCGAGGTAGAAGAGGGAGGTGGATTGGAGGCCAAGGAAGTAGTGGGAGGAGGAGGGGCGGCCGCTGGATCGAAACAGTTAGTATCAACCATAGAAGTCGAATAGAAAGAGGTTAGGAGAGGGGTGGCATGGGTGGATGGACAGATAGAAAATAGATGGAGAAACATACCCAGCAATCCCGATCGACTGCCGCATCTGCAGCGCTGACTTCAGCGCCTCCCAATACACCGGCGTCACGCGATCGATCCCCAGCCGCGTACAGATCAAGATCAACGTCGGTGCGAACCCCCCGTCCGCTGTCCGCGCGATCTTCATAAAGTCGTCCTCGTACACCTCCGGCCCGTCGCCCGTGATGTAGACCTTGAGTCCGAGAGACTCGTGCTGGTTGGCGAGCGCCCTATAATACTCAGTTGGGATTTGAGGATGAGAGGATGGGGGACTTACTGGATGCAGCGCGCGGTGGCGGAGGGGCCAAACCATTCGCCGGGGTGTTTGCCGCAGGCGGAAGCGCCGTGGTCGACGAAGCGGTGAATGGAGAAAGGGGCGTTCGGATCGTCGGCGAAGAGCGCGAGGAGCTCTTTTTCCTCTGCTTCTCGTTCACCACGTCGCCAATCTGCGTGAAAACGTCAGCGTCCTTACCGTCCAACCCCTGCAAGAGATGGTTTGATTTATGGGAGCGAACTGCACTCACCTCGCCCAAACCGCAACATCACCAATGCGTTCGCAAACAAGCTCTGGCCCGACCGAATCATGCACCCCCACCCACTATCGCTCGTAAATCCCCCCTGCCCCCCCAGCTGCCTCAACCTCACCCCCAAACTCAGCCCTGCCCCCGCCCCCGCCCCCGCCGTCCGCTCGATGCACGGAAATCCCGACCGATACGTCATCCACACACGCGACTCGAAGTCGTCCAGGAACGCTGCCGGCCACCCGCCGTCCGCGTCCGCGTCCTCGTTCGTGCTGCCGGGGCCGTTGCCGTTGCTGGCGGAGGGGGGGGGGTCGGTGGAGGAGGCGTGCGATCGGCCGAGGTCTTCGAGACTGCTGGTGGCGCTAGGATGTTCGAGCATGCTGGTGGAGCTGGCGGCCATGGAGGGGGGTTTGCTGTGGTGGGAGGTGAAGAGGTCGATGGGGGAGGGGTTGGAGGAGGCGGAGGGGGAGGGGGATTGTGGGCCGGTGTTGATTTGGATGCGTTGTTGGTTCTTCTGTGTTTGTGGTTCATCCTGTGGTTCATTCTGTTGTTCATTCTGTTGTTGCCGCTGTCCATCTTCTTGCTGCCGACGGGTCTCGGCCTCCTCCCGCGCTATGCTGCTCCGGTCGATGGGGTCGATCGCCTCGTATTGGCGGCCCAGCACCCAGATGGGGGCCTCGGACGGGTCATCGTTGCGGGGGGGCGGGTCCCAGAAGTATTGGAGGACGCGCTTGCTGTAGCGGCCGATGTCGACATTGCTCATGGTAGGGAAGGAGAGGGGGGGAGGGTTGCGGCGCAGGTCGAGGAGCCTGGCGGAGAGGGTTTGGAGGAGGGCGTCCAGTATGGCTGAAGGGGGGGGTATGGAGGGAGATCGGAGTTCAGATCGTTATAGTGGGATGGTGGTTGCGGGTGAGTCAGCGGTGGGAGGGATGGGATTGGAAGTAGGGGACTGGAATCGTTAAAGAACAGGTAGGTATCGTGCATCAAACCGCTGAAGGAATTAGCAGTGACGGAGTAGGCTTTGTTCGGAGGTGCATACCGGTATACAGGTTGGGGCAAAGGTGTCCGCCTGATACAGCGAAAGCCCAGGCCTGAGACGCTGTACGTAACTGCAGCTGGGTGGTCCAACAAACGATCCCTGAATGGCGGGGCTCCCCTTTGGACTGGGGATCTCAGGGAAGTGGATCGAGAGACGACCTGAGCACCCTGTTGATATCAGATCTGAAGACTACGGCTTCTTATGCAGATGGTTCCTCTCTTGTTCGAATCGTGCAGCCTGCTTAGTCTTTTGCTCTCCCGTTTGCCCAGTCTCTTGTCAGATTTCCCAGCGCAGCAGAGCGGTGTGAGAGCATGAACTGATGGAATTATGAAGCCACATCGACGACCCACTCACTCAAGCTGAGCTGAATTGGAACTCCGCTGCGTTCCCTGTAAAGTAACCTCCTTGTCGCCTCAATGCCTAATCGCCTATTCGCCTTAACGCCTCGTACGCACGGACGTCTGTATACTCTGCGTGGTCCAATCAGCGTCGTTTCTACTGCAGCTTGACAGGCATCTTCAACTTCCAAAATATCAAAAGATATCAAACTCAACATCAACCGCGCAACCCATATTACTGAAGCTCGGTGGTCTGAAATTCCGTCCGTATAGCGACCAAAGTTTTCCAATTATCCAATCCAATAGCCTGTCACATGAGTGGTTTGTCTCGGCGATCGAATTAGGAAGGCGGGGCCTCTGATTTTATTTTTCTGTTGTTTCGCATTTATAAATCCCTCCTAATAATCCATTCTACTCCTCCTCCTCAGAATTTCTTAGAAAGCACATCAGCCCTCAGAAAGCACACCCTTTGCAAACACTCTGAACGAAGCACTACATTTTAGAGTGGAAGAACCATCAAATCATCAAGCAATTATCCCTTTATTCATCACCCGCCACCCATGGCTGCTGATGAGAAACACGCCAGAAGTAAGCATGGGAAGCCAGCGAGGTCTCCTTCTCCTGCCTCATCATCCGGCAGTGAGGAGATCGTCTTCGAGGGTCGCTGTCCACCCAGCCCTACTCCTTCGGTGAAAGCGCTCAGAAAATTAGCACCCCACAAAAGGAACAAGCTGAACGACGAGTGGGATGTCATGAATCACCTGGAGCGATGGGAGCATCGGAGCAAGCCCGGCATCGGGTGGAACAAGAAGAAGAGTGACCTCTACCACCCGAAGACAGGGAAGCGAGTGAACCCACGAGACCTCTTACAGAATACTGACATGCTCGCCGAGTTCGAAGCTATGGAACAAGAAAAGGCGAATCGGAAGGCGGTCGTCGATGACTACGTGGAAAACATGGACGCGGATGACCTGGCCTACATGATGGGTCAATCGAACTTCGCTTCTCGGGACATCGACAACCACAACGGCAACCAAGATGTCTTCTACATGCCTGACTCCGATAGCGATGTCAATAAGACCCAAGGAGTCCCCGATCTTTCCGGTGATGTTCGCTCCACCCACCGACCTAATGTCGATGGAACTGCTTCCATAAATGGAACTGCCTCCGTCAAAGGGAAAGCCAAGGTCATCGTCGATAGCGACCCAGATGAACCGGAAGAGTCGGACGATGAGTCAGATACCGCGCACTCGGAGACTATCGATGACGAAGAGATCGCGAGGCGACTTCAAGCTGCCGAATTCACCAGTGCCAAGACAGGTGATGTCTACGATGACTTCGACGACATCGATGACTTCGACATCACGGACTTCAACCGCCCGAGCCTGGGGAACAAGAAGAAGTCCAAAGGTTTCCCGGGCTACCAGGGCATGATCGACCTCGCCGACGACGAGATGGTCGAAGAAATGCAATCGGCCTGGGCGAACGATCGGATGAAGAAGAAAGCTAGGAAACAGGAGCGGGAACGTCTTCGCGCGGAAGGGCTCCTTGGGAGCAAGAGCAAGAAAGCGAAAGCCGCAGCCGACAAAGTCATCATCCGCAAGACCATTACGGAGATCCGCGACGAGATCCGCAGCTTCATCCGCTCCGGCGATGAGAGGTATGTACACGCCATCCAGCCCCCGACGCCTTCTCACACTCGCAGCTACGCCTTTTCGCCCATGACCCCCGACCAACGCCGTAACGTCCATCTTTACGCGCACCACCTCCAACTCGTCTCCAAATCCATCGGCGGAGGCAACAAGCGCTTCACCATCCTCAAGAAGACCGCGCACTCCCTCTCCATCAGCGAGCGGCAAATGGACCGCGTCCTCGGCCGCCCCATTGGACCCAAGAGCATCAAACGCGACCGTGCCGGCCCGAGCAAGGACAGCACCAATGTCCGCGCCGGTGCGCCGACGACCTACGGACACGGCGAGGTCATCGGGGCGGACGCGCCGGAAATCGGGACGGAGAGTAAGGGGCATGCGATGTTGAGGAAGATGGGGTGGGATAAGGGGAAGGCGTTGGGGGCGGAGAACACGGGGATTCTAGAGCCGATTGAGCAGATTATGAGGCGGAACCGACGCGGGTTGGGCTGAGAACACTCTCCGTTGCTGTTGGCTCGCGTTGGACCCCTGAATAGAATCACCACTCGATGTCATCGACTGGGCCTTTACGATAATCGCGATGGCTGTTAGGCCTCGAGCTTTGGTAAATGGAAGTGAGCGGTTGCGGTAGATATCCGAGAGGGATTTTAGAGCGATCGGTGGCCTTCATGGAGGGTATATCGAAAAAGGCAGAACGTCCACGATATCGAAGAAAAACGGAATGAGCAGTATTGAGTCCAATACTCAACTCTCTGTACTACGGATTACAAGCATTGTTTGACTACTATGGAATGGAGGGACGCGAAGCTGGCTTGTTGGTGTGTCGAAAGATTCCTCTAGATCGACTACTACTGGTATAGATGGAGACACGCCAGCGTATCTCTTTTTGCGATACGCCTTTCGTGGTCGGCGGAATGGTCCCTCACAGCGTTTCTCAACACGACTTTGCTGGGTTTTTTGCAAGTTTGCATACGGACGGTAGATGCCACTCTTCCGGCTTTGGCTTGGTGGAGAGGACTGAAGGTCTTTGATTCTCGGTTTCTCACACACAATTTGAGACGAGCGCCTTGCTGCAACGAGGACAGAGTGTGGGCACCTATGTACGAAAATAACTGCACCACTCCTAGAATCGGGATCCGCATGTACCCAAGTACCACGGTACGCATTTCATTCCCGACGATGCCATTGGCCCATCACCAATTTCCAAGCCACCTTCGCTGATTCCGCCGCACATTTCCCCGGATTTCGGCTCTCAAGCGTCCAAGATGGAGCCGAGGACGTGGAGAGACCCCTCAAATTAACCATCCAAGCGACCAATCCCACCATCAACGAGCGAGGTTCTCGACTTCTCGTAGGCTTGTTATGGCGCTAAAATGCTAGCAATATGAGCAGCGGCTCCGGTTAACTGTTTCCGGTATATTTCGGTAATTTCAGAAGCCAGAACTTAAGGTGGTCGGGTCGCCTCTGTACTTACATAGTACTCTGTAGGCGATCTAGAACTTGCTGTATCTGTCCTGGTTGCTTTTCATCCTCTTTGCGGGCCTTGTCTTAGAGTGTCTTTGTGCTAGCAGTCTTCTGTCGTCAATTGGTTGATATTCAGCGTTTCCTTAGTCGATCTACTCCAAATATCAGGATATATATAGTCAAGATGGCACCGAAAATCTACTATGGCGAGCGATACTACGCGTTCCCGCAGATGGACATGTTGACCTTTCTCTTCGGTATCCCCACCACCCGTATCCACGTCTCTAGCAAATCCTAACCCCCCCAGAATCCCAACACGCCCTCTCCCAACCCGACACCCAACTCCACATTGACGCCGCCAACCCGTCAAACTACCTCACCAAATCCACCACCATCTCCCTCACCGAGCAATTTGCTCACGCCTTCCGCACCCGCTTCGGGATCGGCGCCGCCGGCCCCAACCACGACGTCGTCGTCGGCTTCTCCAGCCTCCAGATCCTCCTCCCCGTCGCCTTCTATGGCACCGTCGCCGCCGGTGGCGTCTTCAGCGCGGCGTCGCATAGCTTCACACCGGCGGAGCTGGCGCGCCAGGTGACGCAGGGGGATGCGAAGCTGTTGATTACGAGTGCGGATTTGGTGGAGGTGGCGGTGGAGGCGGCGGGGATCTGTGGGTTGGGGTTGGATCGGGTCCTGGTGCTGGAGTCGGATGCGGGGAAGTGGGGGATGAGGAGTGTAGATGGGAGTTTTGGAGGGTGGACGGAGGAGCGGTTAATGTGGGAGCGGGTGACGGATCCGGTGAGGTTGGAGGAGAGTTTGATTATTTTGCTGTATAGTTCGGGGACGACGGGGGCGCCGAAAGGTGAGGATTTGCGTTTGTTTCTCGCTCTCTCGTCGGCGACTAACTGTTCGTAGGTGTCCGACTCTCCCACCAAAACGTCGTCGCCTCAACGTACAACCCCAGCCAGGCCGCCCGCGAATGGGCCTTCCCCCGCGTCATGTCCGGCGAGATCATCCCCTCACCGCAGCGTACCATCGCGCATCTCCCCGCGGCGCACATCGCCGGTGTGAGCGGCTACTTCATCAGCCCCGTCTACAGCGGCACGTCGCTCTACTGGATGCGCAAGTACGAGTGGAAGAAGTTCCTCGAGTACAACAAGCAGCACCAGATCACCGGGTTCTTTTCCGTGCCGGCGATTTATGCGCGCATCGCGAAGTCGGCGGACGTGACGGATCAGTTCGCGTCGTTTGAGGGCGGGTTGGGTGGCGCGGCGCCGATGGATGACTTTGTGCAGACCGGATCGCAGAAGAAGCTGGCGGATGGATCGAAGTCCGTCGGGGTAAGTCCTGTCCCCTATTCTGATTTATATCAGTAACGTGAGGTGTGAAAGTTACTTACAATGCACAACACAGGGCACTTGGGGCCTTTCTGAGGCCACCGGCTCCGTCACCTCCCTCCCCCGTGGACTCACCGACACCACCGGCAGCGTGGGCACCATCCACCCCAACATGCAGCTGCGCCTCGTCGACGACGACGACCAAGACGTCCCCGAAGGCCAACCTGGCGAAGCGATCATCCGCGGCCCCACAATCACCAAAGGCTACCACGACAACCCCGAGGCCACCAAGGAAGCGTTCCTCGACGGCTGGTTCCGCACCGGCGACATCTTGCAACAGCGCAACGGGCTATGGTACGTGACGGACCGGAAGAAGGAACTGATTAAATATAAGGGGCTGCAGGTGGCGCCGGCGGAGTTGGAGGGATTGCTGTTGAGCCATCCGTTTATTGAGGACGCGGCGGTTATTGGGGTGCCGTTTGAGGGAACGGAGGCGCCGAGGGCGTATGTCGTGGCGGATCGGAAGAAGTTGAGCGAGGAGGAGGTGAAGCAGTTTATTGCTTCGAAGTTGTCGCCGCATAAGCAGCTGCGAGGAGGGGTCGTGTACATGGAGGCGATTCCGCGTAGCACAGTAGGGAAGATCTTGAGGAGGGAGTTGAGGGAGGCGGCGAAGAAGGAAAACAAGGCGAAGTTGTAGATAGAGTGTGTGATATGGATGTATGTTGGATGTTGGACAATTTAGCGCTTTTGTCGAACGGTTTCAATAACTAAGTTCATGCTCAGTTTGTCTTTGAAATTGTCGTGATACCGCGTTTGGTCTGCCCACCCATAAGAACCTCACTTGCGCCCGGGTTTCACTCCTAACTACCGGTACAGTTCCTCCGCAAAAGTCACCGTTCAAAGCCTAAAATCTCATCAAAACTCCTGGTTTTGCGAGCTCTCATTAAATTAGATTAAGTGGCACGCTACTACAGCAATATCACATCTACTACTAAAGTACTAAGCCAAGAGTCTGCGCACAGACCCCAGTCTCAGCTGATATCTCTACACCCACCACTTACTTGGACAATCAATAACTTTACCAAAATGAGGTCTTTTGGCACAGAAATTAGTAGTAATCGAAGGCCTAATAAGGAGTTATCAGTCTCTCAAAGAGCTGGGATTATTCAGGCTGTTGAAGATGGGAAACCAAAGACTGAAATCGCGCGCAACTTTCGCGTCTCTCGACGCGCGGT